CAATGCAACAAGTTTGGCTGCAAGATCGGCTGCAAAGTTGGCTGTAGGATTGGCAGCAAAGCAGCCAGAGTGGCTGCAAGAGTGGCAACAAGAGTGCTGCAAGATTGGTTGCAGAACTCACAGCAAGGCAGCAAGTGTGGCTACAAGGTTGTATGCTTACCCCAAAGGAGGAGTAAGTTTGATGATGGCTACAAGAATGGCAGCAAGTATGATAGCAAGAATGGCTACAGAGTTTGGGAGTTTGCAGCATTATTGATGCAAGGAGGAGTGTTGAAGATATGCATCAAAGTGTTGTCAAAGTGAAGAAGAAGATCTGATGTGTCAAAGAGAAGAAGTTACATTTTTAAATTTAATATTTAAATCAGCAATTGCTTTGCTGTTATTTAATGTAATCTTAACCCTTTAGAAATCTATAAAAAGAGAATTGAATGTAAAATTGTATTATAGCACATGTATGAGTTTTTTATTAATAAAATTATTTTTTCTCATGCATTTGTTCATCTTTATGAAATTGGAAGTCTGAGACTTGATTTGTTTGGCTTTCAATTTCCAAGAGTTCTGAAGAAGGAAGAGAATGGCTTGGAATTTATTTCCCTCATACTCTATGGATGAAGATTTGGGAGATAATGGAAGGGAAGCTGAGCATCAGTCTGTAATGAATATCCTAAAGAAGGTTCATAACTAATCTGTGATAAATAATAACATAATTTTTTTATGTTTGGCATGATTTGTCTAAAAAGTTTCCTTCGTTTTTTCTTTTTAGTGTCATGTTGTTTCAACTGGGGAATAACTTATGGATTATTTTTTAAAAGAAAAAAATATATATTTTACATTTGTTATGAGAAACTTAGGGTCCGTTTGTTTTATTATTTTTTGATAGGATTTTGGGAATAATATTGGGTAGTTGAATAGAGAGTACTACGAGGTAAAATTTAAAAATTTATTAAAAAAAAAAAAAAAAACCCTAGGTTTGCTAATTTAACTAAACACCCCAATATATAAATTTTTTGTAAAATGACAAAAACATTCCCACCACCTGCAGTGCTAGATTCCAGCCACCACTGCCGAAAAATTACATAACGACATATACCGGTCGGATTTGGCTGGTATGGCGTCAAATATGGCATTTTCCGGCCAGATCTACGACCAAATGTGGTCATCGACGGTAGCAAAAGTCCATTTTTGGCCGTCAGTAACGACTAAAGATATGGTCGTCGTTGTCGGTCAACGACGGCCAGATCTGGCCTTTTCCAATCATGGAATTACCGGTTAGTTCCAGTCGTGGTGTAGGCCGTTGTGAATTACCGGCAAGAACGGGCCTCTATGAATCTATTAGAGGCTAGATCAATTTTACTTGCTTATCAATTATCTTTAACAATAAAAGCTAACGGAACAAGGGTTAGGGTCCTATTTTCGAAATTAGAGGATGTTTAATGTAATTCGCTAAACACAAGGTAAAGGGGGGGGGGGGGGGGGGGGGGGGGGGGGGGGGGATTGGGGTTCGTTTGTTTAGAGGAGATGCAATGGGAAAACAGATAGGCTGGGGAGGTCGGGGATTGGGGTTTGTTTGTTTAGAGGAGATGCAATGGGAAAACAAATGGGCTGGGGAGGTCAGTTTTGGATGGAAGGGAGGGAGGAGATTGGATGATGAGAGGTTAGGGAGATGGAAGGTAGTGGAGGAGAGGAGGTGTGTGGATGGAGACAGCTATTGTGGAGTTTTTTTAATTTTTTTTTGTTTGTTTTTCGTTTTATTTAAGAATGTATTCGTTTTGTGATGTTTATAAATTATTATGGGTGATGAAAAAATCATTAATAATTTAATTAGTATTAAATACAAAGTTGAAAAAATGTCAACAAAAGTTACAAACTTAAAGGGAAATGGTGATATGGGTATTCAAAACCTTTTAAACATATTTTATAGCGTTTGGATAACCATGAGGGTTTAGGGTTATTCTTGATATCCCCCAAGATTTAGATATGGGGTTTAGATAATAAACCTTAAATAATTCAAAGATTAATCTCTATTGGATGACTTGATGGTAAAAAAGCAGAAGGAGTTTTATGAGCTCCTGAGTTCAAGTTTTCTCGGACACTAATAGGGGTGGTCATTGAGACTCTTATCCATTGACAATTACAAAGTCCCAAAGATTAGTTGAGGCAGTGGCAGACCTAGGATTTTTGCCCAGGGGAGGCCTCCGTGGCTCCACCATTGTTTGTCAAACAATTAGTGAAAAATTTAAAAAAAAAATCAACAAACCTTAAGCAAAGGAAATAATATAATATCAATAATATGAAAGAAAATAATACAACAACACAATACTTTACCACTTAAATAAATCTATGAGAAGCAAAACTTTGGGCAAATTATGTTGAAAATAACATTCAATTCACCAAGAAACACAATAAAATTTTTACGTGGAAAAACCTCTTTTATTAAAGAGAGCAAAATACCATGGGAATCTAACGATTCACTTAAATCCAATATAATTAAAAGAGTTTACAACAATCACAATCCACAAAAAATGTTCTATACAAATTTCTTATTTCTCCTATTTTTTTTATTTTAATTTTTTTTTCTTTCAAAGATTATAATATAAATTTTTATGACTTTGATTAGGTCTAGCCTAAGCTAAAATCAACCAAAACTTAAATTAAGTCAACGTTGTCTTGACTTTTAATATGAATTAATATAAAAAAAGGAAAATTTTCTTAGTATAAATATAGATAATAACTCAAACTTCTTTAATAATTTTGAGCAGCTAAACGGTGTCGTTTGAAATATAAGAAAATGGTAGGTGAAGGGCGAAGAATAACATTTAGTAAAAATAGTTAAGGTTTAATTTGAGAAAGCATGAACATTCTTAAATACAAAATACAAAACAAACTCACAAGATTTATGCATTTTTCCATCAAATTAGAATAAAAAACCTCCAAAAAATAAACATGATTCAACCATAAAATAAACTAAAATGAAATGAGCAATACACATATCTAAAATTGAGAAAACGGAAAACGAAGCTAATTGTAGCACATTGATGAGTGAAAGTTTCAACAATTTCAATTTTAAAAAGTTTTAAGAACGAATAACATTGAAAAAGTGAAAGAGAGAATGAGAGAATAAAAAATTTTAGGGATAAAATCATAAAAAAACAGATGGATGTAGAAAAGAGTGTAGAGAATTTTAAACTTTTAATATGATGTAGGCATGAAATATATATATTAATAGCAAATTTTTTATAAGTCTGGATATATGTATAATATTTCTCATTTTTTTTAAATTTGAAAATAGACCTCTATAATCTATATATATAAAAAAAATTTACAGGGTCTATATATAAATAATTTTTTTTCAAAATATGAGGGTAAGCCTAAAGGGCTGGGTCCGCTCCTGAGTTGAGGTACATACAAACTGATCCAAACATGTTCGATGATAAAATAATAATAATAATTCAAAGATGTCATAATTACATTGGCATTCTAGAATTTTTGGGTTTTGAATCTTGATTCGATTTATTAACATACTTTTACTCCTAAGGAGCGTTTGGTTGAGGGTTATATGAGATTAATGGGGTAATATCATCTTATATTACTTGATTACCATGTTTGGTTGTTAAGTAATATAATATACTGGTAATCTTCAAATACCAATAGTGGTTACTATTGGTAATATTTGAGGTAATCTGATTACCTCTATTTTCTTAAGTATTCTGAGATTACCAGGGTTATCTTTTTTTGTTACAATTTTATCCCTTATTAATAAAATGTTTGGACAATAATACCCCTACTTTAAAATAAATTTACATTAATATCCTATTTCAATTTTATCCTTGTTTAATTAAAATTTTGGACAATAATGCCCTTATATTTAAAATAAGTTACAGACCACCACTGCCACCCAGCCACCACCTCCGACAGCAGGCCAACCACCATGGGCTGCCGCCGGAAAATCACCGGAGTCCCTAAAAAAGAACGAGATTTGGTGGGAGACTCTGGGGGGGGCTTCGATATGGTCGTTTTCGGCCATCAATATGGCTAGAAACAGCCATATCGAAGCCTCTTGGTCACGATCAGCTGCTGATGGGGACTTTCGGAGACTTCCGGCGGTGGTCTGCGGTGGCGGCAGGTAGTGGGGGTGATTTCATAATAAATTAAAGTTTTATATAAGCGGGGGTGTTTTAACTAAATTTGAAATATTGAGGGTTAAAAAAAATTATTCAAAAATTAATAATAAAAATAATACTATATTAATATTTGAAAAATGGACAATTTGGTAATTTAAATAACATACCCACCAATTTATTCCCTATAACCAAACATATTAATATAACATACCCACCAACTAACCAAACACATTTTTTCTAAATATTCCCAATAATCTTCCAAGATAATATATATTTCCAGTAATCCAACGTTCCCAATAATCTAACATTCCTGAACTAAACGCCTCCTTAAAATTTCATTACCCAGTCTTATTATTGTCATGATACAGGTTTTTTTTTGGGTAAGTGATACAGGCTTTTTTGTATTGCTAGCAAGTAACAAATGTGTTATACTGGGAATTATGAATAATTACGGTGGAAATTTCTTTAAAATTTCATTTTATTGGCTGAGTAATATATTCAGTACTTGAACTTTATTATATCAAGAAGTTAATCAGATATAGATATAACTTTAAATTTGTAAATTTAAATAAAAGATGCATTTTATTATACATGACCTTATTTCGCGTAAAAATGTTTGATATCTTTGTAGTCTTCGTGGATCTTATAACGTAGTATTACTTACACAAACCGACTTATTATATCAGTTCAGATTGCCGACACGGCGAGTCGGTTGATTATTGTTTCGTAACTACATTAACGCAGGTCAATTGTATCTATCCATTATCCAACAGTGGATAGTCAATAATAATTTAATGGTCCTGATTCTCCCACGTCATACTCCTTTATTCCTCCCCAATAATGTCATCCTTCTTTCTCCCTTCCCTTCTTTCTCCCTTCACTTCTTCTCCAACAAACAGTCAAACTACGATCACCTACTGGTAAAACCCTCCCAAACCCTTCGCCTCTAAGTTTTCTCGTCGTTTAAATATCAAACCTTCTTGATCCTGAAACCATCCAACAAAAATATCAAACATGTCTTCTTATTCAACTTTTCCTGATCTGGACACCGAGATATGGATTGTTCCATTCTTCGGCCAAGGCCATCTTTATCCTTGCATGGAATTATGCAAGCAATTAGCCTCCCGTAATTTCAAAACCTCCCTGATCATTTCTTCCAATATCGCCAATAACGTCCCTTCCTCTATGCGTCAACTTCCTCTCTTTCAAATTACTGAAATACCCTCGTCTCCGCCACCGACGTCGCAGCCTGGCTCAGTCTCCAACCCACTTCAACACCACCATCACCAGCACAGCCAGATGGCCGAGGGCCTTCAGAATCTCTTTTCGACCGGGGTCCGACCCGTTTGTGCTATTGTTGATGTTATGATGTCCTGGACGGATGATACTTTCAAAAAGTTTGGAGTTCCGACAATTGGGTTTTTCACTTCGGGTGCTTGTTCTGCGGCTATGGAGTATGCCACGTGGAAGGCCCACCCGGAAGATCTCAAACCCGGAGAGATCCGTTTGCTCCCCGGGTTGCCTGAAGAGATGGCTTTAACTGAGTCGGATCTTAAGCGCAAGCCTCATGGGCCTCCAGGAGGTATGCTCGGCCCACCAGGTGGTCCTGGCCCATTTCCAGGCGCGGGCCCGAGGCCGGGCTTCCCTGGTCCACCAGGTGCAGGCCCGAGGCCTGGCTTCCCTGGTCCACCAGGCGCACCTGGGCCTAAGATGATGGGCCCACCTCGTCCGGGTCAACAACCACCGTGGGTGGAGGAAGTAGCGGGGTCAATCGCGTTGATGCTTAACACGTGTGATGATCTCGAACGACCATTTATAAAGTACCTGGCTGATCAAACGGGGAAACCGGTTTGGGGAGTCGGCCCACTATTACCGGAACAGTTCTACAAATCAGCCGGTTCATTGCTTCACGACCGCGAAATAAGATCGAACCGCCGGTCTAACGTGACGGAAGACGAGGTAATCGAATGGCTAGATTCGAAGCCACGTGGATCAGTCTTATACGTGTCATTCGGTAGTGAAGTCGGCCCCAAAATGGAGGAGTACCCACAAATAGCCGACGCATTAGAAGCATCAAACCAGCCATTTATTTGGGTAATTCAAGCCGGTTCAGGTAGATCGGGCCCGCCACGTCAGCTATTGGGCCTAAGTGGCGGAGAAGGCGAAGAAGAAGGGTATTTTCCCCACGGGCTGGATAGCAAAGTTGGTGAAAGAGGTTTGATAATACGCGGATGGGCACCACAATTGTTGATACTGAGTCACCCATCAACGGGGGGATTTTTGTCGCATTGTGGATGGAATTCAACGGTGGAGGCAATCGGGCGTGGGGTCCCGTTTTTGGCGTGGCCCATCAGAGGTGACCAATTTTATAATGCGAAATTGGTAATCAATCATCTTAAAGTGGGGTACATGGTTAGTGATGATCAATCAGAAATGACGAAGAAGGATAATATAATAAAGGGAATTGAGAAGCTGATGGGAGATGAAGAAATGAAGAAGAGAGCTGAAGTGATTGGGAAGAGATTTGAGAATGGTTTTCCTACAAGTTCAGTGGCTTCTTTGGATGCTTTCAGTGATTTTATTAAGCAGAAAGCAGTTTAGTTATTATTTCTTGTATTTTAGTCCTCTCCTTGTTTTGTTTGGTTGGGAGGTTGAGACTTTGCATGTTAAATGTAATTTTAATTCTTTTTAACATCACATTTAACATTGCAAATGTTATATTTCTATGGTGGCAAAAATAAAATAGAAAACTAATATCTATAAGCACATAAACCCTTGTAGGAAATTATAAAAAAAAATATATATATATTTCTCTTAAATGATTTATTATATTTTGCTTATAAGATAAAATGTCAAGATTTTATATTAAAAACTTTAAAATTGACCTTTTAAATACATTAAATTTTGTTCATAAATCTTTATATAAAATTATGTTTATGTTTATTTCGTAGTGTTTGATTGATAGCAAAAGGCTTTTCAGAATCCAAATATAGTTGGAGTGTTGTTTAAATTAGAAGTAGTTGATTTACAAAATGTTTTAATTCTTGCATCGTGAAAGTACTTGAAAGAATATTTTAAATATAATCGCACGACATATGCGGTTATCTATAACAAAACAGTTTCTATTAATCCTTAACTTTTATTTTATGCTTTGTTTTTTTAAAAAATATCAACATACCAATATTAAGATATTTATGTTTTTAAAACTAGTATATGAAAATAATTTAATCAAAAGAGAAATGTAATGATTTTTTTTCTCGACGACAAGTAAAATAAAGGGGTGTATATTGTTAAAATACAAAGTAGAAGGGAACTAACAAAATTTTATAAACCCTTATGGCTCCGTCCCTGTTCTTCAGGTTGTTATCTTTATTAAAATTCGGGGAGCTCAGATATAGCTTGACAAACTATAAGGAGCTACGTATATTGATGGATTGTAATTGATAGACGTGTAACGGAAATACAAATATAATACACATGCACGATCAAAACTTGATTGTAATAAAATTGCCGTCACTTTTTTTTTCTTTGACTTTTCAGACTGGCCGTCTGTGATCCCCACCACCCACCACTTTCATCTTACTTCTCTGCAACTTTTATATTCTTTTATTTTTCATGCAGTTCTGAATAGCATCACTTTTTGGATCATGTAATTATACGCCTCCCTTCAATCATCTCTCGTAAGTACAAACAATCATATTCATATTCATCTCCATATCTCATCTCTTCTTTTGCCTTCCAATCTTTCTTTACAGCCCATAAGTATTTACTTTTCATTTTTACTTTTAATTATTAACACAAATCTCGTTTCTCTTGCTTTTTGTTTAATTATTTTTATTCTGTACAAGTTTAATGGATATAATTTTCCTGTTAGATTTGTGATGTAGTTATATTTTCCATACAATAAGATCTGATTCCTTTTTGTTCATAGAAAATTTCAATTTGTTTGCTGTTGTATTATTGTTAATTAGCTGTAAAAAGATTCTTTCAAGGAATTTTTTTTTAATAGTTGGTTTCTTTTTTCTGGTAAATACCAAAAAATGGGTTTCTAAATTTCTTTAGATTTGCTTAATTTTCTTTTTCCCTTTCGAAATTGTAGTGTTTTCTATTATAAAGTCAAAATTTTATGGTTTTCAAAAGGTATGATACAGAAATTTAAAAAGGAAGCAATTGTTCAAAGAGATCAACCTCAAAATCAAAAGTCTCTGCTGTAGAATTGAAGAACGAATTATTCAAAAAATCTGAACTTTCTTAAACAGGAAAGGTTCTCTGTTTCAAGAAGAGGCGTAGCTCATAAAGAAGCAATCAAAGGTTTAACCGATCAAATCTGAGTGTATATATCAAGAAAAATGGGATCTTTCAAAGGCCATGCTCTACCTGGAACACTTTTTCTTCTAGTTGGAGTGTGGCACATATGGAGCTCTGTGGTTCGATATGTATCAAATCCCAAGTCATTTCGAGTCCGGGTTTGGAACCCAGTTCCTGGTTTTGATGGGAAGCTCAAGTATATGGAGCTTTATGTGGTAGCAATTGGTGCTTTTATTGATATGTGTATTGAGCTTCTGTACTCAACACATCTTAAGTTTTTTGTCAATGGAGTCTTGAACCCGCATCACATGAACGATTTTGAACATTCTGGGATGCTTCTTATGTTCTTTGTCTTCGGTGTCGTTTGTCTGCTCTCTGAGAAAACGAGGTTAGTTACTCCTACTTTTCCTTTTTAATTTCAGTAGCCTTTTTGTTATGTGATATATAGCTTAAGTTTTATCATATTTTAGTATCTCCTTCATGGGAGTAAAAGATGTAATAATTGAGATTGGATTACACTATTGGAGTAATCATTATTACTTGTTAAAGATTCCAGTTTATGTGATAATTATTTGTTCATTGTTTTGATTAGGTGAAGAAACTATTTAGGAATAGTAAAGGAACCTAGAAAATGAGAAACAATGATAGAGGATGACAATGATACTCCTTTTTGAAAAAATATATATATTTTTCCCCATTGCTTTGTTGAGAAGTTACAAGAAAGGAGCATAAATTTGTGGGCTTTTCCTCATTCTGTCTTCAAAAAGCGAAAACCTCTTTTATGTAGATCAAGCTTTAAATTTTAGTCCTTTTTGGTAATAGCAGACTTGTAAGTGAATTTCTATTTCTCAGTGTCTTAGGATTGTAAAGTTATATGTTTGATACTTCTTGAAGCCTGGAAATCTGACTTTAGATCTATCAATTAAATTGAGGGCCTAATTTCTTGGGTTCTGAAAATCTGATCATCAAAAGGTGGAGTAATTGATTGCTGTAAATGTTGCTGGCCTGAACATAATTGTCAATGAGGGACATGAGATTTGACTGGTTCGGAGAATGGAAAAACATAAATTGTAAGGGGTTAAAGTTTCAGATTGTGAAATTATAAAATGTAAATCTAGAGAGAAGTTTCACTATGAAGCTTGCTGAAGAAATTCTCGATGAGTTGAGTTTCTCCTGATATTTTCTTCTGAATTACTTCATCTCAATGAGGTATAGAGGGACTTTGTAGCTAGTAGTGAAGGCCAATAACATCTTTCTATGCTAATGTCTAACACTTCATTGCTAGTAATAACTGCTCTAACATTAAACCTTTAAGTTCCAGCAAAAAAAAAAATTTCTTACCATCATATCACAATATGAAGCTGAAGTATGCAGATCTAAAAATTTATAAACTAATAGAAGGTTAAATGTATGACTGCATCACTGATTAAATTTACTTTGGCCAATCTTTATCTCTGTTTTCTGTAGTATCAGACTCAAACTAGGCTTCCTTTAATAACTTACTTGCCTTCCCCAGGTGTAAAATTTTCCTTTTTATTAAGAGAAAAACTAATATTTCCCTCATTTAGATATTAGTTTTATATCTTTAGATATCTTGAGGAATTTTATCATTTCACATACAAGTGTAAAAGCAAACTCTTGGTGATTTTCAGAGATGTTAAGAAAATATGTGTGCTAGCACACCCAAAAATGAATAAAACAGTGCTATAATTGAACAATGAAATTAAAATTAAGAAGTTATTTAAAACTATTCTGAAAGTTCAGAAATCTTGTATCTTGTGAGATTATAATTCAAAAAACATTTTTTCACGTCGTGAGATTAACTAACTTTATTGGTACTATGTGCACAAAACTCAGTTTGAATATTAATGTTGTTGGTCAACCAATGGTTCATAGTTAAGGGCTATTTTTCCATTGTTTTTTCTCTACTGTATCAATTTCTATACTGGCAATTGTATTTGCTGAACAATGGGGATTCAGTCCGCATCAGAGCAGACCACGATTTTGTATCTGTAAAATTATCACTCTTGTGCTAATCGTTAGTCACTGTAATGATATTTAGATTCCGTTACTTCTTTTCCTATTACAATAGCTAGAATAAATTTCTGATAATCTTAGATTTATCACTAATTGAGTTTTTTTAAAGCTAATTCATTTTCTGTTTTTCTTTGAATTCTTTTGTTCAGCTTTCTTCCCTTGCCTGAAGGATCCCTGTGTTTGATTGCTGCCACAGCATTCTGTGCTGAGTATCTGCTATTCTATTTTCATTCAACAACTCATAAAGGCCTTGAGGGGTACTATCATCTCCTGCTCGTCCTCTTGATAGGGCTTTGCATTTTAACTACTGTTGTTGGAGCTATCTTTCCGACCAGCTTTCCAGTTGATCTATGTAGTGGCATTGCTATAACTCTCCAAGGCCTCTGGTTCTACCAGACTGCCTTCACTCTCTATGGCTCCATGATGCCAGAGGGCTGTCAGCTCAAGGGAAATATGATCTCTTGTCGGTCCACAGACAGTGAGGTTCGAGGCGAGTTGTTCGCTAACTTCCAGCTCTTTTCCATGATCTTGGGAGTCCTTATCGGAGTTGTGGTATCGTATATATTTGCAGCTTCAAGATATGAGAGTTCTGAATCTGATATTAGGAGCTTGCAAGCAGTCCACGATGGATTATAACAAGATTGAATTAAGGGTATTTACTTATCCTTGTATTCTGTGTGTTTAGAAATAAGCAAGAGATACATAGATTGTCATACGAATTAGTAGCTGTTTCAGAGTTGGCATAAATTTACTGTTTATGGCACATGACACACTGCATCATGCCTTGCCGAATGCATTTATATTGCAGAGTCTGGATAGAGGCAGTTAAACCAAACTTCTTAATGATAACAGTTGTTGATGTTTTTTGGGACGTCTGGTTCTATCATGATGATTACTGAAGCATTTTTTATGTTGCTTTACAGGTTTCCAGTGAACTCACAGCGCAGTTAGAGATGGACGTGAATAGCGTTTTCAATGTCCAGAAAGTGTGTGACTAAAAGAGAAATGGTAACATCTTCATGCCTTGGGTAAATGGGATTCAGCTGTGGCTTCAAAAGATAATTGATAGGATGATAGATATTTAGATGTAGGAATAAGGATAAGGCAGTCCAATATTCTTTTATTATTGAGGCTGGAGAAGGATTGCCTATTGTTTGTTATATTTGATTTATTATTATTATTATTTGGATGATAAAATGATGTGATAATTAATGTTGGTTTGATAAACAAGCTGTCCTATTGTTATGATTGTGTTTGAAAAACCAAAACCAATCATTAAATATTTTTTATTAAAATGTATTTGATCAAATAATGAAGAAACAATTGTTAAATTACAAGAAAATTTTTACTACTAAAGTACACTAGTAATAAAAAAATAAAAAAAAAGCATTACATTAAAAACTCTTAAAGAATATGGAAATCTTCTGAAAGCTAATTCAACCCAACAATAGTTAATGCTTTAAAAATTTTATTATAGATTGAAAATTTAAACAGTGCAATAACCGGATTCATCTTGCTACGTCCTATACATATCAAAAAAAATGATAAAAACCGTGAAAATTCCAACTGTAGCTATTTAACTGAATACAATATAATTAAGATTAAATAAATATATTATTGCAGTTTAGAATTGCAACCTATTTACATATAAAAAACCCATTTGTTTAGAAATTTCAACATCCAAAAGATCCTGCTCTTCCAACTGAACCTATTTGACAGACACATATAATTAGCTGCTCATTTTCTGGAAACAAGCACAGAAAAAATTGCTAAAGGAACAATTTGAGAAAATATAAGGAATACAGCAAAATTCAGAGGAATTTATAATATTGAGCAGTGTTAGCAACGATTAAGTCAAATAAAAGTCTTTATTTAACTTTATTACATATCCCTAAAAATAAAATCGTTTTTTTCAGGATATGCCAAACCCATGTTCAGTGTTCAGTATGGAATGATAATGGAATCTATAAGCTCCTGAAGTGGAGCAAGCTCCTTCTTGTCAATTAGACCAAATTCCTGCATACAAAAGCAGTAGACTCAATATAGAAAATAATAAAATTATGATAATAATAATAACTCAAATGCGTTCTTCCATCAGAAAACATGCATGTCTCGCCTAATTTTATAATTGTTTATTTTCATAACTCAACAGGGAAAAGATGGTGTGTTCTAGTATCTACACAGCTATAAAGAATGGGCACATAATCTGGTCTATCATAAAGCTGGGATTTATTATAACTTACACAGGTAAATAGTATGAAGTGCTTGAAGCATGTGTTGAGATGAGCTTCTTCCTTGAGGCTCACAATTTTCTGGAAGTGAGAGTGATAAATGTGGGCATATACTCGGAATAATCTTTTGAATATTGTCTTCACAACCTCCTTGAAGTTAGGAGGAAAAGGAGCTCCTACAGAATTTAAAGGTAATTTTCAAATTAGCAAACATCCATATACAAATGACCACCAAGTCAAGCCAAAATAGTAGCGACAGTAAAATATAGTCTTTCCCATCGCATAGGATAATAGTTTAAAAAAATTTCACCCAGAATTGCAACTTAACCATATCACAAAAAATTAGAATATGAAAGTACATATGCCATAATCTACATACCAAGCTTTTGAGGAAATAAGGATTCATCATCAAGTTGAGACTCAATCCAGTCCATCAAATATTCCACATATTTTGGAGCAGAAACCTCAATAGGTTTTTTTATTTGTACACCATCTGCCCATCTATATTCATACCTGTGAAGTTTCCCAACTTTATCAAGTGATGAACTCAAAAATGGACAAATTAGAACAATCAAATAGTAGTTTCAGAGTCTTGAAAAATCGTGGAGGCAACTTAGGTCGATCAAGCAATAAGGAAAACATAAAATGAAAGTTTCAAGTATCCCAAATTTTAGTTTTGCAACATTTACCTCACTTTGAGACTACTTACCAACAAGAGAGAGAGAGAGAGAGAGAGAGAGAGAGGATTTAAGACGCAACAAAACTCTTAACACTTCAAAAGTTCAGACATTGAATGCAGAAAGCAATAACATCTTAGTGCAAACTCAATACAAATGGGAAGACACTTAAAGCAAGCAAAACATATAGAATATTTCTTTAGAGTTCCAGGGAACAGACTATAATGTATATTTTGAAATTAAAAATCTAATGACATACTTGGGGCCTGCAGTCATTGTAGGGCAGTTCTCAGCAGTACAGAATTCTGTTAGGGTTCCGTAGAGCAGATTTACCTGGTTGAAGAAATCCACAGCTGAAATAGAAAAACCCAACAAACTGATTTCAGAAATGATGTACCACAGAAGTTTGGCAATAATTTATAAAAAGTTGTTTTAAGACATTTTCTCAAAACATCTTTCAAAAAACAACACATATATTAGCCCTAATACAGACTATTTTGAAGGAAAAAGATATTCTAAAACATGTGAGTGAAGAGTATTACTGTTGACAGCAAGCCACTCATTTAGATCCTCTCCAGGAGGAAGCCTTACTGCTTCCCTCAGGTTTCCACTACCTAGGGTGGCATCAATATGTTTCCGAAGCTGTGCACCCTGCATCAGAAGTTCAGGAAAAGATAAACATTTAATTTATTTTCATTTTCGAATTATTTTTTAAAACAAAAAGACCAAAAATTACCAAGTATGCCTCAATCTTTCAACCAAAAAAAACAAATATGAACATCATACCATCAATTGAAGAATAGTAAATATCCCATGTTATTCAGATAAGAAAGAGGGTAGAGACAAAAACTACTAGTGATAAGAAGAATACCAACCTTACTCCCTGAAGGTGCACTCTTTTTTGGGCGAAATGTCCTCTGATTTCTGTTTCCAGAAAAATTTATCAAGCAAGATTCATCAACCGAAAAATTAAATGACAAAGTTCTACAAGGCATCAATCATGAACTAGAATACAACCGGAAGTCCTTTTCGCCGCATGAATAAACATCTACATCAGCATCTAGACATGCTTAAGAAAGAAAGCAGAGAAGAAGAGTGTTGTATGGCAAATTTTTTAAATATATTAAGTCAAATGGATGTGTATGCATGAGACATCCCTAGTTCAAACGCCAATATCAATTCAAAGTCCTACTATTTACTTACACTAGTACAGACCATAAATAGCTACACATTCCCCTGACCATCCATCATCCCAGAACTAACAAAGACAATGTTGCCATCTATAGTAAACTGCATTTGCATATTTCAAATTTCTACTCACTCCCACACAAACTTTTTCTGACATTAAATCTTTATGGTTTGAAGTTTGCCCTTTCATTTGAGGGTCAAATCACCTTTCATCAAAATCATTACATATATACACAATCATCAATGTATCCCCAATTTTTTAGAACACAATCAAACAACTATATAAGAAATGCCAACAACGGGAATTACCATATCTCTTCGACCAACTATCTATGTTCAGTTTTATAATCAACAAAACTTATTACAAGTCCACACAATAAGAGTTTATCATGAAAAGGGAATTAATATTAAAACATTAATGTACATTGTTCACCCAATTGAGCTTCAACAAGAAATCAAGCTGAAAAGAGATCAACAGATAAGGGTAACATGTGTTATTTTCAACCATCTATCTGGTGAAAAATGGGAACTTAACAGACAAATCTCAACCATTTTCTGATCTACACAAATAAAGTCAGCACTAGACTAAATAAAAATTGCAGAAATGGAAGATACTTTAACAGTTAATAATCACACATTTATCAAACAGCTTGAAGCTTAAATAAATTATCATGCAAAAAAAGTATTCGAATCTCAATATGCTGGCATGATCTATATCCACACGATTTACTCAAAACATATACAAGTAAAATTATCAGTTATCCTTGTTCCAAACAGCTAAACACAATCTCCAGAATCTATATTCACCCAAAAACAAAAACACATGAATTATAATTCATCAAAAATGATTACACAAAAATTCGACTCGCCACTTCACAAAAACAAATCAGAATAAGAAATTCATAACATAAACATACAATTTTTTAGATTATTCAAAAAAAATATCAAAAAATCAAAAGACATGCAATAGATACAAGCTGCGCGGCAAATAATAATTCTAATTATAAACCAAAAAGAAGCTCCAGATCACAAATTATTAACAGATCCGATCATAGTAAATGCAAATTCGCTTTTGATTCTGACTCACCTGCCCAAACCGAAGAGACTCATGGCTGGAGAAAGACTCGTGCGTCTCTGTGTGCGATTTTATTTTTTTTTTTATTTTTTTTCCTCTCTTCAGTTCCGAAACTGAAATAGCTTCTTTAGATTTTAGCTTTTTTATTTTTTTAACTTATTTGTTTTTTTGTGCTATTGTTGAATATATATGTTCTTTGCTTATGATACGAAGAAAATAAAAATTAACGGGGGATGCAGTGGAGGTGTTGTACTGTGTGCTTTAGGAGTGGTACTCTAGGCTTTGTATATAGGAAGATTCATTTTTTAGGATAATTTATTAGGCCTTCTTTCTGGTTCGATGCAAAGTTGGTTCAATTTTTAATGGGGCGTAGTGGGCCGGACCGTCGCGGCAGCTGTCCGGGCAGGTTTTTTTAACTTTTTATTATTTATTGTCGGGCAGCTTTAGCAGAACAGCAGAAGCATCCAAAATAAAAATATTTTTCACTGTTCCTAATACTCACTTATAAACATCAACATCAGAATAATCTCATGCATCTGCATATTACCAAAAAAAAAAATTTGATGTAACATAATTATATCACCTTTTTTTTATGTTTATTAATAATAATTATCATGATAAATGATTTTAAAATTGATTTTATAAATTTTTTATTACTGAAAATATAGGATTACTACTAAGATAGATTACCTTAAAGATTAACGGATATATGTTATATTAAAATATTTAGTTAGATTGGTAAGTATAAATAATTATTATATTTGATTAAGAGGAATAAAATATTTATTGGATGATTTTTACTGAATTGTCATATCTTAGCATTGCTTTTAATTTTTTACATTTGAGAATTTAGCTAAAACACCTCAATAATAAAAGTTTAAAATTTAACAAAATACTTTAACCATCCAAAACGACTGTCGGCCGTCAGTCACCACCGTCAACAGTTGTCGAAACAGAATACGATCTATTGGATCTAATCAATTATGCATCGATCTAACCGTCTTCGACCAGATGAACGTGGATATGGGAATTTGTAAGATGAGATAATGATTTTTTTTTTAGATTTCCTTTTATAATATGTAAGTTTTAGAGTATTTAAATATAATATTATACATACAAAGAGTTTATATAAAATCTTCATTACAAGTTCTACAATCCTGAGAAAAGGTTGATACTAGATCAAGTGCACAACCTAACCTGTTACATGGGTCATCATAAATGTCAACTTCAAAAACGTAATAAATTATAAGCACTCGGACATCTCTTTGAAAGATAAAATCCATTAATATACACATAATAATTATTATTATCAACTAGTTTAAGATTTTGCACAATTAACAAGTTAAGCTGTATCCTAAATATATTAAAATCTTTAATTTATTTTTAAATATAAACTAGCCTTAACATCAGTGGATTGTTTGAAAAAAATTAAATTGACATGAGCATGTTGACAATACGACAATAAGTCAAAAAAAAATGTTGAATCTATAACATGTGCATGTGTTGGGATTGCATGGACACATAATGTCAAACCCTCCATGTGCGAATTGGAGTATTAACATTAACACTAGAGATTTATTCGTGTCATTCTGAAAATTTAGTATAAATTTTTTTGTTAGATAAATGCAACGATTTAAGAGGAGAAATTAAATTTTTAAATAATCTATTAACATTTTTTGTCAAAGGATTAAAATTTTGACCAACTTTAGACAAACGACTGAGTTTGACGAAATTTTAATTTAATGGTTGACCATTTTGGTATGGTTACAATTCATATTATTTAACTAAAGCTATCAACCATTTATTTAAAATATATTGTTTTACCTTTACATTTATTACCTCACAAACCCTAATTGCTCTGGTTTCCAAATTTTAGCTTAAGATAATGTGATACCCCGGACATGGCAATCCAAATTGTAGGGTGAATTAGGTTTCCAAAAATAATGGCCCAATGGAAACTATTTCTACTAATTTCAAATCCAAAACTTAGAAATAATGTTAAACTGAAGTTTAAACTTCATCATTGAGTTAAATAGTTAATGAAAACTTAATTGGTCAATTTTATGACCAAAACTTAGGAATTGCTAACGATAGCTGACACATTGACTTTACAGTATACTGCTGTACTTATTTTTAAAGATAAAACGAAGCTTTTTTCCGGTCTCTTTGGTTTTTGAGAGCGTAAATTAACTGCAATTGGCATCACCCACACGACAAACAGTATAAGGGTAAGAGTAATATTACGATTATATTATTTTTATATAATATTTTTTATACAATATTATGTGATAAGATATAATTAACTAATTTAAAATTAAAATTAAACTTTTATCCAATCATATCTTACCACATAATATTGTATGAGAAATATTGTATGGGAATAATGTACGTATAATATTATTCCAAGGATAATTGATGCAATCTGACACAATTAAATTAATTTTAATTTCATAATTAAATGTATATATTTTAAATAATTTAAAGAGGATAAATTGCCTTACAAGAAAAGCATTTTGAGGAAAACATATTTTAATTAAATATCTTTATTAAAAAAATAATTTGAGAATAAAATAAATTATGGGGTTATGTTGCGTCATTTTCATTTTCAAAGAAGAGAACATAAACATAAAAATAATATTGTGTGAGAGGAGGAAGTAACAGATCCACCGCCCCCAGAGTCCATTGGAGGCGTCTGTGAGTCTGTGCATTTCATTTTCATGGAATCAAAACCTCTCTTTATAACATTTCAAATATAAATAAATATTACTCTAAAAATATGAGCACTAGTAGTTCAACTTCAGCTTTTACGGTGTCGCAGTGGCACGAGCTTGAGCATCAAGCCCTCATCTTCAAGTACCTCAAGGCCGGCCTCCCCGTCCCGCCCGATCTCCTTGTCCCCATTCGCCGGAGCCTTCAGTTGATCTCTTCAAGTTTGTTCCACCACCCCGCTCGTAAGCTCCTATTATTTGCTATTTTTTTTTATTATATTTATTTTCTGTTGTTCAGAGTTAGGGTTTTGGTTTTGTAGTGGGGTATTATGGGAAGAAAATTGATCCGGAGCCGGGGAGGTGCCGGAGAACTGACGGCAAGAAGTGGAGGTGCTCCAAAGATGCACATCCGGACTCCAAGTATTGTGAGCGGCACATGAACCGAAGCCGTTACCGTTCAAGAAAGCCTGTGGAATCACAAATTGGGACCACCGCTGCCCAAAATCCCATCACTGATTCAACCAATCTCTCACGCTCTCCCTATTGGATCACTAATAAAGACTACAGGTTCATCATTCTTCTTCTTTTTCTTCAGATCTGTTTGATCAGTTTATTCTTCTGTAACACTTTTTTTTTTTAGTTTAACCTTGTTTTATTGATGCGTGAGGCTTATAAATTATTCTGTAACATTTCTGTCTTATTTAAGGTGGGTTTAGGTGCACATCAAAGTCTTATTAAATACTTCAGGACATTTTGGTTGATGTTTTTGAGTATATTTAGTTAAAACTTGATTGGGGTTTCTGACTGATTCCTCTGATAAATTGGATTATATCATTTGTTGGATACCTTTTGAATTATATGGGCATCATTGTTGGGCTTACAAACCTAACATGGTTAGGAATTTTCAGCCAGTTTTTGGAGGCGACTCCTTCATTTGTTCATGGTTTTAGTTTTGGTGGTGGGTCATGATATGGATATGATTTCACCCTTTGGGATAGAATATTTGCACTGTTCTTTGGAGATCTGTGGTAAGTGGCATGTGCTTTGGCCAAGATATACAAGTTTGGAAACCTTCTTTTCCCTTGTTTTATGTTTTAAGGTTTTCCTCAAGTCGTATAGACTGATTTAATCTTTATAAAGAAATTTCACAGATCCTTTCCTTTTCTTTCTTATCTAGAGATACAATGGTCCTATGAATTCATATTTGTATCTAAATAACTAATAGAAGCTACATCAGACAAACATTAATATCGGGCATGAGTAAGTATCTAATATAATTGTAGGTCGCACATCAAATGCTGGTGCCATTTGACCTTATGCTCTTGCTAAAAGACTTTCTACTTGCACCTGAGGGGTACTTCTTGTCTAAGGATGACAAAATTCCTCTCATGTATGGGTCCCAGCCTCATTGAGGGGAGGACGAAAATAAATTTTGCCTAGTAGGGCCCAAATACCTTTTGGGTTGTAGACCGGGATGAGTAAGTATCTAAAAGTAAGGGACTTAATTTCTGTCCTAATAAAAATTTTCCTTTATAAACTTTTAAAAATAGTTCTGCTTATATAAAATTCGTTCTACTTTCATGCTATAATTTCGACAAATTTTTAATACTGAAAAATTGAAAATATAAACCACTCATAATGCTTATAACTTTTGTTGATCTTTCCTTGCAAGGGCAGAAATTTTTTTATTACTGATGAAGAAGTTTTAAGAGGGACAGAAGTTTGAGAATTCATAAATTGTTTGTTTTTCAGTTTTAATTAATATAAAAGCTTATTGGAACCATCATTTCTGACTAAATTTATAAGTTGTAGTTTTCAAACCAGTATGGTAGTACCTTTTTCTTATATATGTAAGCACAACTCTACCTTTTTTCTTTTTTTCTTTTTTTAAAAAAAAAAAATCTTTTTTTGCATGCTTCATGTTAATCATCTGTCAACCATTATGAAATTTTGTTGTAAATAGTATATGGAACTTTGTTTATAAGCACGTGTTTATGATTATGTTAACGAAAACGGCAGTGACATTGGATTATTCTGTTTCTTTAGGGCTGGAATATATTTGCTGACATTGCTGTCATGTTCAGTTCTTTTAACTTTTTACATTTTGTTGTCCAATCATGCATGAAAATATCAGTGACAAGATTGTCCATTGAAATGTCTTTATGAGGGAATATATGTCAAGCTTTATATCTCAACTAGTTGAGTATGGATTGTAACAGCTTGACATTTGATCATCTTAAGAAACCTCTAGTGAAGATGTTGGAATGTCAGTGAGCAAATATAAAACGGGTTTTAATATGCTGGGTTGTACAACATTATGGTCTTCTTATGTATACTAGACATAAGAAGAGAACATTCTTGTTTAGATTATGATTAATGTATACGTATTTCTCAAAATATTGTCAACTTTCTTGTGAATTCTTAAAATTTGGTGATTAAGAATTAAAAATAAGAGAGAAATTGAAGGGTACTTGATTTGATTTGGATGTGGGTTTACTTGTCTTGTAATTTGTTGCATTATTTGGTTGTCTTTTTTACTTTAATGGAGATCGGTTTCTTTTATGTGCTTCCTCAGTGACTTCTCAGTTGGGTAATTCATTGAAAGTAATTTAACGGAATATTGTATGTTTGGGGTTACAGGTGTGTCCAAGGACTGAAGCCTGAAGTAGATGATGATGTCTTACCGATAGCATATGAGAGTGTGAGGAGTTTTGGGATAAATTCTTCTGCAGATGGTGCATGGCATCTTACAGCGTCTGAAAATCCCTCAAACCGTCTATTGGATCAGAGAAATGGTGCATTACTTCAAACTAGTTGCTCCACTGTGCAGATGCTACAAGATTTTGACCCAATGACTACTGATGCGGCAATATCAAAACAACAGCAACGTTATTTCTTTGGCAGGGAGTTTGGCTCACCAAGGTCTGCCAAACAGGAGAATCAGTCCCTTCAGTCTCTTCCAAATGAGTTGCCTAAAACCATAGATTTTGGTTACTATCTGGATGATCAGAGAGCCAATAAGAACTCATCATCCACAACTCAACTATCGATGTCCATCCCAGTGGCTTCCTCTGAATTCTTTGCAAGGTCTAGTCACTCTTCAAAGGGTAAGCTCAATCCCACCTTGTTCAAAATATTAAAATTATGATTTCTTACCTTTATATTCATTTTATGCAGATGCCTCTCTGGAAAAATTTCTGAGTTAGAGATGTTATGGGTTTGTTAGGAGACCGGTCTAATTAATTGTCTTTGTATCATTATGTTTGAGTTCCCACTTTTGTTGCATTAGCAGCTTGTGTACTTATAAGTTGTGGGATTTAACTTTTCTCTGGAATCTAGCTGAATTATCTTCCAACTTGTAGTGTGTACTTAAGTTTACTGTCTGGAATAAATGTGCTACGAATTCGTGTTGCTTGAATATACATTGGTTTATCTGAACTTTTAATCTTTGAGATTTTTCATTGGAGTAAATTTGGTGTTAGCGGCATTTTCAGTGTCCGGCAGGTTGAAATTAAGCAAATTTGTATGTAAGCAATGGATCTTCACCTGCTGCTGTAGGTTCTTGAAGAGTTGCTTCATAGATTTTCCTTTTAGATGCATCGCAATTTTACATGTAACTGTGTCTGTCTAGTTCTCAAAGTCATTCTTGACCGTAGAACTTTGAAATTATAGCTGAAGTTGCAGTAGACCTTCATAATTCAATATGCATAAACCACATTTTCACTAACGTTGTCCAAAATACATGAACGGTGCTAAGGAATTTTGGTTATCCCACCCGCTATGACAGGTCCTCTCCTCAGCAACTCTGTTCGTATTTATATTAGTTTTTAATTTGATTTTTAGTTTATGAGTTTTAGTATTTTCTTCTAAAACTGTTGTATTATAGGTTTAGTAGTTTTTAACTTGTTTTTCAGTTAATGGGTTTTAATATTTTCATGTTTTTAAACTGTTGTGTTACAGGTTTATTAGTTTTGAATTTGTTTTTTAGTTTATGGGTTTTAATATTTACATTTTAAAAAATATATATATATATTGTATTATGGGTTTATTAGTATTTAATTTTGTTTTATGTTAATACATTATCAATATAAGCAATGATATATTTTCTAATGGAGCTATTTTCTTATAATATATAATTAATCTTTTGAATGTTTTCCAGCACATTTATATATTATTACGTGAATCAAATAAATTTAAGATATGTATAAATATTTAACCTCTGACTACTTGTGTAGAGCAGAAACTTCGCAATTTGGCTAACTGTCGATTGAAACTTCATGTCATATTACACTGCAAATATAGAAACTTTTCAATCAGTTCAGTTACACTACCTATAAGTTAGAACTGCCTCACCAACCGATGCTATAAATTTTGGAGATTATCATGGACAACCTTCGATTTCATCAACAACAAAAAAAATTCTTGCAAAAACATTCATCTCTCTTAGTTTCTCTTCAATTTGAAGTTCACTTTTTGTTAATTTCCTCATCAAAATCAAATGGAAGAACACCATGTCTTACCAGTATCCTATCATCATCGTTCACAAACAAAAGTCTATCCTCTGTCCAACAGCGACACGTCACAGCTCCATCCATCAAGGCCTCGTGTGCCCTGCGGCACGACAAGATTGGCAAAACTCACTGCCCTTCCAATCCTTATAATTGCAACCGCAATCTCGCTGACTGCCTTAGTTTGTATCCTCATGTACTTCACTCTTGGCCCAAAACTCCCAGTTCTTTTCATCAATTCAATGTCAGTCTCAAACTTATCCACCACCAACACTTCATTAAGAGCTAACTGGGATATCAACCTCACCTTCAAAAACTCAGACCGGTTGTGGGAAATTTACTTGGATTATGTGGATTGCATTATATTCTACCAAGAAGATTTCAGCCTGGCGGGGAACCACTCGGTTCTGGGCGCTGGCATTCAGCCTTTCAAGGTTAAAATGATGGAAGAAAACACAATGAATGTGAAATTGGAAACTGGGGATAGTGTGTTTTCATCAAATAAGGTCTTGAACAAGATAAACAGTGATAAGAGAAACGGACAGGTGATTTTTAATTTGTCAGTGAGAGCAAAAACTAGATTTGAGGGTGTTTCTTGGTTGTGGTGGACAGAAGGAGGAACTATAATTTATGTTTGTGTGGATTTAAATGTAGGTTTTAAAGATGAAAAAGGTGTAGGAATTTTAATCGGTGAGATACCCATAAGTTGTTGAAGCTTTTAGCCTTTTGCTGCTCTCCTCATCCTTTCTTAAGAGTTTTCTGTGAGTAAATATATGTGTTTTTGTGTTATTTTGCTGAAAATGGTGGATGTATTATTGGTTTTTTGCCATCTTTTTTTTCTTTGAGATAGTACAATGGCAACATTATTGAAACCTTCAAATGAGTCTCATCGGTTATAGTAATTAAAATATAATAATTCTTGTTATCGTTTAGTTATAAAATACACAACGGTTTTCTGTTTTTATCAAATATTATTTATCTTCATCTGTTGAAAGAGACCATTGCAAATCTGAGTGCACAGGACCGCTGGTACTGAGTGTGACCCTATAGAAGTATCAGGATGGCATTTTCCAATCTGCATTTTGAAGATACCTGTACTAGTGATTTAATGAATGGCAAACTCTGTTTCCCAGGATGTCTATAGTTGATGAAAACCTGCAACAGATGATCGCATATATGAAGAGGATGATTGCTTTTATTCAATAATTGATTTCAGAAGTCAACAAATACAACAATAAAATGAAATATCGTGCGTTCGTATTTTTCTCTTTTTCAAAACTTTAAAGAAGAAAAATATGTATACACATGTTGCAAGTTTTACACCCCCTGGAAGAAAACTAGGATCAAAGTTTTCAACAGAACAGAAAACTAGGATCAAATTTAGTAGAAAGCAAAGGTGATGGCAGAATAAAGTTGCTTGTTACTATTGCTAAGATACAACTTAATGATTCAGTGAGATATAATTCCAATATGTATAAAAGCATCAACTTCACTAAGATGCACCTTGTTACAATTCTTGCAAATCTATAAAGAAAATATGACCACATAGCTGACAGTTCCCCGTGGTATTAATCTTTTGGACCTGCAAGTGAGGGCATATACATGTTATTGTTTGATCCCATTACTTGTTAGCCAAAAGAAAATTATTAATAAAAAAAAAAAATTAACGCAATGAGTTCAGTTATAAATGACAGCTAGCTCTTGTTAAGGGACTATCCGATGTGAAGTTACAAAATTTGAGAGAAGTGCAGATTATGCAAGATTATGTGAACATAAGAATGGTTTCAGCATTTGTTAAGTCTCCTGAGTTCAAATCAGAAACAAAAACATCCCATAAAGCACACTTATAAAAATCAGCTGCAACACTAGACAAGACGCCACAAAATGCACTGGAGTAAGCATGTCAAACAGCTGTTAAATCTTTGGATCTTTCAGAAGGGAAGATGTCACAAATCTTTCAATGCTGCCCATAAATATTTAGGGGATCCAGCATGAGCAGTTCGTTTTTCTTTCCATATATTTTTTTTAATTTCTGATTGATGAGATTTGAACCTGATACTTATCATGATTAATTTGCATGATTAATTTGCCCCACGGGCATCATACTTTCATGTAAAAGAGGAATATATGAAGTACACAACTTATGACTGTTATTGCCTATTAAAACATTCTCTCTAACATTTCTGTCAAATTTTCTCCTCTTTCTTTCTCTTTCTGATAAATCCCAAGCCTAGTTAAACTAAGAATTGTCTCACTAAAAGGTGTACATTGTACAACAAGATCTCCCTACTCACAATGAACCCCAAAGGATCACCTCCAATCTCCTGAGGGACTAAAGCTTAAAAGTCACTCAAATTATGAACAGAAGAAGTACGGCTCAGAAGATTCAAAATTTTTAAACTGACATGATATTAAAATTCCAATAGGCAAGATACACATAATGGCCATTATGGCTTTCAGAGCCAGGTAAACAAGATAAAGGAAATATAATCTGCCAATCACAAACCCTGAAAGAAGCAAAATTCTAGATTTATTCTGTATATTACAGTTAGGGCAATGTTAACTGAGAAGAATGGTCAGGCAAATGGAATGCAATCAGTGATAATATGGCCCTTGGCTTATCAAAGAAGAAAGCCAAATGCATATTATCTATCAGTGCCTGAGTGTAAAGGCGAGGTGGAAAACATCATTCATTAGTTTCTTCACTGCCCTATTAAATTTAAATTCTGGTACAAGCTTTGTCAGGCTGCTAGGATATTCTGGGTGATTTCAGATCCACGTATTTGTTTGTTTCTATAACACTCTTCTGCTTTTAAGAGGAGGAAGAATTATGGAGTATGTATAAGGCAGATTTTTGGTTATTTAGAAGGGAAGGATGTAGAAGGATTTTGAAGATGGTTTTTTATTCAATAAGGCACACTCTCATAAATCACTATGAGCTTTTGCTTCCAAGGGATTTAAGAAACTTCAGTCATTCAAGAAAATTAGGAAGTTGTTCCGACAAGTAATGAGTTTCTATTAGTAGAAAACTGATCCACTTTTTATCATTCACTTAATACTTTTTTCTTGTTTGTTATCAAAACACAAATAGATTAAACAAGATCTTCTCTTTTAGTACAGTGTAGCGTTTGAAACTCTTACATATATTGATCTTTGCAAAACTATAATGATCATTTCTACCTATTAACATCAAACACTGTCTTAAAGATTTATTGCTGGCAACAACTCCATATCTAGCTTCAGATTTTCAAGTATCCATGTATCAAATTGAAGGAATTACTAGCCATGGGGTATCTAAGATATCCCCACATGAATCCAAATAAGTGGAATCAGACGGCAAACCTATTGATGGGTTTTCACAAGTAGAGACTTCAGTCTCTGGATATTGCTATCTTTCCTCAAACCTTTGCTTGATATACTTGAACTCAACATGTAGAACAGAACTCCACTTGGCTTAAAAAAGTACGAGCTGTTAAATTAAGGGTTTTATATCACTTATTATTCTCTATAACTTCACTGCTCAATGCAGCAAAGATTTTATATTGCCGAATAATGCCAACATTCGAGTCATGAATAATGCGACTAACTATTAGTTAGTCATCCAAAAAATCCTCGTAGGACACAAAATATTTATGCAAGTCAATTTCAAATTACCACTCTTCACCAGCATGCGTGCAGATGCAAATCCATGCAACTTCAATGGCAGCACAAAAGATATTTGATTGATATCAAAAGTGACTACTTTCACAATGAAATCCACATTCCAAGTACAACAAAAACCAACATTTTGACAATTCAAGTAAACGAAAAAAATCATATCTGCCGGCATACCTTTTCCAGGCCCCAAAAAACAAACAACAGATCTCCCAAAACCTTCCCAAATAGACTTAAGATGGACATCACTTTTTTGCTTGAAGCTAGAGAATCTTGCAGTAGCTTCTCTTTGCACCCCAGAAATATGATTCCACCCATCTCCCGCAACATTTTTTGCATTTGATAAAGCCAACTCAAACGCACCACTTCTTGTTGCATTAATAGCTGTAACAAAATAACACATGAAAAATCAATTAAAAACTTACATGTACAATTACATGTAAAGAAACACAAGCTCACCATTATAAGGAAGTTGAAAGATAAAGTTCGCCGGAAGACCAATGCCAACACCAGCAAAAGTGAAGCCAACACTGAACCCAACGCCGCACCCGGCTCCAACATAGCCAATCACTTCCGGCCCAAAGCCGGGACCCCAACCGACGCCGCACCCAATCCCCACGCCCATTCCCCAAAATGCTCCACGCGTTGGATGCACTGGGTTCCATCTCTCGTATCTCCTGAACAGCCCTTTTATTATCATCACTACCTGATGAAAGTAAATCAACCCTCTTAAGTATATCAAGAACCAATGAAAAAAATTAAAAACACGAACTTTTTTCTAAATGGCCATTACCATTAATCAAACTCTTCTAATTTTTATGGTTGTTTCTTGTTCTTTCTAAGACTGTAGCTATTGATTGTATTTATGTGACTCTGCTTTGCTTCTTTTTGCTGAGCGGGTGAGAACCATGAGCCACAAATTGGAATAGGGCCCGGTGCTACTGCGTTTTGGGCCAAACTGTCAATTTTAATTTTAGGCCTGCATGAAATTTTACACCCAATGTATCGCAAAAAGACATTTTTTTCCCTTGGTTTGAAACAGCCAACCCATTCTTCCTTTTCACCCACATTTTCCCACCCAATCAAGGTTTATCGGCGAATATTTTTACTTATAGACATTTAAAATATCACTTTATTATCTAAATTTATATTTTATTTTTTATTCTAGTATCGTTATAATCTTATACTATCATCATTCTTTTCTCTAATTATCACTCACAAAAACTCTTCAAACCCTATTCATGTTGACCCCATAAATTATCAGTAATCGAGCGATTAGGGTTTACATAATCGTCTATTTTAGTTTAAATTCTGACCAATCCCAACCATCAAAATCTAACCTTTCATTACCAAAAGACTCATCGGCCTCTCCTCTTTAAAAACCTCAATAACTTGAAACAAGTTTGCTCTCTGTTTGTTACCAAAATATAAATTTAGACAATAAAATAGTATTTTAAAAATGTGGATAGAAAAATGTCATTAAATCATTATTTTGGTGAGAAAAAGTTATTAACTTGGGATTAAAATAACTATAAATTGGAAATTTGGTTGATTCATAATGTTATATATATAAGGTGAATCGATAAGATTTTTTTTTTTTTACAATTAAGTTTTAAATTCTGAACTTGAATTCAAAAAATAAAGATAATATTAGGTATTTCTAAAACCAGGACGGAAAGTTGTCATTTTATTTGGCCTTAATTTATTAAAGGATAACTATTAATTACACCCGTGGTATTTTCTACAACTAATAAGTTTCAGTGGTTTTAATAATCTAGTAAAGACACCCCTAAAGTTTTGGCACGTGCCAGGTAGCACGCGGCAGGCGAGCTTTAAGAATTTGAAAAAACCCGCCACTTGAAATGCTAGATCCACCACACGCGGTAGTCAATACAGCACATTTAAATTAGAAATTGAAATTCGAAAATCAGCAGAGGAAATGGAGAGAGCGAGAAAGATAAAAAGAGCGAAAGTAAACGGGAAGTCGTCGTCGTCCTCAGCTTCTCCGGAAAGTCCAGACCGGTCTCCTAAATCAAACAAAACAACTTCGGCTTCAGCGTCCAAACACAAAAGCGGTTACAAGTATAAGAAGCCAATAGCCTCCGCTCTCATTCTGTCTCCATCGCCACCACCAGCTCCTATGAATTTCGGTAATAAAACCCTAAGCAACATATCAGATCTGAAGGAAATGGCGTCTTCGCGTTTGGATGATCTGAAACGCAATCTCATCGAACGTTCTCACTCTGAGATTCTTAAGGATCTCGAAGCTTCTCATTCTCGTCTCCACAAACGTTTCAAGGTAAACACACTTCAAATCTACTATAATAAAGTTTTTCAGAAAGCACTTTTTTAGAAAACATTTTTATTTATAAGCACTTTCTACAAAAGTTGTTTGATTGAATTTTCAGCGTTATTTAAGTTTAGAGATAGTAGTTTAATTGAGCATTGTCATTGATATTGAATTTGTGAAATTCGATCGGTCACTCTTAATTGAAGGCTTGACGTTTTCATAATTAGTAGATTGTTGGTAGAAACGTTTGAATTTCATCTCTCTGCAAAATTGAACTTACTATAGCTGTCTAGCTTTGAGCAACTGAGCTTGAATTTTGTGCAGTTCAGTTTTAATTTGTGAATTTTACTTGAATATTCAATTCGTTTTCGTCCCGAGATTGGTTTGAAATGTAATAATAAGAATTAGTTGGTAAAAACTATGGCGTTTTGATTGTATTCGTAAATGATGGATTCAATTTATGGAGATGTACATTTTAAATGCCTTGTACTATTTTCATGATAATATTATATTTATCTTAACAAATTATTTTCATGCTTTGAGAACATTCTACAAATCATAATTTTTTTATATTACTAACTTTTAGCGCCTAAATCCAAAAGTGAACTAGAGCATGAACTCTCTCCAGCTGCTTAAATTTTAATTGTTGCACAGTTGTCCTATTGAACAAAACTTTCACCCTTATTCTTTATATAAAGTTTCTCAGCTTCTTCTGGATGCCTTGTGCCACTTTGACCATTGTGGTTCTTATAAAACTAATAATAGTAACAGGTGGTATTATTGGGAGGGTAGATAACTATAAATGCATTAACATGTAATTATCAAAATTTTAACTCAGTATTCCCATTTTGATTTTATAGATTCAGACACAAACATGCCAGCAAATGATGGATGAAGCAGAGAAGGAATACAAGAAGATGACAGAAAGAATTAACAAAAGTCAGGAAGCAATGAAGGTGCTTTTTTGTGCTCAACACTAAACAAAAAGCAATCAAAGTTCATCCATAATTTATTTTCTATATTTAAAGATCTGATTTTCCTTTTCGCTATTCGTTTATCAGGCTTCATATGTAGAGATCATGGAGGATGCACAAGCCACTGCTTCTAGTAGTAATATTTTATTGCTTCTTTTGTTTATATTTGAATATTTTTTGCTAATATGAAGCTCTATGTGTCCTATACTGAGAAGTGACACTGTTTGGATGATAATTTTAGTTTGAAATGTTGCCTTGAAATATCTTGAAAGCATGGGCCACCAAAAAAGAAAATGATACATTACAAACTACAATTTCTTTTGTTTTACAGGTTCTAAAATCAGGTATGATTCGACTGTAGATGTTAGATTCCCTTTATGTATCAACAGATTTTCAGATCATGCATTAATTAAACTTGATTAACTCGTGTTTTGCCTATAAAATATTGTTTCAAATCTATTGTAACAAAAACGAAAATTGACCTATGATTAGGAATGAAGATTTACAGGTCAATCATAGACATAGAGATTATGTAAAAACAACTACAGGGTACAAACTAACTGTATTTTAGCAGTTTATTAATCACTGCTTCATTATTCTTTTAGCCTTTAATCATTTGCTCTTCATTTGAAATTTTCCAGTGTGCAAAAAAACCATCCCGGAAATTTCAAGTTCTTTTGAGAAAGCAGTCGGTACTCTCCAAAGCCGTTTCGGGATTCAGACAACCTAGAAGGCTAGAACTGATTTCTTCTGGCCATTCCTTGATAGAACTCTTGGGTGAATATTTCTTCAATTTCTTTTTCTCATAGTTCAAGAGTATTACGCATTTTATATACGCCACATTTATCAAATATATTGATTCTTTCAATGTCACTACTAGCTCTTCAGAATAACATGTTGAAATTTTATCAAACGTAAAGTAATATGCCTAACATCATGACCGCCATGAACACTGGGATGCTATGGTTGAAACGTTTCTCTTGATTTCTTTTCTTTTTTTTTTTTTCTGATCGATTTCTATATTAAAGTTAAGCATTAAAGAACAATGATGGTAAATATTTGTTATATATCATATATAAAAATATAAAAAAAAATTACACAATTTAAGATTGCCATTTTATGCCATATGAATGCTTTTAAGAATCGTAAATCAGGCAACGATTTGAAGAATTCATTTTGGAGCTGTAACATATCCACTCTGTTGAAATGATTTAATTTATTTATTCTTTTTTTAATATCAAAATAAGACAATTTATCTTCCTAAATCCTAATTTTATACTTTTAGAGAACATCGTGTGTACATAGATAATATTAAAACATTTTGGTATGAATGAAAAAATCGAGGAGCATTTCCCTTTCAGATTCATGGTTTCGGTAGGATTTATCTCCTTCATGGGTGTTCACTTTAAAGACTTTAATGTTGCTACGACAAGGATGAGGAGAAACACTAGAAACTTATTTTAAGCAATTTCGACCAATGTGGGTTCGTGGTGAAGACTGGTTATAATTGCGCCCTTGATTATGTAAAAATGGCCTTTGCCATAGGATTATAGCTTGTCGTAAAAATCAACCATTTGATGTAGAAGAAGCCATTATGGGAGCGAAGCGTTTTCCCAAACCCAAAGAGAATCTCCTCTTCAACCGTGATCAATGTTAATCCACCTTTGTGTCTATCATCTTTTTTCAAAGAAAAATAAAATACTTTAAATGATCGGAATGCCTATGTTCATATACTTCTATCTTTAATTAGTAAAGTTTAGGGGATATACTGAAAATTTTGAACAAATATGGATATTACTGATCCGTTTCAAAATTTCAGGGTTGGGTGAAAATAAATAAATATCTTATTTAAAAGGGAATTCACACGTGGCTAATAAAATTATTACCCCACCTTACATGTAACCTTATCCCTTACCTCTCTGTGTTAGTTAATGGCGGGTTTCAGCTCAATAACGAAACATGAAGTCTTTTAGATCAATCAGACCAACAATAGTTTAGCTCTCCCTCGTCTTTCTCATAAAACCCAAAGCTACTGAGTTGCTCCTCTGAACCATAGAAAATAAATAAAAGAAGTGAATGAATGGCTGCTATAGCATGGCCCTATAAACTCTGTCAAACGCAACCCACTTCTAAGGTAAACTCTTTCTCTTTCATTAATGTCTTTATTGGCTACTTTTTATTCTAACTTTGGCTGATAATTGAGGGTCTTTTCATTATTATTCTATAAGTCTTTCAACATTGTTTAGATTTTTATACTTCTTGCTGCATTCTGCCTCTAATAGGAATACTGGGTAGTCTTTGACAATGAATTCCATTTCGATTGCTAATCAAACCTGAAAACTGCATTAGCTCTGAGCAAATTATATCATTAACTAATCAGTTAGCAAATTTATCACATTGAGTCTTCATGTACAGTGGCAATTTTTTTCTCCTTGAAACCCCCGAATCCGTATCAAAATGACCCAGTTTCTGTCTTCAATTCACATGTCCCTGATTCAGCTTTGCTGGTCTGGTGGTTTCACGGGTTCACATTTCACATGTCCCTGATTCTTCATGTACAGTGGCAATTTTTGTCTCCTTGAAACCCCCCCAATCCGTATCAAAATGAGTCAATGACCCAGTTTCTGTCTTCAATTCACATGCCCCTGATTCAGCGTTGCTGGTCTGGTGGTTTCACGGGTTCACATTTCATCATAATTTAGACCATTTTTGCTTTTTAAAGCTATAGCCTGTCCTATTGCCATAATCATAGAAGTGGGTTTAACATAATAATTTCCTTGCTTTGTGGTGTCGTTAATTGTAAGTTTGTAACCTGAGTATGTTTCTGCTGGGTTGCACAAAGCTTATGGTCAGGAGAATTAACTCATCAACTTGGTCAGAATCCATACTTAACAATAGACTCCAAATGGATACATCCAATGATATAGATGGATCTAACAAAATCAAACCGTTATGGCTTCTGCCTTATAGTGTATATTGGCACAAAAAACTCAAAAATTTATTGTGCGGTCCTGTACTGTTGCCATCCTTGTCTTAACCAGGGTGATTTTGGTGTATTTACATGTCAGGAAAATGGTCAGTCATCCTGAGCCAGAGGATAATAAAATAAATATGGTAAACAGTTTGCAGATTGGAGTTGTATTTTTGTTCAACTGTAGTTTAGGGTTTTCATTTAGACTCAAAACTGCAGGCATAGAACTTTGTTAGATGAGCTTTAATTATACCACACAAAAGAAGTGAATAGTTGTCTGTCTTCCTGTTTAAGCCTGAAAATTGTTTTTGACTGCCACTGGTGCTTTATTCCCCAAGAGCTTAGATTGGTCAATGTTTATAATTCATCTTTTAAACACGAATGATGTATTCTGAAGTGATGAATTTCATAATTTATTATGTAAGGTTTCATTTAAGTGACAGCAAAATTTGTTGATTTATCTATCTCATTAATTTTGCTGATATTGTCTTGAAAATAATCAGTTACCTGCAATCTTGCAGAATGATTGTAATTATGAACTATCAAAATCAGTTCCAAAGCTTTGCACCTCATCCATCAAATGTGAAATGAGTCACACATATTTAAGAAAGGAGAAAGGCGCGGAATTCTCTTCACTTACAAGAACACTACCACCCTTGACGTCCGCATTCTCATCCTTGTCTATTCCAACCAAACAACTTTCCGAATTTCCAATTTCCAAAACAAATCCGAACCAATACCAAACTCACTTATCACACTCAACAACCTTATATGCCACCTTGAATAGTCCACGAGGCTTTGGACCTTCACCAAAGAAAGCAAAAAAGATGAAGAAGTCAAAGCCCGACAATGATAGCGATGATGAAGGTGAAGAAGATGAAGAAGATGAACGAGAAGAAGGCGTAATACCGGAGATAGTAACCAACAGAATGATCAGTAGAATGGGGTTCACAGTGGGAATTCCCCTGTTCATAGGACTCCTGTTCTTTCCATTCTTTTACTATCTCAAGGTTGGTTTAAAGATTGATGTTCCTACTTGGGTGCCCTTCATTGTTTCATTTATCTTCTTCGGGACTGCACTTCTGGGGGTAAGTTATGGCATTGTATCGTCTAGTTGGGATCCATTGAGGGAAGGCTCACTCTTGGGTTGGAATGAGGCGCAGAAGAATTGGCCTGTTTTTTGGCAATCTCTTTGGGGTGGATCTCGTAAGAAGTAGGACTTCACATTTTCTTTTTGGTTTCTATATGAACTAATTAACAAGTTATCTCTTTTTCCTTTTTTTGCCTGATAGTGGCAGTGATGTTGTTATACTTAGATAATCAAAGTAAATTTGATGGGTCTTGCTTGTGTAAATTCTTGATTCTATCTATCTTCGCAATACAAACTGGAATATATTAGGCAAATTTTAGAAATTTATTTGACTTCTAATACAAGAAAGAAAGAATATATATAACACACCCTTTTTTGTAGATTCATTTGAATTTAGTGGGTTGTTTTGTTGGCTTCTAAGTTTTCAAGAAACAGTACTTTCTTAATATTCTTATATTCCTTAAGAAAATTATATATAAATAGACTATAGTAAACCTATAGAGCTTCGCTGGTTGCCAATTCGGAACATCTCTTTCAAAAAAAAAAAAAGGAAAAGAAAAAAAGGCTTGGGACAGAGATCTCTCAAATCTATAGGAGCTTTAAACAAATTCTGCAACCTTAACACAAGCATCTCTGGAATTATCAAACAAAACATTATTTTGTCAGATATTCTATGTTAGAGCAATATTGTTATTCCAATTCAATGTTTGTATGGGAATATTATTGAAATGGTGACAATAGGTGTAAGCATAATTGAGATTGTCATTCCATTCTCTTATCTTCAAACAAAAAAGAATATATTAATTGAATTCAGTCCAATGTACGAATCGGGAAAATTGTCCTAGTATTGATTTCCCTCCCATGCAGTCCAAAACAGCTAGGCAAATCTTTTTGGGCCCCCATTAGTTAAGTGTATCCATAAAATTCAGGTGACTGCCTTTTCATCTACATATATACAATCGAATATCGCCTTTGTTGTTTTCTTTTTTTCTCTTTTCCATATAAAAATTTCACCTGCGTTTGCTTCAATAACTGCCCTCTTCAACAAAATCAAACCAAACAGGCCATAACCATCTCTAGGCGCATGGCATAATTTCCACTGTAGGATTTGAATCTCAAAAGTTTGAGGAAGACGTTAGTATAGTAATTGACCAAGGGAGTAAAAGTTTATATGGTTAAAAAATAGTCAAGTTGGAATGGTATGGGTCTCTTCTTTTAACAATGAGTAAGTTCATGTTTTTTATCTGAAACAAGAAATCAAAAGATAGATATAAAATCAATCAAAGTAATCAATCAACACATTGGAAATAGGGAAAGACTTAGGATTTAGATTAGATCTAACTTTAGAATAGATCGCTGAATTGCTTTATAATCACTTTTCAAACCCCATTATTTTTTTACTTCTTCAAAACCCCCCAACGTTTTAATCCCATTATATGCTTTTAATTAAATTCATATTGTTACATTACACAACTGGGGTTTTTTGTCTTTACACAAAGTAAAGCATATGTGAATAATAAGAAAGTTGTTAAATAAAGTAATGGAGTGGCTTTGAATTTGTTTCTTTAAAACCAAACAAATGGGAAAATCAAAATCATTTTGAGAGAGTCAGAATATGGAATGGAATGGCTTTGGAGTTGGACATTGACTATGCTTTTCTTGCTTAACAAGATCTTCTTAGAACCTCTTTACCTAAAGCTTGGCTTTCCATATCCTGCCATGTGGCATCCCCATTTATTTTTATTTTTTATTTTAATACCCACCTAGAAAAATGATTGTTTTAACGTGTATTATTATTAGAACACAATAAAATTATTTATTTTAATTAAATAGGTGTTTGTTTGGTGGAAGAGAAAATAGAAAGAGAAATGAAATTGGGTTGTTTTTGTTTTGTTGTCCCTCTATTCCAAGCATTCTTTGCTTAAAGAGGGGTTAGCCCCAGAAGAGAAGGAATAAAGCTAAGGACAAAAACAGTGGGGTTAAAGTTAAAGCATTTCTCATTCTCATTTCTCTACACAAAAACAAAACGTTACTTCCCCACTATGCCTTCCTATCCTATTCCTACCTGACAACCGACAATAGCCAGTTTCATTTCTATTGATTAAAGTACTCTCTGCTCTACCCCCTTCAGTTTCACCCTTTTGTCACCGCTCACCCCCGGTTAGTCAGTCCCCAGATGTATAATGCTCTGCTCCCGTACTCTAATCTCTCTGTCCCAAAAACAATAAAAAATTTTTATTTTAACTTTCGTCGCTAATTTTTCATAAATTACATGTTTATTCAAAAAGATTATAAATTTGACACTATAATCCCTTTCAAACTTTTACTTAACTATCGTTTAAGGCAAAATAAAAAAACCAATAGGCTTTTTGCTGTGGGTTGACAAGATTGAAGATGTTGTAATTTTCCAATTTAGATATCTAACAAGATGGTTGATTCCCTTTACCTCCAAAGCACTATAAATAAGTACATACTTGATTGGACTTGAACATATACGGAGCCTGTCCTTTTAAAAATTTATTATTATAAATTTTGTACTTTGTCCTCTGTATATTTCTTTGTTTTTTTTCTTTTTTTTTTTTTTTTTTTTTTATTAGTGCTTTAATTTAATTTGTTATCTTTATTTTCAAATCAAATCCAATTGCCAGTCTTTTGCTTCCCCAACGACAACGTCACTCCATTTTTAGTAGAGTAAACGACATATTCTCACGATATCCCAAATTGGTATATCAGGTTATACTTATTCTTCCTTCAGATAAAAGTGTTAACAATTTTTAGGGTTTAGAGGGTATCATTACCCTTAATCCTAAACCCCAATTTAGTTTTACAAGGGTTTGTAGTGATTAAGGGTGTTTTTGACATAATTTAAAAATAAAATAGTAAGTTTTATAATTTTTAGGGTTTAGAGGATGCAATTACCATAATATCTTTAATCCTAAACCCTAATTTGTTTTAACCCCTAAATTAGTAAAATTATAAACTTATTATTTTATTTTCAAATTATGTCAAAAACACCCTCAGTCACTACAAACCCTTGTAAAACACAGCTCGATCTAGGCTATTTTTTACAGCGTCGAACCCCGTGGTTACCTCCATCACCTTCCCCGTAGTTCGTCATCGAAAACCCTTCTGGTTCCTGACTCATTGGCCCCTCCAAACGCCGACGCCATTAGGTCTAAGGTTTCGGTGTTCTTCGCTGGATTCTGGTCGATTCCGACAGCAAAAATCCAATTGGACACCACCACTGCAACCACCATCTCCAAATCTATAAAACCCTATGTCCCCAACAACTGTTTCGCCGTTGTTCGCTGGCTGAGAGTTAGTGTTCATCGTCCGTTTTTTGGTGAAGTGGTGGACAGCAAACGGTGAGCTGCCGTGACTGGGAAGGTTAGGGGTTTTGTAGGGGAGGATGCAATGAGTCAAATTGTGGTGGTGGTTAGGGTTTTCACCGTTCAAAACGGCCGGAAACTGGCAACAACCAGTCGCATATCGCAACTGTCCTGGTTGGCGATCGTTGAGTGATGAGGGGTTGTGAAGGGTATGGTTTTGTAGAAGGGAGGATGAGGGTTCAAATGGTGGTGACAAAGGTGATTTTGGGTGGAAGAATCTCCTGAAAAAGAGCAAAAAACGTTGGGGACGTCGTCTACTAACGTGCGCTGAATGACTGTTAGAGGCGACGGTATGCTAATGTGCGTCACCCATGTAAAATGACCAATTTACCCCTTTACTGTTACATCAAATATTTTTCCATCACTTTAAGGATGAAAATCTGGAATAAATGTAACATGAGATACCAATTTGAGATTTTGTCAAACCTGGGACTATGTCATTTACTGTTTTTAGTATAAAATTTATTAATGCCAATTTTTCTTTTTTTGTAAAATTAATTGCAATATATATTTCTAAAATATCTTCACCTAATGAGTCCTTGTCATTGATTTATCTTGATTTTGGGCCTCATTATAATTACGAGAAATAATTTCAATTAAATATTTCCCTCTTTTGAAATAATCAAAATAAATAATTTGTTTGCACAAATACCACCAAAATTGTAAAAATTTCATATGTAGAATTTATCTAATTATATTCTAAATTTTTCCACCTTAAAAAATTATAAAATCCACCAAACTCAAACATAACATATAACCTGATGTGATTGTTCCTAACCTGTCAAAATATCTCATCATCAAATCCTAGCCTTTCATTTCATCCATTGCTTTTCCACCTCTCTTCTAATGCCACGTACTCTACTTCCCAAACACGTAAGAGATCCCTCCCTTGCATCACCTAGACATCTAGGTCCCACATGTCCTCACTCATCAGGACCAAAGTTTTTTTCAAAAAAAAAAATCCTCCCTTAACCAAACGGTTTCTGTTCACGTATACACGAATCAAACTTTCACGTTTACGTTATTTAACGGATGTATTTAACGCCGTCAAAGCCCCTCTCTTGTATATATATACTCGAACTCCAACACGTTCTCCCTTCTTGTAACGTAAAACCCGGAGCTGTATATCCGAAACTTTCCTTTTCTTTTCCCGTTTCGGATTCAAACACTGGTATATCGCCGATACATCGCTGGCGTCTGTCTAAATTTTTTTAGAAGATTCTTGAGTTGATTCTGTGGGCGAAATTGAAGGGATTATGATTATTACTGAGAAAAATTAGTGGTGTTTCAGCTGGAAAAAAAAAGTAAAAAAAGAGCTGAGAATTAATGCTGTACAATCTCCGTTTTGAGCTACTATCAAGGAGCAAGTTGTTTGCAGTAAAAGGTTTGATCGAGGTAAGTGTTTTCTCTTCACTTTCTCAGCAACCAAACAGAGCATCACTTTTGCTTTTGTTTTGTTTTTTTTAATTTTTGGTTCTTTTAATTCTTTATTCTACTCACTTTATTTCCTCAAAAAACAAAGAAATAAAAAGTGTTTTAGATTGAGATATGATTTCAGATCTTGTTAAAAGAGTTCACGCAAGTTGCATTTTCCATTATGTGAATTTTCTTCAGTGGCTTTATTTCAAAAGAAAAATAATGCAGAAGAATTAACGTATAAATGTAGTTAATTTTATTGAAATTTCGAATTTATTTGAAGTGATGACTGAGAGTAAAGTTTTGCTGAGAACGAAGAAGGACGACTGAGGAGGAGTTGTTTTGAGAATTAAGAAGACAGCTAAGAGAGACCCAAAAATAAAAATAAAAATAGAGCTTGCTGCTTTCGGCTTAGGTAAGTCGTTTTCGAATAATAATGGATGCAGATGTACTGTGTGTTTTTCAATGAACAAATATCAATGTGATTCTTCTTCTTACTGTTTCTCTTGTCTCTTTGTCTTTTCATCCATTGTTTTCATTTCTTGACATTGCTTCAGATTGGTCCACTGTCATTCACAAACATTAAACAATTTAAAAAATATAAAATAAATAAATAAAACTATATATTTTGTGAGTATTTTTTTCATTAATATTTTGTTATAAACTTCGGCTCTTCACAGGAGGTTGATTTTGATTATTCTTTAATGGGGCTTTTTCTACATTAAAGCAGAATGCTCAGTGAGTCTCCATCTAATTTTAGACCACTTTGAGAAGTGGCATGTCCCCATTTTGTTTCTTTCAATTATTGACTGCCTATAGTTTAAACATATTTTCTTGGTCTTCTCTGATCCCGAGCTCCCTCCTTTTCTTTTTTCCTTTTGTCTTTCCCCAAAACCCACATTCATCATGATTCCCAAATCTTCATCTCTTTTGATTCTTCCTCATTCATTGTCATTCATCTTGCTGTAAAATAGACGTTACAAATAAATTAGTAATTAATTATTAATAAAGATTCCTGCACCTGCAACATAGAGGATCTGGAGAATGATTGTTTTTATGTGTTCTGGGTATTGTGGTAATTTATCTTTGATTGAATTTGCGCAGGGGTGAGATAAGTAAAAAAAAAAAAAAAAAAAAAAAAAAAAGAAGAAAAGGAAAGGAAAGAGAGGGGAAGATGTTTACGTGTATAGCATGTACGAAGCAAATGGCAGATGGTGGGGAGGAAGTAGAAGGAGCGCGTGGGAGTGGCACGCCTAGTACAAAAGAAGCCGTCAAAAGCCTGACGGCGCAGGTTCTTTTCTTCATCTTCTATCTAAGCCTTTCTTTTTCAGTAAAAACAAACAAAATCATAACTCCATTACCCCCCCCCCGGCATATTTTGTAGGGACCATCACCACCATTCCTCTTATGCCTATCTTAATCCATTCATTTTTTTTATTAATTTAGGAATAAATAAGCTAGTAATTCTATTTTTATTTTTAGTTTCTTTAGCCTTTAGGTTTAGGCAATAGACGAGGTTAGGTTCATGTGTGATCGTGTGTATTTTATTTTTATGTGGTGGATATTAATTAGTGTCACATACTCATATGGATAAATGACTACCTCTTGCTGTAGCTTTTGTTTCAGTAATCAGTACCCACGGTAATAATAACTTTGACCATCACGTGATTGGCGTCCCATTTTTTTATTTTTTTTTTAATTCTGAATCTTTTTATAAATATACAAGAGACAAATAAATAGTAAGTTTTTCTTACTTAAGTCTTTCGTACAGTCATAAAAAGGAGAGTTTTTGTGCATAAAATAAAAGATTCCTTTGAAACTTTGATCAGCAACGTAATCTTCTTCTCTGAGCTTCGCTGAAAAGAGAGGCTTTATTTTTACTGCATTAATATTTTTATCGTCAAGTCTGTCTCTGGCACTAGGGTTTTGAGCCTACTACTCCCTGTAACTAGAAAAAGTTTTCGAAAATTTGCTGTCTTCTTGAATGCATTTTGTTTTCGTCTCGATGAGGCACAATAACAGTGCAACAGACCCACTGCAGTTTTTAGTTCTGACATAACACTGGCTCATTTCTCAGCTTCGTCAAAACCCTTGACTGCAATATTGCAATTTATGATTGATAAAAATTCAAAAAAATATATATGAATAATAATAGGGAAATATGTCATGTTATATTGTGAGTCTATGTTGGACCTTTTATTTTAAGATCGACTTTAATTAGTATTATTAATTACTATGTAGTAATATTATGTTATGTTACAATTTAATTTATTATTTCTTTTCTCAATTTTTATTTCTATTAACATAAAACTAACGATTTGTAGGTTATAAAATTGAATAGACTGACTTTAAAGATGAGAAATGAAGGGTAAAAATAAATAAATCTTATTAGATATTTTAAAATATATGGCACCTTACACCTATGTTAATTTTTTTTTTTTATTTAGTTTCAAATGATGCTATAAATCTTAATATTATTTCAATGTTATTCTGATGTAAATTTACGATTGGTATGTTTAGCTTATATGATAATCATAACACTTTCAATTTCGATTAAGTTTTATTTATCAAAATCACTATTGAAATTGGGTGGGCAACCTCTACCAAAAGTTACATCAAAAAGAAAAAACTGTGTGCACTATTTTAATACCATGATATAACTATATAATAATTATAATAATCTTTAAGGTCGGATCTTAAAATAAGGGTCCCATAGAACTTGTAATTGTAGGACAGAATAGTGGCAACATATTCCTACTTAAGCAATAGTCGAAATCTTTATAAAAAGACTAGTGGTTTTAGAAAAAGATTTTCAATGTCCTTGCCCCTGTCCCACATTGAATTCTTGTCGATGCATAGCGATCCAAAAAAAAAAAAAAAACTTCGAAATTGCAATCTAAATTGACAGCCAAAGCAGGCCTCAGGATTTTATGTAGCAGAAAAGTACTTATTCATTTTAGACTCTTTCACCATCTGGGTTGATTAGTTTGACCAAATATGTTCAGGGAATTTCGTTGACCAAAAATAATCATGTAGACAACATTATCACATCTCTCTTATGCTTATCAAAAGGAGTGTATCGAATTCATGCACCAGATGATATAGTACAATCCTGATTGTCGATTAATCATGAATTAATATTAATTGATGGTCAGAATTACGCCACGTCATTCATTGCATGAATTCGATGTGCTCCTTTCGGTAACTGTAACATTACTTATAGTTAAAATATAATTATGAAACTGCATCTCAATTTCATTTACTTGCTTGCATTGTGATAAAATGTTCCAATGATTTAATTTGAACTTGTATTATGCAGATCAAAGATATGGCATTGAAATTCTCTGGTCGGCAATGCAAACCATGCACGGGGTCTAGTAGCTACAAGAAAGGGCAGAGGCCTTATCCGGATTACGATGTGGCTTCAGAAGGTGTTCCATATCCGTATCTAGGAGGTGGGAGCTCAAGTTCGACGCCTGCATGGGACTTTACGAGGCCTGGTCATCATCCTACTGGGAGGTCGGACACTAGATTTACTGGCGCATTTGGCGGTGGAGGGATGGATACTGCCTCAGTCCAATCTTGTGATGTGGTGCTAGACGATGAGGATGAATCCAAGGAGTGGATGGCACAAGTGGAGCCTGGTGTTCACATTACTTTTGTTTCTCTTCCTAACGGGGGGAATGATCTAAAACGAATTCGCTTCAGGTATGCAATTAATAAATTACCGTGAACTTAAAGCCTATACATTGAAAATTTCCAATGTTAGTTTTTGTTGAAAGCTAAGATATTTCAGCTGGCATCTGTTACTGGCCACAATATAAAGCTAAAAGTAGTTCTGAAGTTTTATTACTGCTTATGTTGGTAATTTTTGGCTTCCTTTACTATACTAAATTGATATTTCAAATTGTATTATTTATGAGGCAATGCATAAACAATAGAATTGACAAATGGGCTCATATCAAGTATTTTATATTGATAGATCAAATATGAAAGAAATTGAACCTTAAGTTTCTCCAATTGTCTTGAAATTTTTATAGTTGATACTCTAGTAACTAACACACGGACAAACTAATTTTATTGGGGCATTTTAACTTGAAGTCGAGAGATGTTTAATAAGTGGCAAGCACAACGATGGTGGGGTGAGAATTATGATCGAATCATGGAGCTTTACAATGTACAGAGATTTAACCGCCAAGCTCTTCACACTCCTCCAAGATCTGAGGATGAGGTAACTATACTCTTTTACATCATTTCCAGGATATTGTACACTCATTGATAACCTTGTTTAACCATGAGTAACTGCACTTTTAGATTCTCCAGAACTTAATAAATAGGTCCAATTCGATAGGTGTGGTTGAGGTAAACTGTAAAAGTAAGTTTATATGAAGATGTAAAGAATGAGATCTTATTCTACTAGTAAAGACATTGATGCTTGTAGACAACTTAATGCCACTGTTACCTAGAATCATTTATATTTCTATTCATATGCATATTAACTGATTTGGAAACCATATTGATATTATAACCCTCCAGGTACACAGAGATTCTAATTACTCAAGGATGGAATCTGCAAGGGAAAGCCCAATGGGCTCATCAATGAACAGAGAATGGATGCCTAGAAGCCAATATAAACCCTCTGGATACCCTATGGATCATGGTGGCAGCCAGCATTACAATGCCGGATCAAGTGCTTACGGTGGAACTGGTCCGAGAGGAGACACATCTTCTTTTGACGCGTCACGAACAACAACCTCATCCCGAGATGAGCCCTCTATTTCCGTTAGCAATGCCAGTGAAGTAGAGACAGAATGGGTTGAGGAAGATGAGCCTGGAGTCTATATTACCATCAGACAATTAGCTGATGGAACTAGGGAGCTTCGGCGCGTCAGATTCAGGTAATGCAGATACACATCCTCCACAAACAAATTGTTATTTCTGAAACTTTTTAAAAATCAATGTTGAGTTCTTACATGCATTTACACTAAATCTTCATTCTGGTTCTGCACAGTCGAGAAAAATTCGGAGAAGTGCACGCGAAGTCGTGGTGGGAAGACAACAGAGAAAGAATACAAGCTCAATACCTCTAAAGTATTATGAATTTACAGGCCATAACTTATAGAGGGTGCAGTTGGACGTCCTGGGAAAACATAGATATATATATATATATATATATATATATTTATAAAAAAAAAAAGCTCATTCAGTTTTGTTTGGTAGCTTGTAATGAGTAAGAAAAGGTCTCATCCAATAGGAAAATGAGAAGAATTAGTATTTACCACTTGAGATCTTCATTTATTAATTATTATAGACAAAGAAATCATATCATACTTCACATTTGTAGTGCCTGCTACATTTTTTGTATTGACAAATACTTCTCCCCGCTGTCCAAATGTGCCCTATTTTGTTTTCAATATTTGTTTCCCTTATTAGTTTTAGTGCCATTTTAGGGTTTTTTTTTTTTTTTTTTTCATTGGTCGGTTTTTTCTCTTTTCGGGAGTATTTTGTCTCTCAATTTATGTATCAAAGTTTGTTCTTTGTAACATACTTATAGTTGATAATTAAATTCCATTCTATCATTTCGTTTGCCCTTATGAAACAACATAATTCTAACATTTGTCTTTAGTTTATACTTATATTTTTTTTTTGCTGGTTTTGTGGATTATCAACATAAATCCATTCCGAAGAACCTTTAACAGAATAGGCAGCTAATGGTTCTGCCCTGATTGAAAAAAGAGAATAAGAAGCATAAGGCGTAAACTAAAGGCCATTTGAGTATAAATTAGACGGCACAACATTCAGGGAATTCAACCATTCTTTGCTCGAGACCAAATTTTGATCAATTCCATTCTGATTTAAATACAGTTGACCACAGCATCAACAATTATTATCACAGAGAAGTTAATAGCGGATTAATAAGGTTCCAAGATACTTTGTGCATATAAATGTTATGCCTGGGAAAGCAAGGGCTGACGTGGAAAGTCACGTGATGCAGTGTGACCTGCTCCCGTCAGAATGGTAAGTAAACGTCAGGCCTGCCAAACGCTATGGAGCTTCCACGTGTCCATTTCCCTACAATAATCGCGTGAAATCAGCTTGGGAAGGGGGCAATGGACGTAAAGCCAGATTATGTCCTGACACTCACACCAACCCATGGATTTAATGATGAGTACACCGCCCTCATCTGTTTATAAAAGGGAGAAGACCCCTTCATTAAGGGGATTCGGCCATTTTTACAAAAAAACTCTCTTGCAAACTTTAAATTTACTTTTCCTAACATTTTGTAAGTCAGTCCGCTGTTGCGACCTGACCCACATTACTAATACAAATCAGTGGACGTAGGACTTGCTACCTTAGCATCCGAACCACTTTAAAAGGCTTTCATTGCATTCATTTCACATTTTTCTATCCATAATCATGTGTGTCTCTTGACCAATCAACGTTACATACGTGTCGATTAGTTGGTGTTAGAATCACGCATCAACAGTTTGGCGCTAGAGGAAGGAGTTCAAGCAGTTCTGCGATGAGCTGGGCATCCATAAAAAATTCGCCTCAGTCGCCAGACCGCAAGCGAATGGCCAAGTTGAAGCTGTCAACAAGACCATCAAGCACACTCTGAAGGCCAAGCTTGGGGCAGCCAAAGGAAATTGGGCTGACGATCTCCCCGAAGTCTTATGGGTGTATAGGATAACTTCAAGAACCTCCACCTCAGAAACCCCCTTTTCGCTAGCCTATGGCTACGAAGCAATGATTCCTGTAGAGGTGGGAACTGGTTCTCTTCGGAGAGACTTGTACGATGAGGTTGAAAAAGAAGCACTTATGAGGGCAAGTCTGGATCTCGTTGAAGAGCACCGCAGCAAGGCTTCGCTAAGGATAGCAGCCTATCAGCAACGTGCGAAAAGGTTCTTCGATTCAAAGGTCAAGCGAAGAGACTTCTAGGTCGGAGACCTTGTGCTAAAAGAAGTTCTCCTTGGAAGCAGGGAGCCAAGTGCGGGGGTACTAGGACCTAACTGGGAAGGACCGTACCGGGTCAGCAAGGTGATCAGACCGGGGACTTACCATCTCAAAAGATTGAACAGTTCCAAAGTACCCCGAGCTCGGAATGCCGAGCACCTCCGGCCATACTATCAGTAATCACGAACTCGGCTCTCATTATAGATCAGTTTTTGATTTTGTTAGTTCCCCCTTTGTTGTAAAGTATCATTCTGTTCGCTTAAACAGTTCGCGTTTATTCTGTTCGCTTAAGCAGTTCACATTTATTTTGTTCGCTTGTAACGATTCACATGTAATATTGCCTATGTAAAACTGAATTGTAAACTGCACTCATATATGATAAAGCGAACAGCAATTGAAAGCAAAATGTATTCTCATTTATTTACAACAAAAATTAAGATCCTATTTTAATGGAGTCACACCCATTGCACTATGGCTGGTCGGGGGGATCCTTCGAAGCAGGACCATAACCTTCTGCTTGGTCGGATCTTCGGGTGGCCGCTGCTGCCTGATCATCTTCCTCCGCCAGAATTCGCAAGGTCTCTTGCCACCCCTGTGGGAGGTCGAAAATATCCAGATCTGGGTTCTTCGGTCGCAGGGCATAGATGGACCCGATTGCCCAGTCGGCGGCCTTATCCTCGGTCTCCTCTAACTGGATACGCATTTCTTCAGTCAGTGAAGCAATTCTTTCTCGACTCTCCTGAAGTTCGGCCTCCAGAGCAAGCCTTTCCTTTTCGGAAGCCTCCCTTTCTTGTTCAGCTCGCTGAGCCCATATGGAGGTCGTCTGGAGCTCCTGGTCCTTCTCTCCGACCTCCTTGGAGAGCCTAGCAGTTGTCCTCTGAAGCTCATTTACTTCCTCCACACGTCGTTCAAGCTCCGCCTTTTGGAAGTCCACTGTTCGCAGAGCGGCATCCTTTTGGTTCAGGTACCTGTTCGCCGCTTCGAATGCTTGCATTCTTTTCGCTTCGACGGACTCCATGTTCTGTTTGAGCTTCGCGACCTCCTCCTTTAGGTCGCTTGCCCCCTTTGCGGCCCCCAGCCGAGTCTTGTCCATAAACATCCTTATCGCAAGCAAAACCTGCGAGCAAGAAATGAATTAGAATAAAAACGGCGGACAAACTTTAAGAGCAGTTCGTTTACCTTGCTTAGATGTTGAAACGACGTGGTCATCAGGTCGTTGCCCGTATCGGCGAACTCATCATATGACTCCGATAGCCCACACTCGAGCAGAGAATAGACTATCGGCTGCAGGTATTCGGGCAGGCTCCCCAACGAGTCCAGCACTGGCGTGCCCTTCGCCTTGTCGGCAGCGATCGTCTCGTCCGCGGGTTCCTTGCCCGACCTCTTTCTTGAGTCCTGTCGCGACCTCAAAGGTTCTTCCTCAGATTCAGTCTCTGACTCGTCGACCTGAATCTGCTTCCTCTTCTTCGACCTCTGGGCCGGAGCCTTCCACCTTGGGCAAGCAGGTGGTGTCTAAGCGACCTGTTCTGTCCTGGTCGCTTCTTGCACAAGACGGGGCTAGGAAGGCGCGGCTGTTTGCACCTGTTGTGCTGTAATAGGACGAGCAGCTTCGATCGCTCTCTATCTCCTCGATCGAGGGAAGACAAATGGTGCTTGGCGAGACTGCTCGGACTCTTTCGGAGGCGTAGTTGCTGCATGCAAGTACATTAGTAAGCAAAAGTTATTCTGCGACCAGAAGGGAATCAGTGTAACTTACCTTCTAGGGGCTCCAAAGACATGTTGTTACTGATGAAACCGTACTTCTGCAAGTTCGCGGTTGTCACGAGCTTCCTCGCGTCCCGGCTTTCCTCGGGAAGGACTCCAAAAGACATGAGCCTGTCTGGGTTGTCAAGCAGGTCTTGGCTGGTCGTCTTATTAACTGCAAAAGAAGGCAGGTCGTTATGATAAAGCAGACGAACAGGCAATGAACCTAGCAAAGAAGAACCTACTTGGTTTCTGAAAACGGCAGTGGCCGTCACAGCAGAAAAAGAAGAATTTTGTCTCATAGGCCCCCGCGTTGTTGGGATAGCTATGTATCCCTTCGGCGATGGTAGGTCGTCGGGACAAGTAATAGGAATCCTTGTCCTTACTCTTTTTGAGATAGTAGGCGATACCGAGCTCCACCGCCGTTGGCTCGCCCAAGCCACTCTTGCGGCACGTGATGTACATCGCGATGGCGATGACATACGCGTTTGGTGTCAACTGCATCGGTGCGATCCCGAAGTGATCCAGGACCGACCTAATGAAAGGATGGAAGGGAATCATCCCTCCACCCTTGAAGATCTCTTCAGAGATCGCAGCAAGGCTTTGGAAGGATGCCGTGACGACCGGGTGTGGTCGAGGAACACCTCTGTGCGGACGTCGAACTGTCTTTTTATCCTATTGAACTCTTCTTGGGTGAGAACCAAGAAGACATCAAGGGATGCGTCCGCGAGGACGAACTGGCCGCTTTCTCGGGTCTGAACGTTGACGGTTCCATTCCAGAGTTTGCAACACCGACAGACAGGTCATTTTAGCCATCGCATGTTGTCCCGCACGGCGGCATGGGACAAATCCTTTAAACCCTAACAGTAACTCGAGCCGCCATCCACGGCTCGAATCCGACGACAACGTCGCGTCTCCGGTGAAACACCGAGAGACCCAACGCCATTGCCCACCAACCAAACAAAAAAGGGGGGGGGGGGGGGGGGGGGGGGGGGGGGGAAGAAAGAAGAAGACCTTACCTTTTGGGGGGCGTGGCCAAGAACGGATCTTGTTTCAGATATCTGAGAAGCGCCAATCGAAAAAGAAGAACTTCTGGTTTGCAAAAATTTGTCGCTCGAGGCAGATGGGATTTTGGTGGCTTCATCTGAAAAATTTGGGCTTTTATATGGACTGCGATCCGACGGTTACCACCTCTCGGAATTGAAACGACAGCTTTCTCTCTCTCTTCGCATTAAATGCGCCCCACGTCGCATTCAATGCTGTGATGAGGGTCGTTGTTTCAAATGTGTCGTGCAATTAATGCTGTCACAACAATGCCGGGTCAGCACACAACGTATTTAATGCGCTTGCCAGACGCTTTAACACATGTAGAGCGTCTGACAGCGTGGAAACAGGTTCATTGAATCTCCAACCCTAAGGCACGGTAAGAAACGTCCGATGAATCCAGGTCGCTAGGATGATGATTGTCAGGTCGTTTGGACAGAATGCGAGGTCGTGTTCGCAAAAGGCCCTGTCCCGAGCTTCTTCCGTTCAGGTCGAAATTACCAGAACCTCCAATTGCGACATGACTTAATTTCCAAGGTTCGATCCTCAAACCTCGAAAACTAGGGGACTTCTGTTATGCCTGGGAAAGCAAGGGCTGACATGGAAAGTCACGTGATGCAGTGTAACCTACTCCTGTCAGAACAGTAAGTACACGTCAGGCCTGCCAAATGCTATGGAGTTCCCACGTGTCCATTTCCCTGCAATAAATCGCGTGAAATCAGCTTGGGAAGGGGGCAATGGGACGTAAAGCCGGATTATGTCCTGACACTCACACCAACCCATGGATTTAATGATGATTACACGCCCTTATCTGGTTATAAAAGGGAGAAGACCCCTTCATTGAGGGGATTCGGCCATTTTTACAAAAAAACTCTCTTGCAAACTTTGTAATTTACTTTTCCTAATAATTTGTAAGTCAGTCCGCTGTTGCGACCTGACCCATATTACTAATACAAATCAGTGGACGTAGGACTTGCTACCTTAGCATCTGAACCACTTTAAAAGGCTTTCATTGCATTCATTTCACATTTTTCTATCCATAATCACGTGTGTCTCTTGACCAATCAACGTTACACACGTGTCGATTAGTTGGTGTTAGAATCACGCATCAACATAAAATATGAATCATACTACTAGAGGTGTTTGGTTCCGGGTATTCTATATTTTTTTAAGGAACCAAAACTGGAACAGAAACTGACGGTTCCTTGCAATTTGAAACCGAAACTTATAATAACGGTTCCGGTTTCGGTGTTGGGTACCCTGTAAAATTACATGACCCTACAAAAGTTTTTAAAATAGCAAAAAAACCCTTAAAAACTTCAAATACTCTCCCATTAGGAACTTGTTAACAAAAATAAAATTACAAATTATAAATTTAAAATTACAAACTCTATTACTTTGTAAATATAGATTCTCAAAAGTCAAACCAACTTACTTTAAATGGTATGAAATATAAATATAAATGTATTCACATTACTTTTTCTACAAAAGTTTTTATTAACCCCCTACTCTTTAATTTTATTTTATATTAGTCTTGGTTACCGGTTTCGGTTCCGGTTCCTAACTATAAGAACCAGAACCGGAACCGCACAGTAATGGTTCCAAAAATTTAGAACCGGAACCTATCCGTTGACGGGTGCTTCTAGATAGAAACCAGTACCAAACCCTAAGTACCTGCCGATTCCGGTTCCAATAAGTTTTTTTGAACAACCCTATGTACTACTGTAATTTTTTTAATTTAATTAAATACATTCTAACAAATGCTCCTTGAATGCGTGGTGCCCAAGAAAAAGAACAAGAAGGATAGTTTTGTAAATTCAAATGGCTACTGCGTATGAGCTTTCAAATGTTTACACCTAACAGCAATGGATAGATTCGCGGCGCCACCTCATAACAAATCTTTAACACCTCACCACCCAACCGAATATTCTTAATTTATTTCTCAAGCAAACTCATAAATAGATGAACAATATCATCAAATATATCCCCACCCACCAAACTCACTCTAAAATTCCACCCCATTTTTGTATTTTCATTACAATTTAAATTAATGAATTTTTATTTTTCTAATTTAGATATTATTGTTATGGTATTAGTGGTCACCCCTGAAATACCGGTGGATAAAACTATAGAAATATTTGTTTTTCTCGCTTTTAAAAATATATGATTAATATTATGTATTTATAAAATAATTAGATTCTTTGTTCTTAGTATAGCGTGGATAACGGGCGGAGGAATAAAATATAAATAATTTTTAGGAAATTAAACACCCCTTTGAGTTAGAAGAATTACATTTCGGTACAACAAAACCCGAAATACACTTTCATTCCAGTTTTAAGTTCAACATCTCTTATAACGGAATTGGAATCTTTTGTTTAAAAAGTACAATACCCTTTTAATTTCTATGTATAAAATAATGAAAAATTAATAAAAAATATAACTTTAAGAATACATTCTCTCTCTATATATAATCCGAACTTCTAGAGATAGATATCATACTCTATATAATCACATAATTTACATGCACTTTAGAAAAATAAACATAAAACTAATAATTATCGAAAGAAATTCTTATATAAGGTGAGGTTATTAGAAAAATAAACAATTACTTGAATTTAATATTAAATAAAAAAAAGATATGCTATTTCAATAATTAAATAAAAACTTTTATTAAAGGACCAAAAAGTCCTTACACCGTCATATTTGACAATACGTCCTTAAGTTTAGGGGGTAATACTACTTGTTCCGGATCGCCCGATACCATATATTCTAACAAACTACAGGGGCGAATATGTAATTATCTGTTCACATTAATTTGTCAAATATAGGTAATAAATAACGTTGGTTGTGGTGTGAGGCATAAATAAAGAGATATTTATTAGTTAGAGAGAGAATTGTGGGTTGGTGTTCTTTTGGTTGGGTTTAGACACAAATAGAGAGAGAAGCTCTGGATTCCACCTTTTTCCGTCCTCCGCGACGGTTATTTTGCCGGTTGGCTCTCAGGTTTTATTTTATTTCTTTCTTTATTCATTTTCTCTTATTTGTATTCGATTCTTTTATCTGATTCGATCGGATCGGACCGGATTGGACCAGATCTGATCTATTCAATTCGAGTCGCTATGTATTGATTTCTTTTTTTTTTTTTTTTGTGGTTTTTGATTCCTGCAATTCAATTTAGTGTTCGGTTTGATCAGATTTGTTTTTTATTTTTTATTTTGTTGATTTTGTTTTATTTAATCTATTCAATTATTGTTTCGCTGTCGGCGGTTTAATACGAAAGTTTTGATTGAATGGATGCAGTTGAATATTTGTTACGATTTTATTTTGTAATTCGATGCCAAGTCTTCCTGAATGGATTTATTGTATAAGATTTTTATAAATTGATGGCAAAGATTTAGGGATTTTTCTTCCATTTTATATTTTGATTTATGTGATTAACTAATTATTAATATTGGTAATTCTTGTTGTTCTATATTTCAATTGATGGCTTGTTCTGGTAATTAGGGATTTGAGGTGTGTCGAATTTTTGTGGTCGACTATTAAGGTGTGACTGTTTGGGGCTACATTTCTTTTGGTTGTTTAAGATCTGTCATGATTAAATAGGAGCAGAAAATCAACTATAATCACTTGTTCTGCAATATTACATTTTCTTTAATATGTTACATCCTTGTTGTCATAATATTGTTACATAGAATTTTACACGTCTTCTATTGTGTCATGTTGTGCTGTGTCATTAGAGATTCTGTCATGTTTGCATTTGTTTCTGTTCTTTTGGTTGTATTGTTTCTCATGATTTTTTTGATTTAGTTTGATTATTTAATGTTAGGTTGTGCTGGACTTGGATCTATACAGATTAATCTTCTCTTTTAAGATATGGAGCAAGCGCGGTTCTGGTTAAATTGCTACCAGTTTCGAGTTTTTTCATTCCAGGAAGTACTGGACTGGCGGTTTCTCGTCCTTGGAGGTTTTCTTTTGGTGTCCTTTGTCAATTGTACCTAGTGGTCCGATTCTCTTTAATGATCAGTATAGGAGACGTAATGCAAATCTTTGCTGAGATAGGTGTTGGATATTTAGTGCACTTTTACAAGTAAGAATCTTGTCGTCATCTTTTTGACAAATTTTACTGTAGATATCTTCTAACTATTTTGCTTTGATGTTAGTGCATCACTGATAGAACATCCAGCCTATTATTTTCAGAAAACGTCTTCTGGGGTACAGCATATTTTACACATTAATTTTTTGTTGTTTTTTTTCTTATGTTTGTCTGAGGCTGCTCTCATTCTTACTGTTTGTTTTTGCTTCTCTTATTGTAGGGTTGAGGTCTGCAAGTACGTGATAAGGTTGCTTTTCTAGCGTTAGACACGAATTTCTGATTTGAGACTGCAGACTCTAGTTCTTAGATATTATTCTGTTATTACTCCTAATGGGTACCCATTAGAAGGACAAGAGATATCGGTTTGCAGAAGATTCTTCAACTTCCAGTTTAGTATAGTTGAGCTACATGTTCTTTAGTTTTTGAACCCTTGTGTGTCCGTGTTTTGCACCTTGGATATATCTATTGGCTGGTACAACCATTCTACTTTTGTTCGTTGTTGGTGTCAATATGTTTAGTGGAATCCTTCTTTTCCTTCAATCTGTTGCTTGGTACTGTTGTGAAGCTGTGAATTTAGAAGAAAATAAGGCTGCAATGCTTCTCCATCAGAAAAATTCTGGTTTTGTTCTTTTTCATTTTGCTACAGAAAATTAATGGTGGATTCAGCGGGACCAGAAAGGCTTTTTTTCATAACTTTATAGTTTTTACTAGAAATCAGTTTGTGACAATAAATGTCATATATCTGCGTGGGTTCTTATACTTCTCTTGAATAAAGAAAGAGCTGCTTTGTGTTCTACAAGAAGAATGGAGAGGTGAGTGGCCTTTATTTGGCACTTGCTTGTTTCTTGTTTGTTGGCAACTATGTTTATTCTCTACATGATATCTTATTTTGGCAAATTTAGGTACAAGTTAATCAAGGAAGTAGGTGATGGAACATTTGGGAGTGTCTGGCGAGCTATTAATAAGCAGTCTGGTGAAGTTGTAAGTTCACTAAAAACTTCCATCAACGGTTCGTTTAAGAAATATGTTTCTGGTAAGATGTTTAAGTTAATTATATTTCACTTTCTGATAGGTTGCTATTAAAAAAATGAAGAAGAAATATTATTCATGGGATGAGTGCATAAATCTTAGAGAAGTTAAGGTAAGATGACTTACTGTCTTATTCTAATTTTTTATAACTCTGTCGTGGCACATTCATAATGTTCTTTCTGTGACAGTCATTGCGAAAAATGAATCATCCAAATATTGTGAAGCTTAAGGAAGTTATCAGAGAAAATGACATCTTGTACTTCGTGTTTGAATACATGGTAAATGAATCATTGCTTTTTGGACTGTCACATTTGCAGTTATATTATTATATTTTAGGGTCACTTCTTACTTGTTTATAAATCACTCATCCCAGGAATGCAACCTTTACCAACTTATGAAAGATAGAGAAAAGCTTTTCTCTGAAACTGAAATCAGAAATTGGTGTTTCCAAGTTTTTCAAGGCCTGGCTTATATGCACCAGCGGGGATATTTTCATCGTGACCTTAAACCCGGTAATTGTAATATTTAGCATTGATAACTATCTAAGTCAGATTGATAAGTTTGGTAGAAATTACTAGTACTGACATGAGCCTATCTTATTGTTTAGCAGTCCATCAAATATATTTTTAAGACTTTAGCGCTTCATGTGGCATCTAGGATAGTTTTTCTTACTGATCAATTTTTTTTATTTTAAATACATTTCTTTTTTCTTCTGAAATTTGTCATCAACATATTAGACCTTCTCTGAATCTAGCTTCCCTAAGCCCTTTAAGTTAATTTCATGTTGCATTTTAATCTCAGTCTCCCTAAGGTGATTTTCATCTACGGGTTTTGAATTTCTTTCATATATTCCTAGAACTTCAAACCTTCGTATCTTTTAACTGAAGTTTTTACTTTCACCCAGAGAACTTGCTTGTTTCAAAAGACATAATCAAAATTGCTGATTTCGGTCTTGCACGGGAGATCAATTCACGTCCACCATATACGGAGTATGTCTCAACACGGTGGTATGTTTCTTGTGTCCCCTCTCTTACTATTTTGCCCATTTCATCCCTTTTCCATGGTGGTCTGTTTCTTTTCTTCTTTCTTACCTTTTTGGGCAACTCATGCCTTTTCTGTGGTTTATTGACTTTTTAGCATGGATGTGTCAGGTATCGAGCCCCTGAAGTGCTGCTTCAGTCGTACCTGTATAGTTCTAAAGTTGGTTAGTATCATTGGAAATTTGTCACTGCTGTAATATATAATCATAATGAGTTGATTAGCATGTTTAATTGTTTATGTATATCTTTTTTCCAGACATGTGGGCTATGGGTGCTATCATGGCTGAGTTGATCATGCTCCGTCCTCTCTTTCCGGGTACTAGGTAGTATTATTTCTGTTATTTAAAATCCTGTGTTTCCTGTCCTTTTTTCTGCTTTATTAAACAAGAGATGTAATTGATGGTGAACAATTCTTAGTGGTAAGGTGAGAAATACAAATTACTCACTGAGATTGGCTTTTCTGAAGTTGTTTAGTTGTAATAGAGGGAATATCCCTTTCCCTCTGTTATCACCAAGGTTTTAAAACCCAGCTCGGCCCGGCTGGTTTAACCGGTTTGACCGTAAACCAGTGGCTTAGCCAGTCCGGTCAAGGTAGAAAACCGTGAATAAGAATTAATCTGTTTTGACCCGTGGTTGGACGGGTTACTGTAGCGAACCACTGGTCCAACCGGTTTTGTGAAAAAACTGGGTTAACTCTAATTCCTAAATTCTAAGATTCAAATCCCTTTTACAATTTTCAATTAAAGACATGAGGTTAATCAACCCAAAAAAATAACACTAATCAACGAAGCCACTAGAAGAAGAGAGAGAATCCAACTCGAAGAAGAGGAGAAAAAATAAGTGAGAGGAGTTGAAACCCTAGGCCGTCGCTGCTGTGGTGGCGATGTTGGTGGAGAATGGTGGAGGGGCATATAATAGTGGCAGCACACAGCTAATAAGAGAGAAGAAAATGAAAGAATCGGAAGAGCTTTAAAAATTAAAACAGAAGAAATGAAAGAGTAAAGAACAACAAAGAGAGTTGGAGAAAGAAGTTGTTGAAGCTTTCTCTCTCTACTATACTCTTCTTCGTTCCTGCAATCTTAAGGTGGAATAGATTGAAAATAAATAATTTAATTTAATAAATAAAGTAGGTGTACTTATATTGCATTTAATGAGCTTTCATTGAAAATAAAAAACAAATATTAAATGTCCTTGCAAAAGATGATGTGTACTGTATTGCATTTAATAAAAAACAAATAAAAAGTTGTTTGTTGGTGGACACGATCATATGAGAGGTGAGGGATTCATGAGCTAATGAGATAAAGAAGGAGAAGTAGACAGAAAACATTGATTGGGTGATGAGATCAAGAAGGTGATGTCACCGGTCTGACCCGCCGGTCGAACCGGTTAACCCGGGACCCGGTCACCTGCCCAGGTCAGTCGGTAATTAAAACATTGGTCATCACTTTATGAGGGAACCAAGTCAAGTTTGATAGATATCATTTTTGAAGATTTATTTGGTTGTAAGGAGAAAGTGTTAGATATCAGTTATGTTAGTTATCTGATCAGAGGGAATTTAGATATTTGTTATCATTGCATCATGATGTCTTGCAAAGCAATCATTTTTTTGTGATGTAATCTTCTTTGGCGGTTGTTAACTTCAGAGTTATTGTTTTACAAATTGGTCACCAACTGCAACTGGTAGTAATCTTGACTTTATCATTATTGTGCATGCAGTGAAGCCGATGAAATCTACAAAATATGCAGTGTAATAGGAACTCCAACTAAGGATTCTTGGGCTGATGGACTGCTACTTGCAAGGGGAATAAACTATCAATTCCCACAGGTCTGTTTTAACCTCTTCTTTTGACCAAATCCTGGATTCTGTATTGTCATTGGAAACGTAATGGGTAATGTACATTTATGTAAGATATGGAAGTTCACAATACCCTGTTATTAACCTAAACTAGTTTCTTATTGTTCAAATATATTACCTATTGAAAATTTGAAGAAAATTTAGAACTCGCACTTCCTATCAAATGAAAAATTAAATTGTCAGCTAACCTCAACTGTTTTTTCTTGTATTTTGTTTCTTCAGTTAGCTGGTGTCCATCTCTCTACATTAATACCATCAGCGAATGAAGATGCCCTTAGTCTGATTAAGGTAAAGCAATTTTTAGATTTAATGGAGTTGTGTGTTTGTTCACTGTTGAATCACCTGACATGTGATTCTTTTTTGTTGACTTATTCAAATACTAGTTGCTTTGTTCTTGGGATCCCTGCAAGAGGCCTACTGCTACAGAGGCCTTGCAACACCCATTCTTCCAGGTATGTTGTAGTATTTATTTCTGGAGAATTTTGATTCACTTGCTCTACAGCATGGTCTACATGTAGGTTTGAGTGGTTTTGAAATTTGTTAAAGATCTATCTGAATTTTTGAAATCTGCTTGAAACCTGAGATACGTCTAAAATCTCAGGAGCCTTCCCTGCTATAGAGATATTTCAAAGAGTTAGATCTGGCATTGTATTTTTTTGTGCAAACAAGCTCCACACATTTTTTTCCCCTAAATGAAGTTTCTTTTGTTTTACACATTTGTACTAGGTATTTCTTTTGTTACATAAAAGAAATCTATAATGTGCTAATATTTGATGCAATGTTGCAGAGCTGCTTTTATGTTCCACCATCTCTTCGCTCCAGAGCAGCTGTCACGAGAACGCCTCCATCTTGTTTGTCTCAGTCCATTTGTTCATTCATGGCTTACCAATAGATAAAATAGCAATTTTTGACGTTACGTACCTTTCCGGAATTTTATTTAAGTGCATTTATTGCAGCTGGAACAAGGGGAGCATTGGAACAGCAAGGTGCTAGGAGGTATTCTGGGGCAATATCTAATTCGAAGCTTGTTAGCAATTTTTCTTCTCCAAAGTTAAATGCTCCTATGATTACAGGTAATTTTATCTAAATATTTGACAGATGTTTTTCTTTAATTAATACATCCATAGATATTTGGATATTATTTCTGTTCAAATTCGGTCCTTAGTCTTGTACTAAGATACTAAAGTATTGGGTGATTGGTTTCTTCTACTGAAACCTGTTAAAGATAGCTTTGAAAATGCTGGCTTGAAATCTATGTCAGGGCTCCTTGAAGGGAGATTCTTTGACATTCTGGTAGTACACAAGAAATCAAATTGAGCCTAAAGTTTTGTTCCCTATGATATTGACATTGAGTGTTAGTGTCTAAATCGCTAAAACATGTTTAAGATTGCTTATAATCTGATAAAGGATTGCTAGCTTGCAGATGGATGTTTGTGGCACGAACAAATTAAGATTTCTCGAATGTATGCTTATGTTCTTTTTTATGTATTTATTATTTTAATGTTATATTCTCATGCTATGCCGAATGTTCTTTCAGGTGTGCAACGCAAGCTGGAAATGGTTAATCAGAATCAGGTAAGAGGCTAGGACCAATCCAGTATGGCTTATTTTTATACCAAGAAATTCTCTTGAAAATAATTAATAAAGAAATGATAACTCCTGAAGAACCTTGGTAAACATGCATTACTAGGTTTAATCATGTTCGAAATGTTGCAAAGTGAAAGATATCCTAAATTGTATCTCTTTTATACTATTGCTTTGCATGTATGATCTAAATTTATCATTACTCTGCTATTTTCCACTTGAATTCAACTTCCTGTCTAGTGAGTCTTTTGGTGGTTTTTCCTCTCTTACTAGTACTCCTCAGTACTTAAGCTATTCTTTCTCAGCCTCTATACTCTACATTCTTGGTTAAATCCTTCATGCCTTCATTCTTGAAAATTTTATTGCGAGTGCCCCTTTTATTCGCATGTTTCTTCAGACAGACATGTTACAAAAAATTCCTTAAAATTTTGAAGAAATGAGTTGTTGCATTCAGATTTTTTGAAATTCTCAAAGATTTTTTTGAAATTTTCAAAACTGTGACTTCCAATAATTTGAATTTGTTTTTAAGGAAATTGATAAACGTGAATATAATCTTAGTTTGTTTACAATGCTGAATATATTTTCTGGAAGTTGCTTTTTTCAATTGAGTGAAAATGGTATTGATTTATGGAAAGAGTGTTGTGCTTGAGTGGATGGTTGATTTCAATGAATGTGAAATATGGTGAATGTGGACAAATATATATTGCGACTGGAATTGGTTGTTACATCTTTAGAAATTGATGAAAGAGTTTGGGGCACTTCTTAGAATATGAATGATAATGTTAAAGAGTGAGTACAAAATAAATGACAAAATGAGAATTCTAATCCCTACTAAGGTTGGGTTCTTTGGTGTAGAGTCTTGAATTTTGAGGGATTGGAATCAGATGTTAAAGATGTGGTATATGTCATAGGAAAAATGTTAAGTGGTGGCTTAACAGCAATTGTCTTCTATTGTGTTTATGTGTTCACTCAAAGGTTACTCATAGGGTTCATCACCTGAAAAAGCTATCATAAACAATAAACCAGTACAATTCTCATATTAAATGATATGTCTTTGTGGGATGCTACTTTCTTTTTGGTTAGTACAATAGCTTATTAGGTCTTCAATAAGTTATTTATTGTTGACTGATTGTTTCATGCAGGCTGCTACTAGGAATGATAAATACACGAGTCCCATTCGCAAGCAACCAAAATATCGCCCAGCCGGGAGGAAGAGTCCAAGTAAGCATCTTGGTTATTAATTTATTTTTCTATAATGTTCCATTTTTCATGTTATACCCTTAAGAAAGAATGAGATAGTAAGTTTGTGTGCTTTTATTTTGTAGCCTCCATAAACAAAGGTAGAAGTGCACGTGGAGTTTCAGATACAGCTGAAAAGTTGGCAAACATGACAGTAGGTAGCCGCAGGCAGTCTCTGGTGCAGCCGCTGAAGCCACCTCCTATGAAGACTGGAGTGCACTGGAATGCCGGATCAGGAGGTGATATGTTTCTGAGATCAACTCAACCGCTGCAATCTGGCAGAACTTACACCAGGAAAGTTGCGGGCTAAAGGTGCAGGAAAGGTGGTGTTTTTGAGAGGGGGTTGAATAATGGGGATTATGTGGAATGTGTTGAGTACTACTAGTACGAATGAATGATAACCTGGGTGTTGTGGATTTTATGGTTTTGGGTTTTTAGTTCAAGTAATAGCAGTATATATACTATACTATTTGTTCCGTCGTTTACTCAGATTTGTTATGTTTCTTTCTACCTAATTACATATAATATGATAAAAGAGTGCTGTTGATATTTGTGTTCTTTTTTTTAGCCCATTACCATTTCTTTTTTCTATCTAATTGCATGATTACCATAATCGGGAGAGACCGTTTGGAAGAGTGTGTTTTACTGCTTATTCATGTTGTGCAAGTATCACTCTTATCCAGCAATGGATGTGTAACGAACTTCAAGGGAAGTCTTCATAAACATATTTACCAATTGCTACATAATAACAATTTTCAATCCATCGTTGTATGGCTCCTTGACGAGTTGGTGCGATGGATCCTACTCTACAGGCAGAAAAAGGTTTTATTATAAGACTAAAAAATATTCAAAAGGTCCCTTAAGCACCTTATGGATATAGTAAACTAATTCTAAGCATTTGACTGTTGGCGATTTCTTTGTATGTATTGTTAGGAAGGAGGACTCCATGACGTTACTATTGGTTCGGCGGAACGAGAAGTAAAAATTAACTCTATGATTTCAACTGCCTATTTTAAACAGCAATCTCGTAATAACCCTTTGATTTATTGCTGCGTCGTACCGGCCCATGCACCTAGATTTTTAACCCACTAATCCAATTTCGGACTCTGTCGTGCCAACCCGGCCCGGTCCGGCCCGGTTGACATGTCGAAACTAAACGTCACCAATAAACCATAAACCATAAACCCTTACGCACAGCTGGGTAGGGTTTATGTTTATGGGTTATGGTTACAGTGAGTAAATCTTCTTAATGGCTACCCAGTTGTTAATTCCAAGAGCATCAACCAAATATCTCTCTTATCTCCGTAATTACTTGAGACCCGTTCACTCTTTGTCCAATTTTTATAATAAATCTTGCTCCGGAAATTCCAGGGGCTTTGCCTCCGAACCAAATTACAATATCAACGAAGCCGGTGCCACTGCTTTGGGCGTCGATAATCGTGTCCCGGCCACCGTCATTACCGGATTCCTTGGTTCTGGAAAGGTTGACCGCTTACTTCCTTTCCTTTTTTTTTATGAGTAACTTCTTCTCAAAAATTCATTTCTTGTCTTATGCTTTCCTCTCTCTCTCTCTCTCTCTCTCTCTCTCTCTGTCTCTCGCTCTCTCTCTCTCTCTATATATATATATATATATATATCCTTCAAAACTTCTCCTGAAGCAAGTAGATTACAAAGTATCAATGAGACAATGACCATGTATTTGTTTTACTAATTTAACTTAAAAAATACTAAGTTACAATACCCTGAACCTCTCTGTCTCTATGTATGAGATTGCGATTTTTAACATTTAGTTTTGACTAAAATCTTTTAAATTATCACCCATTCATAGTTAAATTCGATAGTGGGAAAGTCAATAGCGTATTTAGATGAATGATTGATTATATTTTATTTTGGTTCCAACTGTTTTTTTGGTGCAGACCACTCTACTGAATCACATTCTAACGGCTCAACATGGCAAGCGGATTGCTGTCATTGAAAATGAGGTATTGACACTTTTCCCCTTATGAATTCAGAATTGCATCCTATAGTCAGGGCTATTCTTACTTTCTGCTTATCAGTAAGTTTGCTTTTGCAAATAATATCCATGTAACTTTTTATATTCTGTTGAGAATGCTTTTTTACAAAACGTTATTTTGACATTATCGGTCTTCATTGACTCCAAGAGAAGCAGCATATCAATGATGCGTATTGAATTTAGATAATACCTTACAAAACTCGACATTAAGAACTTGACATGGTTCATATGAAAATTTGCTCTGGAAGATACATTCATGGGGATAATTATTATAGCTGTTGAGAAAAATTAATTTATGCATATATGAGGGTGGTTTTCTTGTATTTGTTAGATAATAAGTTTGATTGATATCACTGCAGTTTGGCGTGGTAGATATTGATGGATCATTGGTCGCTAGTCATTCCTCTATGTCTGAAGACATTGTCATGGTTAATAATGGGTGCCTCTGCTGTACAGTACGCGGAGATCTGGTTAAAATGCTCCTGGAGTTGGCTAGGAAAAAAGGAGATAAATTTGATCATATTGTTATAGAAACCACAGGTATGTCTTATGTGAAAATAACATTTTTACTAGAAGGTTGGAAGAATTAAACTTTATAAATTTATTGATTTTAAATTGAACACAGCGGGATCATTGAAATAGACAATAACAGATAAATGGAGAAACTGACAATCATCTCGTAGTTGATATTATCTTTTCTCATTTATTTATTTATTTTTTGTGCTTATGTGTAGTATGATTGTCTTTCCTTGGTTCTGGATTACTATTGTGGTAGCTCTTTCCATTCTTCTTAACGAATTTACTTCACTTATATAATAACTACTAGTAGTTTTGCAAAGTATAGGAGTTCACTACTTAGCAGCATCAGGTGCAGGTATTGATGGCTTGAGTGTTCTATTTATTGGGTGTATCCTTTTGCAGGCCTTGCTAAGCCAGCACCAGTTATAGAAACATTTTGTGCCGATGAACTGGTTTCAAAGTATGTTAATCTTGATGGAGTTGTCACATTGGTTGACGCCAAGCATGCTATGCAACATTTGAATGAAGTAAAACCAAGATTTGTGGTGAATGAGGCAGTAGAACAAGTTGCTTATGCTGATCGTATTATTTTGAACAAGGTAAACTTTAATTCCTTACCTTGAATTACTGCAGCCCCTAAGGTCTTTCCTCATCTCTGTCTTGTTTTAGTTTTATTTGTGTTCAGTGCCATGCAAATGTGCAGAGATATTCTCTACATTCTGTTTATGATCTTTTTTTTATCTTCTGCTTTGGCAGATAGATTTAGTGACTGAGACTGAATTGCAGAGTTTAACAGAGAAAATCAAGGTATGAGTCTTCATTGTAATTTAATTTTAAATATGGTAAAAAGTAATACTTGATGGAAGTCTGTAGTTTCTACATGCCATTTTCAAAAACTTTTGTGGAAAGTATTTTTCTTTCGTTAGATCCTTATATTCATTTTCTATTAAGCTGCCTGGATCTCATCTTTTACTATTGTATCTGAAGAATTGTTTACCTAACTAATATTTTGAATTTTTCTGAGCTCAAGTAAAGTTGACCACTCAAGTGGCTGAACAATACATAACTTTTTAATTTTTGTATTGTATCATAGTATTTGGAGACTCATTTTCAGATGAGGAATAGACGCTTGTAATCCCATGATATAATCTGTCTGTCAAACTGCTCTTGCTGGGACAATTTGTCCTTTTTTTGTGGACAGCTAATCCATTTTCCTAGCAAATGGATAAGAGAAAAAAAGGTTCTTGTTGTTCAGCTTGACTAGACATGCAGTTTCCTGACTTTTATGCAGATTGGCTATTTCACTGATTCTATTTGTACCATGTTTTGATTGCTTCTTTCGGCTTTGTAGCAATAGATTTTTGGTATTATAACAAAATTTTACATTTTTCTCTTTTGTGCTTTTGGTTTACTATTGGCAGCATATCAATGCGATGGCACCGATTAAACTAGCTAAATATGGATCCGTTGACATGGATTTTGTTTTGGGTGTTGGAGGATATGATCTTGAAAGGTCATTATCTCTTGTGCTTCAGCCATTTTCTTTTATTTGTTTACGACTGTGTTCGAATTCTTCCTTTGTTATTCCATTTCTATTTGTAAAATTGAATTTCTTTTCTTTACAAAGCAAATTTGTAGCACATATTCATATTTCAGGCAGTGTTGTGCAAAACCATCATTTTAAAATATCACCGCTTTGAGTTTACAGAATCGATTCTGAAGTTCACGTGGATAGTTCTCATTGTGCAACCCAGCATCATGAAACTGGGCATGGTATGTCTGCTTCTTTTTCTTTCTATTTTTCTTTTCTGTCATTATTTTCATATTGCTGCAGAAGCTGTGATTTAAAAGAAGAGATGAATGAGTATATTGATAACAATTGTGAATTTGAATTGTCTTTTAGTTGGAATTGTTTGTGTTTTACTTGATGTATCTGTCATCTCATATTTAGCTTTATTATTGTTGGTTTAATCACTATCTTGAATACTTTTTATAAATTTTGATTTTGATTTGATTTTAACAGCATCTGTATGGGCTTCACCCTTCATTTTCACAAAGAGTTTCATGACCCTCTTTCTTTATTTGCTGGAGTGGGTTCTACACTTGTGTGTGTGTGTTTTTTTTTTTTTTTTTTTTTTGTCCTTTTGGGTTGCTTTGGCTGTACAAGTCCTATGATTATTCATCTTTATGCACAGCCTATACAAAGTTTCTGGGTTCTGTTTTTGTAAATTTTTTCTACTCCGTCCTTAGGGGGAATGATTTGAATACTTAGCGGATAACTGATCAATTTTGGTATTTCTCTCTGACTAATATAGTTTCCTGTTCATATAAAATTCAAAAAAAAAAAAAAAAGGAGAATGTTTGAGTAACTGCCCGGTATTTTGTCTGCAGCTATCAAATATTACTTTCTTTTGTGATAGAAAATCTCAGTATAAATACATCATTATATAATAGTTCTATCTTTGTTTATCCAAAATATAATGCTACCATTTATCTTTTTGTCAAGTTTATAATTCATCTTAGGATTAGGTTGTCTCTAGAGTCATTCCAAATCTGTCTTGTACTTTGTCTAGTTCAGTAGCCATCATTTTGTATGAATAATACAGGGCACCATGAAGGGCATCATCATGATCATGTACATGATTCTGCCGTATCGAGTGTTAGCATTGTTTCAGAGGGAACTCTTGATCTTGATGAGGTAATCAACATATTGCATGATGCTTCATTAATTTGTTGTTACACCTCTGAATACACTCTTTATTAAAAATTGGTCACACGGCGATATCTAATTAAGTGTCTGATTACTAGGCCATAAAAAATAATTTAGCTAATTTAGTTTCTGATTACTAACTCATAAAAAAATAATTTAAGCTGAAATTTAATTGAAGATGGCCTGTGTTTGAGTGACATTCCGGTTCTTATTTTAAGCTAATCATTGCATGTAATGCAACTATCTTTAGGTTGATGATTGGCTTGAAAGATTGATAGAAGAAAAAGGGGAGAACTTGTACAGAATGAAGGGTATCTTGTGTGTGAATGGTTCTGATCAGCGTTACGTATTCCAGGTTTCGTTTTGGTTATAGTTTTCCCAATTTCGTTTTGGTTATAATCCGTAACTAGTTTCTTAATTTTAGTTCATTCAAAATCTAGATTCCCCATTGTGTTGTTTGTTTCATCAGGGGGTTCATTCCATGTTGGACGGTTGCCCGGGCAGAACATGGGGAGCTGATGAGAAGAAAATCAACAAGATCGTCTTCATTGGAAGAAATTTGGATGAAACTGCCCTTTTTCAAAAGAAGTTTTCACTGACTCCTCTTCTTTATTTGCTGGAGTGGGGTTACACTTGTGTGTGTGTGTGTTTTTTTTTTTTTTTTTTTTTTCTTTTAAAATAACATTTTTACTAGAAGGTTGGAAGAATTAAACTTTATAAATTTATTGATTTTAAATTGAACACAGCAGGATCCTTAAAATAGACAATAACAGATAAATGGAGAAACTTACAATCATCTCGTAGTTGATATTATCTTTTCTCATTTATTTATTTATTTTTTGTGCCTATGTGTAGTATAATTGTCTTTCCTTGGTTCTGGATTACTATTGTGGTAGCTCTTTCCATTCTTCTTAACGAATTTACTTTACCTATATAATAACTACTAGTAGTTTTGCAAAGTATAGGAGTTCACTACTTAGCAGCATCAGGTGCAGGTATTGATGGCTTGAGTGTTCTATTTATTGGGTGTATCCTTTTGCAGGCCTTGCTAAGCCAGCACCAGTTATAGAAACATTTTGTGCCGATGAACTGGTTTCAAAGTATGTTAATCTTGATGGAGTTGTCACATTGGTTGACGCCAAGCATGCTATGCAACATTTGAATGAAGTAAAACCAAGATTTGTGGTGAATGAGGCAGTAGAACAAGTTGCTTATGCTGATCGTATTATTTTGAACAAGGTAAACTTTAATTCCTTACCTTGAATTACTGCAGCCCCTAAGGTCTTTCCTCATCTCTGTCTTGTTTTAGTTTTATTTGTGTTCAGTGCCATGCAAATGTGCAGAGATATTCTCTACATTCTGTTTATGATCTTTTTTTTTCTTCTGCTTTGGCAGATAGATTTGGTGACTGAGACTGAATTGCAGAGTTTAACAGAGAAAATCAGGGTATGAGTCTTCATTGTAATTTAATTTTAAATATGGTAAAAAGTAATACTTGATGGAAGTCTGTAGTTTCTCCATGCAATTTTCAAAAACTTTTGTGGAAAGTATTTTTCTTTCGCTAGATCCTTATATTCATTTTCTATTAAGCTACCTGGATCTCATCTTTTACTATTGTATGTGAAGAATTGTTTACCTAACTAATATTGTGAATTTTTCTGAGCTCAAGTAAAGTTGACCGCTCAAGTGGCTGAACAATACATAACTTTTTAATTTTTGTATTGTATCATAGTATTTGGAGACTCATTTTCAGAGGACGAACAGACGCTTGTAATCCCATGATATAATCTGTCTGTCAAACTGCTATTGCTGGGACAATTTGTCCTTTTTTTGTGGACAGCTAATCCATTTTCCTAGCAAATGGATAAGAGAAAAAAAGGTTCTTGTTGTTCAGCTTGACTAGACATGCAGTTTCCTGACTTTTATGCAGATTGGCTATTTCACTGATTCTATTTGTACCATGTTTTGATTGCTTTTTTCGGCTTTGTAGCAATAGATTTTTGGTACTATAACAAAATTTTACATTTTTCTCTTTTGTGCTTTTGGTTTACTATTGGCAGCATATCAATGCGATGGCACCAATTAAACTAGCTAAATATGGATCCGTTGACATGGATTTTGTTTTGGGTGTTGGAGGATATGATCTTGAAAGGTCATTATCTCTTGTGCTTCAGCTATTTTCTTTTATTTGTTTACGACTGTTTCGAATTCTTCCTTTGTTATTCCATTTTCTATTTGTAAAATTGAATTTCTTTTTCTTTACAAAGCAAATTTGTAGCACATATTCATATTTCAGGCAGTGTTGTGCAAAACCATCATTTTAAAAATATCACCGCTTTGAGTTTACAGAATCGATTCTGAAGTTCACGTGGATAGTTCTCATTGTGCAACCCAGCATCATGAAACTGGGCATGGTATGTCTGCTTCTTTTTCTTTCTATTTTTCTTTTCTGTCATTATTTCTATATTGGACTGCAGAAGCTTGTGATTTAAATAGAAGAGATGAATGAGTATATTGATAACAATTGTGAATTTGAATTGTCTTTTAGTTGGAATTGTTTGTGTTTTACTTGATGTATCTGTCATCTCATATTTAGCTTTATTATTGTTGGTTTAATCACTATCTTGAATACTTTTTATAAATTTTGATTTTGATTTTGATTTTAACAGCATCTGTATGGGCTTCACGCCTTCATTTTCACAAAGAGTTTCATGACTCCTCTTTCTTTATTTGCTGGAGTGGGGTTCTACACTTGTGTGTGTGTGTGTTTTTTTTTTTTTTTTTTTGGGGTTGCTTTGGCTGTACAAGTCCTATGATTATTCATCTTTATGCACAGCCTATACAATTTTTGGGTTCCGTTTTTGTAAATTTTTTCTACTCCATCCTTAGGGGGAATGATTTGAATACTTAGCGATAACTGATCAATTTTGGTATTTCTATCTGACTAATATAGTTTCCAGTTCATATAAATTAAAAAAAAAAAAAAAAAAAAAAAAAGAGAATTTTTGAGTACGCCCTGTATTTTGTCTGCAGTATAAATATTACTTTCTTTTGTGATAGAAAATCTCAGTAAAATACATCATTATATAATAGTTCTTCTTTGTTTATCCAAATATAATGCTACCATTTATCTTTTTGTCAAGTTATAATTCATCTTAGATTAGGTTGTCTCTAGAGTCATTCCAAATCTGTCTTGTACTTTGTCTAGTTCATAGCCATCATTTGTATGAATAAACAGGGCACCATGAAGGGCATCATCATGATCATGTACATGATTCTGCCGTATCGAGTGTTAGCATTGTTTCAGAGGGAACTCTTGATCTTGATGAGTAATCAACATATTGCATGATGCTTCATTATTTGTTGTTACACCTCTGAATACACTCTTTATTAAAATTGGTCACACGGCGATATCATCATGTTTCTGATTACTAGCCATAAAAATATTTAGCTAATTAAGTTTCTGATTACTAACCCATAAAAAAAAAATTTAGCTGAAATTTTTGAAGATGGCCTGTGTTTGAGTGACATTCCGGTTCTTATTTTAAGCTATCATTGCATGTATGCAACTATCTTAGGTTGATGTTGGCTTGAAAGATTGATAGAGAAAAAGGGGAGAACTTGTACAGAATGAAGGGTATCTTGTGTGTGAATGTTTCTGATCAGCGTTACGTATTCCAGGTTTCGTTTTGGTTTAGTTTTCTCAATTTCTTTGGTTATAATCCGTAACTAGTTTTCTAATTTTAGTTCATTCAAAATCTAGATTCCCCATTGTGTTGTTTGTTTCATCAGGGGGTTCATTCCATGTTGGACGTTGCCCGGGCAAACATGGGGAACTGATGAGAAGAAAATCAACAAGATCGTCTCATTGGAAGAAATTTGGATGAAACTGCCTTAGAAAAGGTTTCAAGGGCTGCCTATATGACTTCAATCTGTAAAAAAAAAAAAAAAAAAAAATCCAAAACAAAATGTTGAACCTCAATGAATATTATTGTACTTTCTGATGTTATTATTAGTGATTATAAAAAAAATAAAATAAAAATTGGTCTTAACATAAAATTTTGATGGTGCGCAAGCAGCCCATTTGGCTCATCCTAATAAATTATGCTTGACAAAATATAAGAAGCCAATAAAAGAAAAGTTGAAGAAGGTGGAGCCAAACAAGACAGGAAAAAATAACAATTGCTTCCTTCAGATTTGACTAAAGTAACCCTTTAATTTTATGGAATTTTTCAGTCACGTTTTGGTGCCTATCAGTATGTTTTGGTTCTTGTCGTTAGCAGCTCTCATGGATCAAAATGCTACTGATTAACAGATATAGGAACCGAAACGTTACTTAAAAACTTTATAAGACCAAAGAATATTTGGACTAAATCTCAGGGATGATATTGTTATTATTATGAACTCGAAACAAGACTGAATAGATTCAGTGGACCGGGCGGTGGGCTCACGGACTCATATTCCCCCATTCGGCTCGGATCGAATATTCTTGAGCCGCCGCCTTTCGCGGACGTTACGAAACGTGTCCTTCATCTCGCTGGCCCACTTACATTTCCCCGACCGTAGTTTAGATTCATCATGGGCCCTCCACGTGACTCCAGTATTATTCCATTGGGAGGAATATTCCACGTTGGCATCCACGTGGCAACCATTCACCGTCGGATTGTCATACTATTTGACTTCTTAAAAGATCCAACGGCCGCAAACCAAGTAAATGTACGTAGGAGATGGTTCTTTACATGTCACTTTCATTTTTTCGGCCGAGATTCGTCGCCGAGCTTTCCTCGACATGTTCTCTTTCATTTGTTTATTAATTATCTTTCTCAGGTGTCGATTTATAAAGCCTGAGAAAACGAGTAGTTTGTTCTTGTTTCTTTGCTAGATTCATTTCATTGTGCTGTTGGAAAGCTTCTTCTCTGTTTCCGTTTTTCGTCATTTTGTGAATTTTGGTTCGAGACGAATGGAGAGAAATAGTTTTGGTGGAGGAGAAGGGAGTTACGGTTACGAGAACGGAGTGATTATGACGAGAGACCCGAAGCCGAGGCTGCGGTGGACGGCTGATCTTCATGATCGTTTCGTCGATGCCGTCACCAAACTTGGAGGCCCTGACAGTGAGTCTCTCTTTCTTCTTGTTGATTTTAATTTGCTCTTTGTTACGTCGTCATCAAACTTCATTCACTTCTAAATTGTCCTCTTGTTTATTTTCTGAAAATTCTTCAACTTTTTTGAATTTCAGACTATATTGCATAAAATTTTTTTTTTAAAAAAAAAAAGGTAAAGAGAGCTTAGACGCTTATTCTTCATAGCTACAATGTTTTATGATATTTCACATTTGGTATGAGTACTTTATAGAAATTCCCTTTTTCTTTTAATTATAAATATGCCTTTCTTTCATAAATTTTTTCTGAGTTGGTGGACTTTGAAACTAAGAACTGGTTTATGCCGGGAAAGAAAATAAAGAAAAGGTATTGACTTTTGCTCTCAATTAATCAACCGAACAACTCCATGAAAATTGTAAAATATTAATAAAATAGATTGAGAAGTTAAAAATTCAAATTAGTCTACAAAAATTTCGCCGCAATTTCTTCCCTTAACACCCACACTTTTTTCTTTTTCAACCTTAAAGAATGTTTTTAAAAAACAAGGTCATGTAATGATTAAGAAGAAGTTTGATTGAATGTATTGATTTACAGTGAAGAATCACCAATGGAGATACATTACTGTATAACGGAAAAAGAATAAAGGCAAGAGAATCAGAAGTAGACAAGTGTAGTGGAATTATAATTTGACTTCTCATATTTTCATAATTACATATAAAATCAATCGTAGCTGAATTAGTTGATAAAAGAAAATAGTTTCAAGAATTGTAATTATGTGCAGAGTTAGAAAAACGGGTGTATTGTGAATCAATGGCGAAATTTCGTTCCTTTCAAGTCTTGAGAATTAAAACTAAAACTTCCCTAATAAAGGAGAGGTATTGATAACCTGCATGATAAGAGAAGGGTCAGCAGCACTTAGCAGGGGTGTTAAGGATAATTTTCCAACTTAGGGGGTATTTGTGAAGCTAGAACAAATTTCAAGGAAGGTAAATTGCCCAAAACAAAAAGATGTCTTTATAAAGATTTGAAAATATTCAATTTGGTTGTGTTTAGCACATGGAAGGTTCAATAGGCATTTTTTGAAAATATATTCGTAAAATTTCTGTTGTGTTATTTAAATTGGATTGATGGTTTCAGAGGCAACTCCCAAATCTGTGTTGAGAGTGATGGGCTTAAAGGGCTTGACATTGTACCATTTAAAGAGCCATTTACAGGTACATTTATAACCGCATAAATTCCCATTAACTCTTTTTTTAATTTAAACTTTTTTATGCTTTACTTTTTCAGTTCTTCTTCCCTCTCTTTTTCTTAAAATGATTTTAAATTTCTAAATTTATAGATATGAAAAACGTGTTTAATGATTGTTCTTAAAAGAAGCGCAACTTTAATTGCTGCAGGAAAGTGGACAATACTTTTGATTTGTTCCATACTTTTGTTAATTTTTGTGCGCCATTTACTTTGATTTTCAAAACTATAACGGTAGAAATTTTTATATCAGTTACATTTAAATATAGTTTTCTATTTAGTATTAATAACAATAATCCATGAGGTTTAAATTAATAATAAAACTCACTTACACTAATAACAACAATCTTATTATCATTAAATTTTAAGTGTTTAAATAAATATTTATTAACTGGTAATACTATAAGTTATAATGGTTCATTAACAGTAAAGGGATTTTTGTTAGTTAGCTCCTGGGTCGAGACATTATCCCTTTACATTGGATATGTATATATTCTCATCTTTTGAAAACAAGTATAAAATGACACCAAAAGCAATCTAAAAATTTGGTGTGACATTGCGGACAGAAGTATAGATTGGGACAACAGGCAAGGCGACAAAGCCCTTCAGAACAACATAGAGAAAACTGTGGTGAGTGAGACAATTATTGATTTTGTCATGGTCTTGCAAATAATTGTTTATTTGTTGTGTAATTTCATACACACTTATGCATTGCATTTTTCAAACTCCAGGGGCTTCATTTGTACAATTCAGCGATAATTCTTATGCACACCAACAAGGGTAATTTTAACCATTTTCCTAGTTCATTTACGTCTTTATTTATTTTGAATTTGACACTAAAAAATTGTGTAATCTAAACAGAGAAATCTCAGTGACAGAGGCATTTAAGTGTCAAGCTGAAGTACAACAGAGATTACAAGAGCATCTTGAGGTGCAAAAGACATTGCAGATGAGAATAGAGGCACAAGGGAAATACTTGCAAACAATTTTAGATAAAGCTCAGAAGAGCCTCTCGCTTCACGATATGAACGCGAGCGCCTCTGGTAATGCAGAAGCTACAAGGGTTCAGTTGATGAGCTTCAATTTGGCTTTGTCAAATCTCATGGAAAACATTAATGAACCAGATCGAAAAGGGAACATACTTCAGATAAATGATATCTTGAAGAAGGCGAATACAAATGGTTCTGCTTTCCAGATTCAAGGAGTCTGCAAGAGGGAAGCTGATATTGATAACGAAGACGTTAAGCTTGAGTTGAATAGCAAAGGGAGGCTTGATTTTATCTCTGCTAATGGGATTGAATGGGATGGAAGTTTGCTTTCATATAAGAGATAAAAATTCACCCAACCCCCATTTGCTTTCATGACATCTACTGATCATTACTAAAGTATTTTAGTTTCTATAATTAACGTATATGTAACCTAATTTTATTTAATGAATGTATGATGATATGATGTGTTCTTCTCACCTTATACAATTTTTAAGTGATATGCCTTTTAATGTCACATTTCTCATATTTCGCATTATTAGTGAAAGGAATTAGGATTCAGTTTATAACGGTTGGGCACTTATAACTTTTAGAGAAATGAATAATATTTATGATTTTCAGTTTCAGTGATTTTTGTTTAAAGAGTTGAATAACAATTTTAACATAAAACAGTTGGAGACAGATTCTGTGACTATTTTTGGAACAATGGGGTGTGTCACTCACTTTCCAAACTACAAGGGACTCCAAAAAGTTTCCCATTTTTTTTTTTTTTTTTTAAACCGTCACCGCTCAGATACTCAAGATTTCAATTAGGGGGAACATGTCAATCATCATCCTCCACGTGGTAGACTGTCTTCTAGTACACTCTCTTTAGTTTTTATTTTAAAAAAAAAAACCTACGTGGGATCTCTCACTTGCGTCAGTCAGAATCTCTCCTTAAAACTGCCGTCTCGTGATCATTTTGCTCAACGTCGTCGTATTATAGCTTCTTCAACCGATCTCTGCATATCAAACCTCACTAATTCACAAATGCTCGCTCGATTATTTATTTTAATATTATTCTTTCTAAAAGAATCGTCTTGGAAATAATTTAAAAAAAAAAAAACACGCAGATATCTTTTTTTCCTCGCCGATAATTTACGTAGATCGTGCTTGCGTCTCTCCCTCAATTTGATTCATTTTTACTTTTACAATATCTCTCTTTCGTTTTCTTTTTTCCCTCTGAAAATTTACGCAATGTGGAAATTTGAATTCTAGGTTTGATTTTCTCAACGTGTTCTTCAATGAGGATTCAGATTGAATTAACGGAATCGCCGATTTTCCGATTCTGATAGTAAAGATGAGCTATCAAGTGACATAGTTTAGACTGATCTCGCGGAATCAAGGATTGTCTTCTAATCTCCCGATTCTGCGAGATTTTCTGTTTTTTTTTATTTTTTTAAATCTTTTTTATAGAACAAGGTTTTCAATTTTTAGAGAGTAAATTTGGCGGGGTGTGAGGGCAAAAATGTCATCGAAGGTGGTGTACGAAGGATGGATGGTGAGGTATGGAAGGAGGAAGATCGGGAGATCATTTATTCATATGCGGTATTTCGTGCTCGAGTCTCGCCTTCTGGCTTACTACAAGAAGAAACCTCAAGATAATCAGGTTCAATTTCTAACACGAATGTTTGCGTTATTTTTTTTTTCTTTTACTGTTCCGCTTTGAAATTTGAAATTTTTTTTTTTTTTAGTATTTATAAAGTGTTTCTCAAAGTAAGATTCGGTGGAGGAAGACATCTACTTTTGGCTTGTATTAGTAATGGCTTTGAGAATAAGCTTTTAGCAAAAGTGGAAGCATCTGGTTTGCCCAAGATTACTGTTATATAAGGACTTTTACTGTTTTGAAGAAAGAAATATTATGTTTTTACTGTTTTGAAGAAAGAAATATTATGTTTTGACTTTGCGATTATTGCACTTTCCTTTTGTAATTTGTGCAGATCATTGGTGGATCTCAACTTGTTTATTTGTTTATTTTTTAAGAGGGGAAAATTTTGAGTCTAAAGAGTATGTTTATGCTGCATTAGGTTCCCATCAAGACCTTGTTAATTGATGGAAATTGTCGCGTTGAGGATCGAGGCTTGAAGACTCATCATGGACATGTGAGTTGTTATTTCCTGTTTATCAACATACTCTGTCTTTCAAAAAAGTTCTAGATGGAATTCTATGCGAGAATGTGTGAACAAGTTCTGAATTTCATTATCTTGGAAGTAGTTTAAGCTACCAGTTAGATAGCTAACTAAGAAATGAGGTTGATTTACAAACTGATGTTTTCAGGTTGTTAACGATATGAAAATTACATTGACATCGATAATTTGCAATAAATATTCATTTTGCTTGTTGACCCTGATTAACAGATTAAAGTGCTTAAAATATTTTTAACATTATAGTTCATGCTGAAGTGGGTGTTAAATATTGATATGTTTTGCTTATTTCGTTTTTTTTTCTAAGGACATTATACCTTTAGGAGTCCATCAAGTGGGGATTTATGGTATGTTAATGCTTGTCTATTTTAAAGTCACTTCATATTGTAATTCGATTGGTTCATGGCTATAACTAAATTAGGTTCTCTGACTACTTGCTTCATTTATTTGTTTTCTGTAATCATCGCTAATCCATAACCTTAGTAAATAATTTATCATCAGAAGGTGTGGTAGGTTCTGAATTTAAAACCTTTAATATGATTTGAATATATCTATTTCAGTGACCTTGAATATTTTGTATTCTTTTGTAGCTTGTATGTACCTTTTCTTCCTCAAGCCCATTTTGTCAACCGTTTATGCCATAATTTGTCACGAGCCTATTGTATCTTATTATAATACCCAATGGATAGTTGTGTGGTTGTATTTTGTATTTTATTGCAAAAGGTTGGAAAGCATCTCATCTCGGGATATGTGAAATATTTGATGAAACTGAATTGTGGAAGTTGGTAGTTGTCTACAGCTATCTTTTCTAGAATTTTGATGATGAAGTATGTATGTATATCATTTTTCTGACTTATTATCCTTTTATGTGTTCTGCAGATGGTTTATGTTTTGTCTGTATACAACAAGAAAGAGAAGTACCATAGAATCACGGTTTGTGGTCTTTTCTATCTTCTAAAATTGAGATTGGAGTTACAATTTTGAATGCTTTTGACTTCAGTGCACTCGCACTCAACACTTGCGCATATATATGCGAGTTGAGTACATTTTCTTTGGATCAAAAAGTTTATTTTTGAAGAAAATGTTTAATCTGTTTTAGCAAATTCTCCTTTAATTTGTTTGAGATCAATACCTGTTAACAAAGTAAAACATGGATAAAATTCAATTTTAGTACTTCGATTGACACATGTCTGGATTAAGGCTATACTTCATTGGAGGAACACTGAACCTCTTTATTCATAGTTTATGCATTATTTTTGAACATCATGGGTGTACATTCTATTGAAAAAATTATAATTTGTTTAAAAAGAGATTAAAATGCTTGAATATGAAAAGAAATTTCAGCAATAATGTTAAACTGTACAGATTTGAAGAGGAGATTTTTTTTTGGGAGAAAAGCATATTAGGGAGTGGTAATGTTATATGATCAAATTTTTAGGATGCTATGCAAAAATGCTGATTTATTTGTTTTTAGGTTTTAACATCGAGAAGCGTAACTCATATATTTAGAAATTAGAATCAAACAATCATATCACTTTGATAAACTATATACATACACACACATATATTGAAATGCATAAAAAAATCTATGTTAATATAATTCCAAAATACAGAAAAGGTATATCAAAATTTACCTGTTCTAAATTTGATGATGACTAAAGAATCTTAGAGACAATGAAACTTTTTTCTTTTTCGTTCGGTGATGATAGAAATTAGCAAGTATATTAGAGCAATTAGGTTAAAAATTTTAAAACTGGAAATAAATAATCAAAACATTGCATATTATATGTTGTACTTTTTTAAATATTTTGTTACTAAAATTAATAATATATTTAATTAACAAGTCAAATGGGTCAATCGTTTTTTTTACTAAACCCGAACACGGCCCATTATAAAACGGGTTACTAATGGGTTGACCCGATAATGACCTTAACCAATAAAACTAAATCCAATTTGTGTCGTGTTATGTCCAATTTTGCCAGCCTTACTATTGTATCAGTTGAAAAATTAGATTTCAGGCAAAACATTCACAATCTTGTCCCATAGGCCTTAATTGGTCCTGCTGTTGAGCTTGAACATATGGACTTTTACTTAGTACTTTTCATTGATCTGCTACCATCAGAGTAAGTATGAAGTTCCATTGGTCATTTTGGCATTTTTTTGCTACTAGAGTTAGTTGTGTTGGTCACCTGAACTTATTGTAGCATGAGGACTGGAGTTGTAAGGGAATTGTTGTCCAAGTGATAACCATGTGCACACTAGCTATTTTAATAGAGCCAGTGGTGCTTCTATGGGTTGGTAATATTCAGAACTCTGACTTATGTCAGGTTTAAGGCCACCTTTAAATGTTTCGGTAGCAACTGTTTTTTCTGTGCTAGATGTGTTATATACTCCTGGTGGCTAAAACTATATGTTGTGTGAGGTATTTGATGAGAAAAGTAATTGATCTGTAATGTGCTCTTATCAGATGGCAGCATTTAATATTCAAGAGGCATTAATATGGAAGGAAAAAATTGAGCTTGTAATTGATCAGGTACGTTTTTCCCTTTAGATTAGCTTGCACTGCATACTATAACTCTCCCCCACCTTCTGATTTGTTCTACATTTAAAAGTTTGATCATTAAGGTGATACTTGCAGGCTTCATCCCTGTTCTAGATTTTCTTTCAAAGTTGTTGCTCCTCTACTGATTTCTAGCAGTGTTAGGGGTTATAATTTGATATTATCTTGTTGTTGCCTGTTACTGGGTTTTACATGACCATGTCCACATGTAGAATCCAGGATAGTTTTGCATTTCATGGATTGAAGCATTCTGGACTTGATTAAATATTAATATGTGCAGCATCAAGATTCACAAGCTGCAAATGGTAACAAATATATTTCTTTTGAATATAAATCTGGGATGGATAATGGGAGGACTGCTTCGTCTTCAGACCGTGAAAGCCAGTAAGACCTATTAAACATTTTTTTTTTTTTTTAATTGTTTGTGCTGATTATAATTGAGTTGATACTAGTGAGCTTATTCTCTATAAGCTTTAAATTTCTAATTATGACTGCTCTTCTTCTTGTGTTAAAAAAATGAAATTATGTCTGTTGCTAAACATTTCGTAGTCTTAACAGACTTGACATTCATATAATACCCAGACAGTTTCACCTGGGTTTTCTGATTATATCGGCACCAGTCTGGTGTTGAACTTTTGCTTGATATTTAATCTACTTCTGTTATGCTTCTTGCATGTTCACTGATTTGTATTGTTAATTAGATTTTACTGATGTTATTCTGCAAATCATTTCATTAGTATGGATTAAGACAAACCTTTTAGATGAATTTTTGAAGTCAGCTAACTGCCAATGAGCCTATGGAGAGTTTCCCCTCCTGTTAGAATGGGTTGTATGCTGAGATTATGAGGTCTATCCCAATTGAATTTGTGACAAAAAGTTGGTTTGAAGGGGATCTGTAAAAAGTTTTACTTATGTAGAGATGATTTATTATTATTCATATTTGATTTGTAAAAGATTTTCCTTTGTAGAGTACAATGCTGTTTAGATGTTGCCTTTGGTTATCTTATACTGTATTCCGGTATCTCAGCTCTTGAAGATGCAGAAATTGACTTTTCATTGTTTGCTGACTTTGTTTATGAGAAAATACCTGTCCTTTTGGGAAACTAATGTTATGTTGTCCTGTCGTTGTTGCCTGAATTCTCTGTATTTCACTTGACAAAAGAATAAGAAAAAAGAAAACTCCTATTGCTGCTTCTGTATGGCGTTTCTAATTGCAATGCAAAATTTTTTAACTTATGCCATACCAATTGCGTTTTTGTTTTGGTATGGTTGCTTGTTCTTTGATTGGGACTCCACCTATGAGTGTAGGTTCATGCGTTTAATGTATTTATAACAAGTATGTCGTTTGAATATATTCTTGTTTTGACTTTATTTTTGGAATCCATCTCCTATACCCCTGATCATTTCTAGAGAGCCTAACCTGTCAGAGAGGGTGTTGAAGTATTCCATATTGGCTGTGCTTTGGCTTTACAATAGTTCAATTGAAATTGTGTCTTTACCAAATAACTTAAGTTTTGGGTTGTACCTTTTAACAGAGAGCAGTTTATTAAGTTATTTGCCATATTGGTATCAATTCCATATGCAATGANCTGTTCTAAATTTGATGATGACTAAAGAATCTTAGAGACAATGAAACTTTTTTCTTTTTCGTTTAGTGATGATAGAAATTAGCAAGTATCTTAGAGCAATTAGGTTAAAAATTTTAAAACAGGAAATAAATAATCAAAACATTGCATATTATATGTTGTACTTTTTTAAATATTTTGTAACTAAAATTAATAATGTATTTACTTAACAAGTCAAATGGGTCAATCGTTTTTTTGACTAAACCCGAACACGGCCCATTATAAAACGGGTTACTAATGGGTTGACCCGATAATGACCTGAACCAATAAAACTAAATCCGATTCGTGTTGTGTTATGTCCAATTTTGCCAGCCTTACTATTGTATCAGTTGAAAAATTAGATTTCAGGCAAAACATTCACAATCTTGTCCCATAGGCCTTAATTGGTCTTGCTGTTGAGCTTGAACATATGGACTTTTACTAATTACTTTTCATTGATCTGCTACCATCAGAGTAAGTATGAAGTTCCATTGGTCATTTTGGCATTTTTTTGCTAATAGAGTTAGTTGTGTTGGTCACCTGAACTTATTGTAGTATGAGGACTGGAGTTGTAAGGGAATTGTTGTCCAAGTGATAACCATGTGCACACTAGCTATTTTAATAGAGCCAGTGGTGCTTCTATGGGTTGGTAATATTCTGAACTCCGACTTATGTCAGGTTTAAGGCCACCTTTAAGTGTTTCGGTAGCAACTGTTTTTTCTGTTCTAGATGTGTTATATACTCCTGGTGGCTAAAACTATATGTTGTGTGAGGTATTTGATGAGAAAAGTAATTGATCTGTAATGTGCTCTTATCAGATGGCAGCATTTAATATTCAAGAGGCATTAATATGGAAGGAAAAAATTGAGCTTGTAATTGATCAGGTACGTTTTTTCCTTTAGATTAGCTTGCACTGCATACTATAACTCTCCCCCACCTTCTGATTTGTTCTACATTTAAAAGTTTGATCATTAAGGTGATACTTGCAGGCTTCATCCCTGTTCTAGATTTTCTTTCAAAGTTGTTGCTCCTTTACTGATTTCTAGCAGTGTTAGGGGTTATAATTTGATATTATCTTGTTGTTGCCTGTTACTGGGTTTTACATGACCATGTCCACATGTAGAATCCAGGATAGTTTTGCATTTCATGGATTGAAGCATTCTGGACTTGATTAAATATTAATATGTGCAGCATCAAGATTCACAAGCTGCAAATGGTAACAAATATATTTCTTTTGAATATAAATCTGGGATGGATAATGGGAGGACTGCTTCGTCTTCAGACCGTGAAAGCCAGTAAGACCTATTAAACATTTTTTTTTTTTTTTAATTGTTTGTGCTGATTATAATTGAGTTGATACTAGTGAGCTTATTCTCTATAAGCTTTAAATTTCTAATTATGACTGCTTTTCTTCTTGTGTTAAAAAAATGAAATTATGTCTGTTGCTAAACATTTCATAGTCTTAACAGACTTGACATTCATATAATACCCAGACAGTTTCGCCTGGGTTTCTGATTATATCGGCACCAGTCTGGTGTTGAACTTTGGCTTGATATTTAATCTACTTCTGTTATGCTTCTTGCATGTTCACTGATTTGTATTGTTAATTAGATTTTACTGATGTTATTCTGCAAATCATTTCATTAGTATGGATTAAGACAAACCTTTTAGATGAATTTTTGAAGTCAGCTAACTGCCAATGAGCCTATGGAGAGTTTCCCCTCCTGTTAGAATGGGTTGTATGCTGAGATTATGAGGTCTATCCCAATTGAATTTGTGAGAAAAAGTTGGTTTTAAGGGGATCTGTAAAAAGTTTTACTTATGTAGAGATGATTTATTATTATTCATATTTGATTTGTAAAAGATTTTCCTTTGTAGAGTACAATGCTGTTTAGATGTTGCCTTTGGTTATCTTATACTGTATTCCGGTATCTCAGCTCTTGAAGATGCAGAAATTGACTTTTCATTGTTTGCTGACTTTGTTTATGAGAAAATACCTGTCCTTTTGGGAAACTAATGTTATGTTGTCCTGTCGTTGTTGCCTGAATTCTCTGTATTTCACTTGACAAAAGAATAAGAAAAAAGAAAACTCCTATTGCTGCTTCTGTATGGCGTTTCTAATTGCAATGCAAAATTTTTTAACTTATGCCATACCAATTGCATTTTTGTTTTGGTATGGTTGCTTGTTCTTTGATTGGGACTCCACCTATGAGTGTAGGTTCATGCGTTTAATGTATTTATAACAAGTATGTCGTTTGAATATATTCTTGTTTTGACTTTATTTTTGGAATCCATCTCCTATACCCCTGATCATTTCTAGAGAGCCTAACCTGTCAGAGAGGGTGTTGAAGTATTCCATATTGGATGTGTTTTGGCTTTACAATAGTTCAATTGAAATTGTGTCTTTACCAAATAACTTAAGTTTTGGGTTGTACCTTTTAACAGAGAGCAGTTTATTAAGTTATTTGCCATATTGGTATCAATTCCATATGCAATGAAATTTCACTATCAACTTCTAAATGCCTAATTAAAATGTTACTTGGATCTGTTTTTGGCTTGTTACAGTAAATGCATTTATATTTACATTCTCTCTCTCTCTTTTTTTTTTAAAACTGTTTTCAGGTTTAGTGCACAGGAAGATGAAGATGATGCAAATCCAAATTTGATGCGGCGAACAACAATTGGAAATGGTTCTCCTTGATTTCCTTCTCTTATTTTTTTAAGTTAATTTGGTGCAATATACAGTGAATTTTATCATCTTTATTTACCTGGCAGGTCTTCCTGATTCGATATATGACTGGACGCGGGAGGTTGACTCAGAGTTATCAAACCAGAATGCAAATAATCAAGCATTTTCTCGAAAGCATTGGCGTCTTTTGCAGTGCCAAAATGGTTAGTAACTTTCTGTATCTTCTTTTATCCTTCAGCAGCTCAGCACTAGGATGAAACTCAAAGCAAAGTAATTAGAAGATTGGTACTTTGGAATTTAATTTGCTGTTGATGTTTTATGGCTGGGATGAATAGTTTGAGTTCCATTATTTATTTTTTTTCTTCATTCTGTTTTTTTATTTTATGACAGGACTCCGCATTTTTGAAGAGCTTCTTGAAGTTGATTACCTTGTATGCAATTTCTACTTACTTTATGTCCAGGTTATTATTTCGCTATGCAGTAAAATGGTTTAGGTCAGAACCATCATCTATAGTTTCCTTGATGCAGCCGAGAAGCTGTAGCAGAGCAATGAAGGCTGTAGGTGTTGTGGAGGCTTCATGTGAAGAACTATTTGAGCTTGTTATGAGCATGGATGGAACACGATTTGAGTAGGTCTTTTTTCCCTTTCCTTAATAAAACTTCATGTAGGTTCTCTATAGGATCATTGTTATAAATTTATAATTCTGGCTGTATGCTAGTGAAATACATATCCTCGTTCAGGCCTTCCCTTCATTTATTTATGTGTGACAAAAATCAACATGCTCTTGGCTTCTAGGGATGCCAATGTGGCAGAATTAGACCGTGGAAACACTTACCATCTCCATCCCCTGCTTCTTGTAGGGTTCCCTGTCCTACTCCATTCTCCATTCCTTAAGAATTAGGGCAGGGTGGGGAAGCCTTAATTTCAAAATGGGATTCCTTGCCCCACCGCGTTCAATTGGTTTAAATTTCTATGAATATTTCATTTGTTAAGTCCATTGGTAATAGCTGAGTTACTACTAATGAAATACAGGGAACTCATACTTGTACAAATTTTTATCCTTTTTTTAAGTATATTTAGAAGTCAAAGACTTTATTTGGATATCTGTACATTTTTATCAGAAAAATAAATCACTGGAAATCTAAATGCAAGCTTACAGACGAATGACTCTTTTGTGGGGCCTCCTTTGATTGTTACTTGAATTGGGGACATTGTGGATCTCTATCCTTGCAAGCTTTTTAATGGTCCAAATCTGTAATTTTGTTACAGATTAAGGAATGTACTTCCGAACCCATTCCAGGTGAACTTAATTTTTTTTGAACTGTGCAGGTGGGATTGCAGTTTCCAGTACGGTAGCTTAGTTGAAGAGGTTGATGGGCATACAGCTATACTCTATCATAGACTTCAGCTGGACTGGTTCCCTATGTAATATTCTCTGCAATTTAAATTAGCTTGTTTATGCTTTTGATCAGTCTCAGATATATATGTTATTAATCAGTGGAACCATTATTTGTTCTGTTTTGGGTCCAAAATTGCTGAAACATGGTAATTATGTGCAAACCCAAGATAACATATGCAGACTAAACCTATTGTCCTGCTCCTATATATTGATATTTCAAAAAATAACCTTAAGTTTTTGTGTTCTGACACAAATTGAATTGTTGGGATTTTGGAAGAAATTATTTTATATATAATACCTCTATTTTGCTTCTCACTTTCTTATATGAAGCTGTTCTTATTGGTCTTAGGAAAGAGGATTTAAACTGGATATATACAATGATATTATTTCCTGGTATCAGTCTTTAAGTAATATCTTATTGGGGCCTGTTTATAATTTTATGTCGATTGGCAATCCAATGAGTGTCATTATTTTATCTGGAAGAAGTTCAGCAATTTCAACATCCTTCCCAAAAACCAAAAAAAGAAAGAAGAAGGAATTATGAATTGTGTGCTTGAGTGTTAAGGAGTGGAATTATTTGCAACATGTTGCTGACTGTAGAGCCTGAAAGATAGACATTTTGGGAAGCTCATTGCTTTGTGAGGAAGAAGCAAGGGATGATGCAAATGCATATTTCATTTTGATCGATAATATTAGGAGCTCTTATATTCACAAAAATGTTTATTCAGTCTTTGAAGAGAGAATGATACTTATCCAATTTCAAGACTCTTACAACCTCTACAATCAAGAAGTAACCAATTTGCTTCTTTCTATTATGTATGCTAGAGAAGGAAGATGGATGACAGTGAAAATGTGATGCATAGTTAAGAATGGAGGACTGTTTCTCTAAGTTTCTTAGCATTTTGTGTATTTTTTTGTGATTACAAAATTCTCTCCCACAGATGCTTCTATTGACCAACAGAAGAAATGCATGTGTTCCTGTTGGAGGACCTTTTGCCCATTATGCATTTGCTTTATGTAATTTAATTATTTTGAGTGCTAACCCCGAAGAATTCCATTAAATATGTTTATTTGTTTCACTATTTTTCAGCCAGTACTTCTTTAAGGGAAATTTTTCTTGCCTCCCTTACAACATGGCCTAAATTCCTAAATACAGTTGGCTTGATGTGGCTTAGAAATTTCTCTAAAGCCTCCCTTTGGCCTTTGATGATTTCTAATGGAAGTTTCTCACGAATCTCAAAAATTTAGGATAGATTTATGACAATTTTGGAACCAGTTGGGTTGCCTGTGTTTAGAGACTTAAGGGATGGGAGGTCCTCAGAGTTGACACTTTTCTTTATAAAAATAAACTTCATCCTGTTATTTATTTATGTTATCCATAAATTCATGTGGTTTCAGGTTTGTGTGGCCTCGGGACCTTTGCTATGTGCGCTATTGGCGTAGAAATGATGACGGGAGTTACGGTAAGATTTTTGCAATCCACTTCTTGATATTCCCTTTCATTGTTTCTGGTCTCTAGCACTTGAATTCCCATGCTCTATATTTTGTTATTGTGTAGTTGTGCTGTTCCGTTCTAGGGAGCATGAGAACTGTGGTCCACAACCAGGATATGTGCGAGCTCACGTCGAGAGTTAGTTTACCCATCTTCTTCCCTGTCTAATGTTCATTATTAAAGTATGAGTAGCCTATACAAAATCATACCACTTAACCCTTTTTTTCCCCCCACTTAGGTGGAGGGTTCAATATTTCTCCACTGAAACCTCGAAATGGGAAGCCCAGAACACAGGTGCAGCACCTTATGCAGATTGATCTTAAAGGATGGGGTGCGGGTTATATTTCAATGTTTCAACAACACTGTCTTCTTCAGATGTTAAATAGTGTTGCTGGTAGGTTACTTGTCTTTTACATGCTACCTTTATGTTAACGTGGATTATCACTAGTCACTACTGTGAAAGGCCATGTGTTGTCAAGTTCTTATGTTTTGCTGTTATATTCGACTGTAAATTGTACAGTTGACTGTATCATAATGACATATAGATTCCCTAAAGTTTAGAAAATTGATATAAACTAAACAGGTAATTCAATATTTAGACAACATATATTTAAAAGAATAAAGTATCATTAATTTATTTATTTTTTCTGCAAACATGTGGCACTTGATATATGAATTCTATCAGTTTTGTGCTTTGTTGAGTTTGTGTTGTCTACTTATTATGACAGGTCTGCGTGAATGGTTTGCTCAAACGGATGAAAGGGGTGCTCCTCCAAGAATCCCTGTTATGGTCAATATGGCTTCAGCTTCTGTTTCTTCTAAGAAGAATCCAAAGCTGCATGAGTCATCTGTTCATCCTACCCAATCTCTTGATCAGATGACTTCTGCGGGCAGAAACTCTATGATGGATGAATACTCTGATGAGGATGAAGAATATCAAATAGCCGATTCAGAACAAGAGGTTTGATTGACACTTGATTGCTTGTTTTTTTGTGTGACTCTTTATGAACTCATGTTACTTTTCTTTTCTGGGATTTTCCAGGCATACCAAACAAAGAATGAGAATGACATCAAGAGAACAGGTGGATGATAACCAATATTCTTTTTTTATTTGTTTGGCCAAGATCCTCTTTTCATGGAACTAATTGGAATGTCTATTCTTAACATATTTTTTTTAATTAATTGAAGCCTTGGAAGAAGAGCCAGTCCATCGGATTGATTTATCTTGTTTTTCGGGAAATCTGCGACGTGATGACCGTGATAATACTCGTGACTGCTGGAGAATTTCTGATGGAAACAATTTCAGAGTTCGTAGCAAGCATTTTTGTTATGACAAAACAAAGGTTCACTGATATTTTGTGTATTTGTTGTAGTATATACATCATGAATTTTTTCGATACATCTTCTAATGTTGTTTGGCTTTGTCTTTTTTCATTCTATGCTGTGTGTATTTGAAGATTCCTGCAGGGAAACATTTAATGGATCTTGTTGCAGTTGACTGGTTCAAAGACACAAAGAGGATGGACCATGTTGCTAGGCGCCAAGGATGTGCTGCACAAGTACTAGCTCCTATTTTTTTAACTGCTTCTCTTTTTATCTTTCTTTGTTTTTTTCTTTTGTCCACATTTCTTTCCTCTCTCTCTCCCGCATTGAATCAGAAAATACTTTTTTTCTGCTGCTCTTCTCCTTTCTAGACCCCAACGTTTTCTATCAAGGGGTATAGCTTTTTGCTTCTGCAAAATGTTCAATATATATTCTTCCCATCAAATGGTATGGGTCTATATGATTCTCTCCTTGGATAATCAGCTTAGTTTCGCAAATTATAAACCTGTTATAAGTATCAGTAACTTTTTTTATTCATGATGGAATTAGAACTGATTGTCGAAAGGATCTTTAACCATGGTGCTGTTTGTTTATGCCCCTTAAATCTTAATGGATTCAAACTTAACTTTAGTCATTATATTTGTTTGTTTTTTTTTAAATTTGACACTTATTTAAAGAAATTCATGGTTTAATATGAATAGGGAAAAACTTTTGGTTTTATCTTAACGAGCAAAATCTTAATAAATATTAAAATTTTGTTCCATTAGAGTCTTGATCTTTTAAATAATAAAAAAAATTAATTATTATTATTTACTATCCTATTTACTTTATTACCTCACCTCCTAGCTTGGACACCATCTTGAACAGCCAATCTTGAGACCTGATCCTAGGTGTCTTGTCTTAGGTCATGATCTTGAGCATCCCGATCTAGAACCCAAACAAAATGTTCCATTCTTGATTTAAATTCCAAGTGTCTTGACCCGAGACCTGATTCTGATTGGTTCAACCTTGAGCTCCTATTCAGACCAACTTCAAGACTTGCTACCCTGTCCCGGCGCCCTAGCATAGGATGCAGTCCTAGGTGTCCCAATCAAACCTTGCAGAATGCGTCCTAGCTTGAACCTGGTATTGACTACCCATCTCAAATTGGATCCCAAGTCTCTCAACCCAAGCCCAGTTGCAAGCGTCTCAGTGCAAGAAATTGATCATAAACTTCCAGCTTGATTCCAAGCTTGCCAATTCAAGTCTAGCCTCAAGTGTCGCAAATTATTCTTGGTTTTTTAGCTATAAAGAATTTTAAAAAAGCAATTACTTTATATAAGTATTTTATAATATTGACAAGTTAGGTTTTTATTTTTTCAGTTTGTTAGTGTCTAGATGTTTATAATTATTGAATTCAAATTTATATAATATATAATATTTCCAGGGGCGAATATTGGAAAATTTTAGTCAAAATATTGGAAAAGCAACTTTCTGAATACTTATTTTTATTAAAAATGAGGAAGAAAAAAACATCTTACTAAAACTCAGGTCTTGGAGTTAAGCTTTGAGACCTATTAACACTTATTTCTGATGAGATTTGTTAAGATTTAAGACAAAAAACAAAAAAAAAAAATTAATGTTTCTGTTTCTAAAGAGACAAGGTAACTTGGTCAGTGTTATTTAGATTGTTAATGTTGGATCTACTAATTTAATTGATTTGTAGTTCTTCATTTGAACTTATAAGTATCTGAGCCTTATTCTAAATTTGTGTAGGTTGCTTCAGAACAAGGGCTTTTCTCAGTGGTCTTTAATCTTCAAGTAAGTGTGCGGTCTTAGGTTTCCACATTTTTGTATTGGGAGGTTAAATAGTTATAACATAGTACTTTTGCAGGTTCCTGCTTCAATGCACTACAGTATGGTATTTTATTTTGTGACTAGGGAATTAGTACCCGGATCCCTTCTACAACGGTTCATTGATGGTGATGATGAATTTCGCAACAGTAGACTGAAGCTTATCCCTTCGGTTCCTAAGGTATTTGTCTTAGTCTACATGTACTACGAAGTCTACGATATTAAATTTAGGAGATCTGACAAATAGATTCAGTTGTAAGTCCATCATTGTGGCTTAAATTACCCATTGAAGTCTGTTGATACCTTTTAGAGTATACCCTTCGGACCATGCACACATATGTGCATATGAGGGAGCATGTATATATTAATTGACTGTTATTTATGACCATGTGGATGAATTCTTAGCATCAGCTTGTCAATAATAACAGTTTAAAAGTTCCATTCAGTGGATCATCTTGTAAGATTTGCAGAGCCTGCCAGAATCATAACCTACCTCCTATTGAAAATCTGATGCTATCACGGGCTCCATGTTTCCTGCTTGTGCACGCACAGTAGCTTGGCTTTCTTGTAGCTGCATTCTGCTAATTTCCACCCACTGAGATATTCTTTAATTTCAAAAGAATAAAAATATCAAACAGTTGTATCATCTCAGTGTGTGAATTTTTTTCGATTTCCAGAGTTATGAATATATAATTGCCCTTCTTTGTAATTGGGTTGTTCCTTCAATTTTTCTAATGCACTCTGCCTGTTCTTTTCTGTCGATTTTATTGTGTGCTTGTTCTTGATTATCTGAACTTAATCATGCAGGGATCATGGATTGTGCGCCAGAGTGTTGGAAGCACCCCTTGTTTATTGGGAAAAGCAGTTGATTGCAACTACATTCGTGGTCCCAAGTACTTAGAAGTAAATACTCAGACTTAATTCGCTAATGCTTGTTTGATGCCATTAATGCAGTTTAACATTGTTTACGTTTCTATAGGTTGACGTTGACATTGGTTCTTCTACTGTTGCTAATGGGGTTTTGGGCCTTGTGATTGGTGTGATCACGACATTGGTGGTTGATATGGCTTTCCTTGTACAGGTATGTCCGCTTTAAGTGTTCAAAACCATCTCAACATTAAGTAGATCTGAAAACCACATATTTAATGTTGGTTATAACCATTGATCTAACTATGCTATCTGATTGGAATGAGTTATATTTTAAATCTTTAGTAAGTACATTTAGTTGAAACATAAATGTTAATGCATTGAGCGTAGGATACTCGACAACTGAAGGCACTAGGTATTTTAAAAATTTACCTTTTTCGCCTGTTGTAGGATTTATATTGTACTGGAGATTTTTCTCAATTGTTGTGGCATTATATCTGGACCTAAAGTTGGTTTAATGGTATTTTTTTTTTTTCCTTTCTTTTCTTTCATTAGGCAAATACAACAGATGAATTACCAGAAAGGCTGATTGGCGCAGTACGTGTTTCTCATATAGAGCTGTCGTCTGCAATAACCCCGACGCTAGAACCAGATACATCATGACAGAAACAATTTACCTCAGCTGATTTATTCCACCAAAAAAAAAAAAAAAAATCATTTGTTTAGGTATATTCATGTATTTTGATCCCATTTTCATTGTAATTTCTCATTTACTTTAATGGAAGTCATTGGTGTTTCTGGATGGGCTATTGCCTTGGGGAAAAAAAGGTTAAAGGGGAAAATTTGTGGTTCTTTATTAATTACTGTTCGATTTCAGTTTACAGGATGAGGTAATTTGTTTTCTTATTGGTTATCTCATATTGAAAAAAATTCTAGAAAATGACTTTAATTTTAAAAGTGATAAATTCAGTGTGCCTAAAATGCTAAATAAAACAAATGAAAGCTGAAAAATTGGGTTTATTTTCAGAAATCTCTTCCAAGGTTTGGGTAAAATAAATCATTAAAAGGAAATTGTATTTAACTTCCACTTTTTCTTTTACTAATTTCTTATTGTAATTAAATCGATAATTATATTATGATTAATAAGAAATATCGAGAATTAAAAATTAATCTTAGAACTTGCAAGAAGCCAAGTTGGATGCTGTTGGATGCTTTATTAAATGTGCACATTTGGTTTGACAGTAATTTTTCTTTTGCTTATTTGATTTAAGACAACAGTTTTAAAGTAAGCCCATCGCATGGATCACTGACCAAGGCTGGCTTAGATGGGCTGGACTTAGACGGCTTAATCTGCATAATCTACTGAATCTATCCACTTAAGCTCATTTACAAAGGAGACTGCTGGCACCAATAATTTAAAGATAGGCCAAATAACATTGTGACCCTGATTTTTGTACAAGGGTTTTTTTTTTTCCTTTTAGTTTCGGAAACATCTAATATTACCTTCTTTTTCCTAATTAAAACGTTATATTTAATCATGAGTGGATAATCTTACCAATTCACCTAACGTATATAACATAAAAAAAATATATGATTTTGTATGAACTTTATAGGATTAATTTTTTTCATATTTGATGATTTACCTAATTTGTTAATAATTGTTATTTTTCATGAAATTTTTAGTAATTATTTTTAAAAATATTTATTCTTCTAATAATGAAAAATAAGGGTAAAACTAGAATTTTAATGGTAAAAGCTAATCAAATAGAAAATGAAATTCACAGAGAACAACTTTGGGGTAACTCTTTAACCAAGGGGCGAAAAGTTTTTCACATAACGTTATTCCGCTTTTAAAGATAGAGCTAAATCTATTTTTGGTGACTGAGGTATGGGCTAAGTAATAAGAGATAGTAACATTTAGGTTCTTATGAGGTTTAAGTTTTTTGAATTTTTTAGAAATATCTAAATACCTTAAATTTGTTTATATTTATTCTTTTATAATTTGTAATTGCTCTAATTTTTTACTAAAACACTCAGTTAGCAATCGTTTATTTATTTGTATAATTCTATTAATTTTTAATTTCATTTACCTAAGAAAAGTTTATGGATATTTTAGACTTTAAAAAAAAAGAAAAAAAAAAAGCTGTGACCTCATAAGGACCTAAGTCTTACTATCAGATTCTATCGAATCATATGATTGAGGCCAAACTTCAAGGACCAAAATGTATTTAACTCTTTGAAGACAAGATCTCTTTATTAAAGATTTAAAGGTAAGATATCAATTCAACTGTTTCATGATGCTAAAGCTGGCCACCAATAGCTGCCGTTGCTTTCAAATCAGGTTGGACCCATAAATCAATAATTAGTAGATTTAAAGCTATCACCAGAGCTCAAGAAGTTAATTATAATTATATACTTCTTCTATCCATAAACGTGTTTGAATTTAATTAATAAAATCGCCCTTTATGTAACTAATAATTCTTCAATATTAATCTATATCTAGCAAATGTGATTTTCTTTTGTTTTTTCATAATAAATTTTATTATTTTTTAATATTAAAAACATATTAATTAAAAGAGAAGATTACTTTAAACCCCCTGAGATTTGATCCAAACAAATAAACCCCTTGAGGTATTAGTATTAACTCAAAACCGCTTAACCACCAACTCTTCCATTGACGAAGATTGACCATGGGTGAGATGGGAAAGTGTACTTTACTTTACTCTTTATGGGTGGGAAAAACTTTTGGTGGGGAAATGTACTTTACTATCTATTTAACCACCAACCCTTCTGCAACTCTTATCCAAAATAAAAAAAAAAGAATGGGGAAGAGCAAGGTTCTAGTTGTTGGGGGCACGGGTCATATGGGGAGGAGAATTGTGACGGCAAGCTTAGCGCAGGGCCACATAACTTATGTGCTTCAAAGGCCAGAGATTGGGCTCGCCATTGACAAGCTTGAAATGCTTTTGTCTTTCAAGAAACAAGGGGCTCGCCTCATCGAGGGCTCGTTTTCTGATTACGGTAGCCTCGTTGAAGCTGTTAAAAAAGTTGACGTGGTGATCTCCGCCATGTCTGGAGAACATAATCATCCTGACAGCCATAACCTCCTTTTGCAGCTCAAGCTCGTTGAAGCTATCAAAGAAGCAGGAAATGTTAAGGTATATATATCTTACAAAAATTTCCATTCAAAGAAAAAAAAAAAAAAAAGTAAAACAATCAAAATCATTATATTTATTCTTCCATTCATTTTTTGTCATATCATTTTATAAAAAAAAATTTCTAAGATTTTTTTATAAATGTAATATTACTCGTTTAATAATGTTTCGATTTTTTTTCTTTAATCGTCATACTTAAAAGAATTAATTTAATAAAGTTTTGGGTTAAAAGATTGATAACAATTTAAAATTTAAAGTCAAACCTTTAGGGGTTCCATTTAAATTACATCAACTCCATTTATGTATATTGCTCCAAAACCTAAGCAAGGAATTAAAATGATTCATGGATTTTATTCCGCTAAACCTAATTCTAATGGGTTGTATTGGACATGCTTTTATATGGGACGTGTGAATGAAAATCTGAAGAGGACTTGGACGGTTAATTTTGTTTACTTAATTTATTTTTGGTAGCGATTCTTGCCATCAGAATTTGGCATGGATGCAGCAAGGATGGGAAATGCAATTATACCAGGATGAGCAATATTTGACGACAAAATGATAGTGAGAAAAGCAATAGAAGAAGCTAAAATCCCTTTCACTTATATTTCTGCTAATTGTTTTGTTGGTTACTTTGTTGGAAACCTTTCTCAGCTCATTGACTCTCTCGTCCCCCCAAAACAAAAGGTTTTCTTATACGGGGATGGCAATACTAAAGGTACAACCATTAATTTATTTCAATCTTCATTTATAAAAATCAATATATCTTTTGTGCAGAAACAATATTCTGTATGCAGTTGTTTATATGGACAAAGATGATATAGCAGCATATACGATTAAGACAATAGATGATCCTCGTGCGTTAAATAAAACTGTATTCTTGAGGCCACCAGAGAACATTCTCTCCCAAAGACAATTAGTTGAAATATGGGAAAAGCTGAGTGGGGAGAAACTAGAGAAAGTCCATCTTTCTGGAGAAGACTTCCTAGCATCCATGAAAGGTCTAAATTTAATTATAAGCTGGAAACAATGACTCATTAGATGATTTTTACTTGATTAATTTGAGAATTTTGTATGTTTGCATGCAGATATGGACTTTGCAGGACAAGTGCATGTAGCGCATTTCTATCACATATTCTATGAAGGTTGTTTAACTAACTTTGAAATTGGTGAAGGTCAGGAAGAAGCTTCAGAGCTTTACCCAGAGGTGAATTACACCAGGATGGATGACTACTTGAAACGATTTTTATAAAGATATTATATATCTGCAGCCAGTAGTTCATACCGTAAGCATTATTAAATCGATGTTTCCTGCTTCGGTCATTCATTTAATTTGCTTGTATTTCTCAGAGTGATTATGTTCCAGGTCATTATAGGATGATGGCAGTGTATTTTATAATTATCTAGATTGGTTGCTAGTGAGTGATGGGTCACTGTTCTGAGGGCTAGCTTTAGCATTATGAAACTGACGTGAAAGTTCATTATCTTTGTCAAAGTATGTGATATTTTGCTGGAAACTATTTTACAATTAAGTTTGAATGTTTGGCGCCATATTTGAGTTGGATGTAGGCTGTCTGTCAAATGCTGTTTTTTGGTTATTTTTTTGAATGTAATATGTGACAGTTTAGGTGAGGACAGCCGGTGATTTAGGCCAGCATATGTCATTGTAAATTTGTATTAGTTAGAGTTGTTTAGATTGCATTGTATTAGGAAAAAGTTCTCACTGTAGAGTGGTTGTAACAGTGATGAAAACATGGCTTTATATTTCTCTGTTGATGAACGAAAACATAGCAGACTTTGAACATAATTTTTCTCTCATTTTCAGCTCTCTCTTTCATGCATGTTAACCTTCTTTCTCTTAGCATATTTAGATTCAAAAATCTTCAATTGGTATCGGAGCTGATCTTGATCTTTTAGGACAAAAAAAAAAAAAAAAAAAAAAAAACCACCGTAAGTGAAGCTTCCTCATGGCATCAAATCTTGCCCCACTTTCTCCTCCTATCTTTAATGGTGACCAGTACCATGTTTGGGCTGTCAAGATGAAAACCTACTTGAGAGGCCATGGTTTGTGGCAAGATGTGGAGGAGGAGAAGCAAGTTCCCCAACTTAGACCAAACCCGACGCTAATCCAGATGAGAATCCATGAAGAAGAGGTAGCCAAGGCTCTAAGAGCTTTGTCTTGTATACACTCGGCTGTGATAGACCAAGTCTTCTCCAGAATCATGGCGTATAGACCCTTAAACAAGCTTGGGAAATCCTCAAGGAGGAGTTTGGAGGGAGTAGCCAGACTCGCAATATGCAAGTCTTAAACTTGAGGAGAGAATTTGAGGCACTCAAGATACAGGAGGCTGAATTTGTCAAGGAATATGTGGACAAACTTATGGTTGTGGTGAACAAAATTAAGCTGCTTGGGGAAGAGTTGACTAACAAGAGGATAGTGGAGAAGGTCCTAGTCAGTTTGCCTGAAAGGTTTGAAGCAAAAATTTCGTCCCTAGAAGACTTTAAAGACTTGTCCCAGATCAGCTTATCTGAACTAGTTCACCCACTTCAAGCTTAGGAGTAGAGAAGGTTGCTGAGGCAAGAAGACTCAACTAAGGCAGCCATGGTTGCAAGTCAAAAAGGAAGAATGTACCAAAGGGAAGACAAGAAATATGCTGGTGAGAAGAAGGGAAAAGAGAAGAGCAATGATCAGGAAGGAAAGCGTGGTGGACTGAAATCATTTCCTTCATGTTTACACTGCAAAAAGAGGAACCATCCAGAAAATAGGTGTTGATTCAGACTTGGCATACAATGCAGGTCATGTAAACAATTCGGTCACATAGAAAAAGTGTGTAAAAATAGAGGGAACCAGCAGGAGTAGCAGGCTACAATGGTGGAGGTCCAACAACCAAGTTCAGAGGCTGGGCAACTTTTCATGGCCTCATGCTCGAACCAGAGGATGTGTGGTGATGTATGGCTGATTGACAGTGGTTGTACAAACCACATGACCCCAAATCTGTCAAACTTCGTGAGCATTGACAAGTCTTTTCAATCTAAAGTCAAGATTGGCAATGGAGAATTTGTGGAAGTCAGGGGAAGAGGTGAAGTTGTTGTCCCAACTCCATCAGGTACAAAATACATTTCAAATGTCCTTTATGTGCCTGAATAATCAAAGTTTGCTAAGTGTGGGTCAAATGTTAGAAAAAAACTACTCTTTGCATTTTTAGAACCTGTCATGCATTGTAGTTGATAACCTTGGCAATGAATTGATGAAACTGAGAATGTTAGGAAAAAGTTTTCCAATTGAATGGAAAAACTCAGTTTCACAAACCTTGTCTGCCAAACTTGATGAAACTGAAATTTGACACAAGAGACTAGGTCATTTTCATTACATAGGTCTTAAGGAAATGAAGAGGAGAGGCCTTGTTCAAAACATGCTTGAAATTGAGGAGAAAGAAGGGGTGTGCCAAATCTGTCAAATGGGCAAACTTAGTAGACAAACTTTTCCAGCAAACCAAGCCTGGAGAGCTGTTGAAAAACTTTAGCTCATACACACGGATGTATGTGGTTCCATGCAGGTGTCTTCTTTGAATGGCAGTAGGTATTTCCTTCTGTTTATAGATGACTTCTCTAGGTTATGCTGGGTTTATTTCCTGAAGCAAAAAGGAGAAGTGGCTGCAATGTTCAAGAGGTTTAAACAAATGGTAGAGAATGAAACTGGTCTAAGCTTGAAAATTGTCCGGAGTGATAATGGTGTAGAATACACCTCAAACCAGTTTGAAGAACTATGTGTGGGAGCTGGAATAAAGTATCAACTGAGTACTCCTTACACACCACATCAAAATGGAGATGGCAAGATGTATGCTGTTTGAGAAAAAGCTTCTTAAACTTTTCTAGGCAGAAGCTGTAAATACAGCGGTATACTTATTGAATAGGCTGTGAACTAAAGCCCTTGACAACAAAACACCATTTGAGGCTTGGTATGGAGTGAAGCCAAACGTTAACAATCTTAACATGTTTGGAAGTATTTCTTATGCACACATACTAGCCAGCGAGAGAAGTAAACTGGATGAGAGAGCTGAAACTGTAATATTTGTTGGGTACAACATCTTATCCAAAGCATATAGGATTTATAATCCTAAAACAAAGAAGTTTCTGGTTAACCGAGATGTGAAGGTAGATGAAGGAGCTCTATGGAATTGGGAAAGAAATGAAGTTGAGAAGAGTAAGATGTTGGAGCAAGGAGGAGATTTGACAGACAACCAGGACGCTTCAGATTTCAGCTTAGATTCTGAAGCAGATTCTCCAGTCAGGGGAACAAGGACTTTGGTAGAGATTTATGGGAAATGCAACATGGCCTTGATAGAACCAACATGCTATTTTGAAGCAGCCAGAGTAGAGGAGTAGAGGATAGCAATGGAAGAGGAACTTGGGATGATTGAGAAAAATGCAACCTGGGAACTGGTGGACAGACCTGTCGGGAGAAAAGTTATTCAAGTAAAGTGGATTTATAAGAAGAAACTGAATACATATGGTTCAGTTAATAGGTACAAAGCAAGGCTTGTAGTAAAGGGTTATGCACAATAGTTCGGGGTGGACTTTTCTGACACTTTCGCACTAGTTGCAAGACATGATACAATCAAACTTCTGCTTGCAATTGCAGCCCAATTCAAGTGGAAAATTTTCCAACTTGATGTGAAGTCTGCTTTCCTAAATGGGTGGCTTAATGAAGAAATCTTTGTAAAGCAACCTGAAGGGTATAAAGTTAAAGGACAAGAGGATAAGGTGTATCTCCTTAGGATGGCTTTGTATGGTCTAAAACAGGCCCCTAGGGTCTGGTACAACAGGATTAATGAATACCTGGTGAGTTTGGGGTTTGCAAAGAGTCCAAATGAGCACACCTTATATGTTAGAGAGATTGGTGATGAGAGAATATTTGTATCCTTGTATGTTGATGACCTCCTAGTGGCAGGAAGCAATTCCACACGGCTGCATGACTTCAAGAATGAGTTGCACAATGAATTTGAGATGACTGATTTAGGTGAAATGAGTTTCTTTTTGGGAATGGAAGTGTTTCAATCTCCTAATGGCATATTCATTTCCCAAAAGAAATATGCTAATGAACTTTTTAGAAAATTTGGAATGGAGAATTGCAAGTCTGTCAACACACCACTGGTGCAAAATTAGAAGCTTTGTAAAGATGATAGAGCTGCTAGGGTTGATGAAACTAAGTAAAGAAGCATTGTTGGGTGTTTGTTGTACTTGACTGCAACAAGGCCTGACATCATGTATGCATCAAGCTTACTCTCCAGATTTATGAATGGACCAAGTGAGCTGCATTTGCAAGCAGCAAAAAGGGTTTTCAGGTATGTTAGAGGCTGTCCAGACTTGGGAATTTGGTTCAGGAGAGCTAAAAACCTCAGCTTGTATGGTTTCACCGACAGTGACTGGGGTGGCTCTTTGGATGATATAAAGAGTACCTCTGGATATGTTCTTTTTTTTTCTTAAATGCAGGTGTCATAAGCTAGATTTCAAAAAAGCAGGAAGTTGTAGCACAATCAACTGTAGAAGCAGAATATGTTGTTGTTGCTGCTGCAGTCAACCAATTGGTTTGGCTGAGAAAAATTCTGAAGGATTTAAGGCTGGAACAGACTGAGGCTAATGTGATGTATTGTTACAACAAATCAACAATTACAATGTCCAAAAATCCAGTCCTTCATAGCCACACAAAGCACATCAAAATCAAATACCATGCAGTGAGAGAGGCTGAGCAAAATGGTGAAATAAAACTGATTCATTGCAAGGGAGAAGAGCAAGTGGCAGATATAATGACTAAGTCCATAGCCAAATCCATGTTTGAAGAATTAAGATTTAGACTTAGAGTTTCCAGCAAGAATATCAAGGAGGAGTGTCAAAGTATGTGATATTTTGCTGGAAACTATTTTGCAATTTAAGTTTGAATATTTGGCGCCATATTTGAGTTGGATGTAGGCTGTCTGTCAAATGCTATTTTTTGGTTATTTTTTTAATGTAATATGTGACAGTTTAGGTGAGGACAACCGGTGATTTAGGCCAGCATATGTCATTGTAAATTTGTATTAGTTAGAGTTGTTTAGATTGTATTGTATTTGGAAAAAGTTCTCACTGTAGAGTGGTTGTAACAGTGATGAAAACATGGCTTTATATTTCTCTGTTAATGAACGAAAATAGAGTAGACATTGAACATAATTTTTCTCTCATTTTCAGCTCTCTCTTTCATGCATGTTAACCTTCTTTCTCTTAGCATATTCAGACTCAAAAACCTTCAATCTTCACTTCATCAAATCCTGAAAAATCAACATGTCCCATTCTCCAATAAATCAAAGAGAAACTCGCATATTATGGAGGACGAAACTGAAAATTAAAGAAAATATAAGGACTGCATAATACTATGCTCTTCTCTTCTCATTATGTTTGGAAATTCGGATGTAGTTTTGAACAAATTAATGAAGAAACATGAGTTTATCTGCAGAATCCAACTGAAACTGAAAAGATAGCAATATAATAAAGCGAAAAAAATAAACAATTAAAACTGTAAAACAAACATCAAAATAGAGAAAAGTAAAATGAAAATACGACTTCTTTTTTCACTGAATATTTTTCTAGGTTTTTATATTTATAAATATTTGCTTTTGGATTCTTGTTTTTTTGTAAGCTGAAATCACGAGCGACTCCAAGATGTCCAAAAAATAATAATTAATAGTAACATAAATATTACTGTGGATGACACGGGTACACATCCAGATATTATCAAAGCCAATTAGGAAATTAATTAGTTTGATTACATTATACAAGTCAACTTATCTTACAAATGACGTTGTCAGAGTCCCATTTTTCTTCATGCTTCAAGGAATCCAAGAAATTAATTAAATGAGGCTTATCTACATCCATTGCATCTTAATTAATATTGAAAGGAGTAGATTTCACATAGTTCATAAATCCAACAACTCAATCCAAAATAATCAGCTTTCAATTTGATTTCTTTTTGATTATAGCTGCAGGGCAACAATTTCCAGCTAATCAAAATATTGGTGTTCAAAATCACATGTTTCCCTTGAGAATACCACTTCAACTGGCTGGTTCACTCCATCCAACATCTCTATCCCATCAAGCTGTATCTGCCATATTTTTAATGGCATCTGACTCTTTTTGGCAAGATGGTAATCCAAGATCTTGCCAAGTCAATTTTTCTTTGGCCCCAGACTAAAGTATGATAAGTAAATATCTATACTACGTTTTTTTTTTTTTTTTTTTTTTTTTTTTTTTTTTTTTGTGGTCATCAATTCCTTTCTGAAATAACATTATTTTGATTTAGCGATATAGCTGCAAGGCAACAAGCTCCAGCTAATCAAAATTCTGGTGTTCAGGGTTACAATTTTTCCCCAGGGAATACCGTTTCAATTGGCTTGTAAGGCATTCACTCCATTCTTAGAGCTTTATCCTATCAAGCTGTATCTGCCATATTGAAACAGCTTCTGACTCTTCCTTGCAAGATAGTGATTTGGATATCTTGCCTAGTGGATTTTTCTTTGGTCCATT